AAGTATCGTACATTACTGGGGGCAAAGATGCATATGACTACGCGTAGATATGTACAAGATGATGTGCTGTAAAAGAAACGGAGAAGACGGAGAGAACAACAACGATGATGCGAGCGTTGAGGACATCTCATGGAGCCCTGAGGTCTGAGGTGTTTGCCCGCATACGCGACGCGTCGCGTGCGACAATGTTCACGCTGCACACTGATAATATCATCCCCTATTCCGAAGACGAAGCACAGTGTCTGCTTCGTCTTGTGTGGAGGGGATGTAGAAAGGGACGAGGGTGTGTACGTCGTACGAAGAGAGAAGCGAACGAAACGACGCTCACCGACTATATCTACCACCTTCGCGTCGACACGCGCTCGTCTCGCAGACAATCCAACGGCATCATATAGCGCGACGCGAAAGAGAAGGCGTTGGGGAGCGTCGAATAAAGGCTGACGTTGACGACGAAAGGGGGACTAGCGAAAGCTTGGGGGACCAGCAGACGATGGCGGTACAACTCGAAAGGATTCAGCTCAAAAATAGTGAGTGCGCTGGCAAGTCCCACGCTGAGTCCCAAACTGCGCCTTCTTTGGTGACGCATCGACCCCGGCCGAATTCGGCGGGTCTAGAAATGGGGCTGTTCCCAAGCCAATCCAACATTCCGTAGCTTTCTAAGCTCTAACAACCTGGTTCAGCGTAAATAAGTGTTTTCAAGGGCGATATAACTGCAGCTAACCCGCGGCCACCTTGCACCGCCATTTACTTGGTACAATTGATTGTAAGCGTCGGCGGGAATCCGTGATGTGCTACCCACCTGCCCCTCATTCTTTTTGGAGCTCAAACTTGATGTTTTGCTATCTAAATCCTCTATATGAATCTCTTCCTCCCCCATGGTGGAATTTACGGGCAATATATGCATGAAAACACTGCCTGCTGCTTGAGTTAGCGCTTGCAGAGGACACACGATGACATGGACCTTTTCTGGTGGTTCCATTGTTTCTTGCTTCTGATTACCGATACCTGCCGCACCAACAGCTTTCCCGGACCTCTGGATTATCGGTGGTAACAATGGTCTATCCTAGTTTTTGCGCTAGGAGTAATCCATGGTTGTCCATCGAAGGCCACCGATATGATGGGACAAGGCCTGGCGACGTGTAGCTCAGTCAGCGCTCGCCATCGCGGCTCGGCAAGGCGCGGTACCTTGAACGCGCGTCTCTATTCCTCTAATACAATCCCTCTTCGACGCAGCGAAAAATGGCAAGGTATGTCAGCGACTGGGCAAATGGACAAATGATTGAACTATCTGGGAGCTGGGCTAGGACGTGAAGCGGCATCAAGACGTACACGTCGCCATCCCAGGAGTATTTATTCTCAAGGTCGTGCCAGAGTGTGAATACATATCTCTCTTGCACCTCATACTTCCTCGCAAACATGGGCTTCTTGTTCTCTAAACCAAAGTACGATCCCTCTCACGATATTCCCGACCTTACAGGAAAAGTCGCACTAGTGACTGGAGCAAAGTACGTATCATTACCCATATACTCTCTACGGTCCCTCACATGATTTTTTTGGATGAAATAGCTCTGGAATAGGCTTCGAGACTGCGCTGCAACTAGCAAAACGAGGAGCGAAGGTCTACCTTGGTTGCAGGTCGGAATCAAGAGCTAAAGATGCCATCGCCAGGATGTGCAAAGCTGCTCCTGGACTCGATCTGGAGGATAGACTCGTATGGTTGCCGCTTGATTTGTCGGTCATGAAACTTGCGAAGAAGGCTGGGGAGGAGCTGTTGTCGAAAGAGACACGATTGGATATTCTCGGTCAGTATTCATTTCTCTGTCATGCGAGGCGAGTCAGTTGCAGTCCAGAACACTACTCACGCACATTGTTGAAACTCGTTAGTCAATAACGCTGCATGGACTATCAAGGACTATGAATTATCTGAAGATGGCATCGAAAAGGCTGTAGCTGTTAAGTACGCATCTCAGTGCTTCTAGATGCTTTTCTTGCTAATCCTGAGCCATGATTTACAGCCATCTCGGCCACTTCATTCTCACAGAGACTGTGCTGCCTCTCATGAAAGCGACTTCCCAATTACCTGGAGCTGACACTCGCATCGTAGCAGTGAGTCCTTGATCCAAACACTACATTTACATCTATTGTTGATGCGCTTCTTTTGGCCTCCTCAGGTCAGTTCGGATGCGTACAGCCGAGCAGGGACGACGGACTTCTCGAGTCTGGAAGCCCTCAACTCCGCTCAAGGCAAACCCGGAAGTGAAAATACATTCTTCACGAAGCTCTGGAGATACGGTACGCTTAGCTCACATCGTTCGTGTGTTCACCAGCCTATATTCATTCTCACTGCGCTCCGTCGAACAGGGACGACGAAGCTTCAGAACATACTGTGGGTGGGAGAACTACAGCGTAGGCTCGATGCTGAAGGAATACCAATAACCGTCATCGTAATCCATCCCGGTGCCGTCAGCACAGGTACGTCCGTCGTGTGACCATAAGCCTTGTAACTTAACATCGACTTCGTCCGTCATTTGATCTAGAGGGTCTTAATAACGGTATGCCTACCTGGTTCTTGTTTCTCGTTTCCCCCTTCGCCGTCAGTCCCTCGTACGGCGCATTCACGTCGCTCTTTGCCGCCACGTCTGCGGAGGTGGCCGCTGCGAAGGAGAAGTATAAGGGTGCGTTCCTGATGCCGTACGGTAAGGTGACCAAGGTAACGAAGGAGGCAAGGGATCCGGTCCTTGCGAAGACGCTCTGGGAGACTTCGGAGAGGGTTATAAGAGACGCTTTGCAGAGACAGGCTGATTAGTTTTATGGCCGGCATCACAGCCTTTCTCGAGCAGGCCTCTCACTGGGCAACCGGTCTGACACTTTTTTAGTACTATACCCTGGAAGACACTCAAGTCTGAATTGTTGCACGCTGTCAATGGCTAGCAATGGCATAATTTTCTGATGTACTGGACCTACGGCAATCATGATGGCTCATTGAGAGTGGCAGTAAGGCCGTGATAGCTCAGCTGGGAGAGCAACAGACTGAAGTTCTGGAGGTCGCCTGTTCAATCCAGGCTCATGGCAATATTCGCAGTTCGTCAGCTTTTTCCCGCGTGAATGGAAGCTAGACTTGATGGTTGAGGCTAGACCATGCAGTCGATGTCGTTGGAACGATTCTAGCACATCTCTGGTAGCTTGATCAGGGTTCAACAGAGCCATATGCACTGTAACAGCAAAATACTCGATAACGACAAACTCAAGCGGCCGTACATGGCTACGTAGTAAATAGACTACATTAAGCGATCGTGTACTTTCCGTAATTCTTCTCTGGGTCGAACACCTGCGATAAGGGAGCTATCAGTAGAGGTCGTATAGAGCAAAAAAAAAGTCTCGAGAGCTTACCTCCCATCGAGAAGCCGGGAAGATATGCTTGTTCCTCTGATACCAACTTCGCTCGACGACTTTACCCGCGTGCGACTCGTCTTTCTCTTTCGTTGCATCAGCGAGTAGACGAACGTCGTCGTGCACATCGAAGTTGAAGAGCGGGCCAGACTTTCCGCGAGCCTTGTTGATGATGAAGTCATAGAACGTGTAGTGCTGCAACGAATGTTAGATGAATACCGCGAACGATAGTAAGAGAATGCTCACGCCTGGGATGATGAGATCTTCCTGCAATGCCAGGTAAATGATCAGTACGAAGACACACGATGATATTTTGGGTACTGACCTTGATGTACATGAGGTTGTCGACACTGATATTTCGCAGTTCCGGGAACTGTTGCCTACACTTCTCTAAGAACGTGCTGATATCGTCACCTTTCCGGCACTAATCATCCGCCCACGAATATAGGCGAAGGCAGGATGAGCGCCGGTGTCCACGTCCAAACATTACCATCAGCCACTGGTCCCCGTGGAGCGCTAGTGGAGAATACAAGGGACTCACTATGACACTCTTTCGGTGACCACTTCCATCCCAGTACGAGTAGACAACCTCAATTTCCTCCTGCTTCATCTCCTCCTGCCTCTTCAGCCACTCCTTCCTCAAAGCTTCTCTCTCTCTTCTATCTGCCTCCTCGCGATCACGGTCAGGAAGGAATGAGGTATCGACAGTCGGATTCTTCTTGAACTTCGTGCGTTTGGCAGGTTGGTCCTCGTCTCCGTCTGCGGGTGCAGGAGTTACGGAGGAATCAGCCTCAGCCTTGGCCTTTTTCGATGGAGCGGGAGCTTCTTCCTCGTCGTCGAGAGCGAAAGAGAGGGTAGCTTTCGCGGCCTTCTTCCGCTTCTTCACCTTCTTCTGCTCATCCCTAAACAAATTCTCCACGTCGAGTAAGCCATCCGGACCGGGAAAGTTCTGGAAAGATGAAACCGAGGTGGAATGGCACCACAAATCTCCAACAAAGAAAGCCGGTCACCAATATGCAAAACAAACAAACACTTACTTGAGCTCGTCCGTCCTTGCCGCCTCCCGAGCCTTTGCTTCCTCAAGCTCTGCCCTTCTTTTCTGGAAGTCCTCGAGCTTGACCAAACCAACCGTACTCTTCTGAAGAGCTTCTGCCATAGAGTCATGTTGGCCTACGAAACGGTTGGAAGAAGGACGAGATTTCTCGGTCTCGTGTATGAGCTGTTGCTTCGCCCGTTCGAACTCCTCGCGAGCTTGGGCGCGCTGCTTGGTGAGCGCGTCCTCGCGACGGCCTTCAGCGTGGTTACTAGCCATTATATAGCACAGTCAGATGATTTATGGTCAAAGCGGAGACGTAGAACAGTGCCAGTGAGAGTGTGATGAGCGCGAGGAGGACGAGTGCCAGAGCATTGGACAGATGGCCGAGAAGGCGGATCGGGTCGGAGTTTGAATTGACATTGTCGCGAAAGTGGCGACGAAGGGCCAGCTTCCAGTTCTAACAGACCATCGAGGAGGAGAGGATGGTGCATATCCTGGGCGTGCAATTGCTGGACACGGCATATGCAAGGGTATTGTCCATTGTTTACGCCGAATTTTCTTTGGAACTTACGCAATATTTCCCAGATCGCGTTCACGAAATTCTATGGCATAGGCCACAAAACCTCGCAGCGCATCTGCGCCCGACTCGGCATCCACGATAGGTGCAGAGTTTCTCAACTAACACCCAACCAAACCACCGCGCTCGCATCCTTCCTCTCATCACCACAAACTGCCTACGCCACCGTCCGTCCACCAGTCGCGTCGCTCTCCTTCAAACCCGCTCCCCCGTCAACACCTTTCGAGCAGCTTCCGGCCGTAGAAGCGCTGCGTCCACCACCAGGAGCTGCACCACCAGTCAAGTATCAACCTCGTGGTGGAGGGGATCAGTTGAGGAACCTGAAGATTGAGGCAGAGCTGAAGAGGGAGATGAGGGAGAACATTGCTCATCAGAGGATGATCGGGAGTTATGTCGGGAAGAGGCACGCTATGGGCTACCCGGTTAGAGGACAGAACACACAGAACAATGCACGGACGGCGAAGAAGCTCAACAAGATTGAGCGTGCTCGTTGAGCGTTGCCGTGTGCTACCTTACATTTACCCAGGTGGTGTGGCCCTAATTTACATCTCGAGACTCATGGTCTTTTGGTGGGCGCGCAGAAATCCTCGTGTGGGATGTATATAAAAGTACAAGAAAACCATCCTACAACACGCTTCGAAATCTAGTCTTCGCCAACGGGAACCTCTTCTTCAAGATACTTTATCAACTTTACCCGAATCTCAGTAGTCTCGTCTCCCCTCAGCACGTCCGACACGAATTCTGCCTGCACCTGCATCTGGATCTACAAGCCACAAAACGCGTCGACGATATATCAGGCGACAGATGGCACAGTGAAAAGGTCGACATTGAACTTACCATCTCCAGAGAGCCCCTCAATACCCCACATAAAACGTTGCTGAACCATAGCCCTCCCTCCAACGCCTCGTCAGGCAACTCCACAAATTCTGCCAACGGGTTCTCGTCGAAAGTCAAAGAGAAGGATGTGAGGGGCGTCGCGCCCGAAGCTGGTGGTTGACCCGACGCTCCTGGCGTGCTCGGCGGATTGGGTGATGTTGGTGGTTGTGGCGTGGCGTGTGTGACATTTGGCGTTATGTTCAAGAAGGATTTGAATCCCACCTACACAGCACAAATCCTTATACGTGAGCATATGACAGGATTGTGCGAGAATTGTAGACGCTACCTTCGCAATGACCTCTCCGGTTTCTCTGAAGTCTGAGCACCGTCCAATGTTACTTCGCGCCAAGAAGTCCTCAATTAGACGCGTGCCGATGTTGTATCCCATCTTCTCCAGTTGTTTGTTCACCTCTGCGTAGTCCTCATAGTCCTGGATGAGCTGTATGACCAGCGCACCGTACGTGAGAGCGAATAGTTCGGCATTCTACAATATGAGAGCATAGATCTAGGAGGTCAGGTTACACACGGCACCGCCTTTGAGATAAATATCCAGGGAGTACAAAACATGACATACAATCTTTTCGGTGCGACCTTTCCAGAGGTCCTCGCCGATGGCTTTGTATTGTTTGTTGCTTGTCGCCATGGCTGATAGTCCGTCCGGTACCCTACCAAGTTCAGGCCACACCCGGTCGATCTCATAGCAGTCACATCATGTCACAACTACTTACTGCTTGTCACGCATTTCTCGCCACCCAAACTTTTTGAGCCGTCCTCCTGAACGTCCACACCTCAATCTGAACCTTTCTACTTCCACAAGACCCGTCTGATATCCACAACAAAAGCCACATCCAGCAGGCACCTCTGTCGCACTTACAACATGTCACGACCAGAACTTATCGCCCCACCTGAAATGGTATGCTCTTTCCCCGCCTTCATCCTTCACACCTCTCATTCAACGCAGTATCTGAGCAGTATTATGGTGACACAGAAGCGAAGAAGTACACCAATAAGTCAGTATATGATTGCTTTCGTGGTGCATATTGTTGACATCGTATACTTGTGCAGCACTCGTATTCAGATGATCCAGGCATCAATGACCTATCGTGCTCTTGAGCTCCTGAATCTTCCACCGGACGAACCAGCTTTTCTACTTGATATAGGATGTGGATCCGGTCTTTCTGGTGAGATCTTGGATGAAGAGGGTCATATATGGGCCGGTGTGGATATTGCGCCTAGCATGCTCGGTATGTTCAGCAGCAAACGACCCCCTACGGTTTCAAACGCTGATCACTGTGTTTCGTTGATCAAAGAGGTGGCACTAGAGAGAGAAGTAGAGGGCGATCTCTTCCTACAAGACATAGGTCAGGGCTTCGGCTTCAGACCGGGAAGCTTTGACGGTGCCATCAGGTCAGTCTACCCCGCCACATTGAAAACTCACGCTCCTTGTCTCACAACCTTGTCATCTTCCACGCACAACAGCATCTCCGTCATTCAATGGCTTCTGAACGCAGAGACATCCCATCCAACATCATCACCACCGCATCGCCTCACCCGCTTCTTCACGACCCTCCATTCAGCCCTCCGCAACCCCTCCCGCGCCGTCCTTCAATTCTACCCCACATCAGACGACCAGATACAACTCATCACTTCCATAGCCCAGAAGGCTGGATTCGGAGGAGGTATTGTCGTCGATTATCCTAATTCCAAAAAGGCGAGGAAGGTGTTTTTGTGTCTGTTCGTGGGCGGAGGTGGGCCGGCACAGGTACCGAAGGGACTGCAAGGAGAGGGCGAGGAGGAGATGGACGAGGACGGGTTTGCACAGGATGGGAAGGCGAAGTTTGAGAAGAGGAGACAGAGGGAGCAGAGGAGAGAGAGGAGCGGAAAGAAGGGTAAGAAGGTTATTGATAAGGATTGGATCTTGAAAAAGAAAGAGGTACGATCTTATGTTGCTTTTCCTAACGGTTGATATCCTTTGCTAACTCGATTGTTGTAGCTTTACCGGAGACGAGGAAAAGACGATGTCCCAAAGGACTCAAAATACACCGGTCGGAAACGGAAGGCTGTTTTCTGATCCTTGCCGTCTCATTCATTGTATCCTGCTGCATATTGTATCGTCTCCTCCAGAAGCATGTTGCTTTATTAGATTTGCCCCCGAATAACTGTTCAGATGGTCGATGTGTCCAGATTACGAAGTTCTGTTACCGCGCCACAAACAGCTCCCTCATCTGTTCGACGCTTTCCTTCGCTCCATTCCTGATGAACAACCCCTGCAACGCTGCCATGCTCACCCTCCTCCCCTTACCCATCTCCTCCTTCACAATCTTCTCCAACTCTGCACCCAAGCTCTCTATCTCCGCCTCCTGAGCCTCTTTCTCTGCCGGTTGCCACGTTTGCCCGGAGGCTCCGTAAAACTGAGTGAAGAGTTTCCTTGCTTGTAAAGCAGTTGCGTCGTCGATGAGGGCGGCGAGGTCGACGCGACCAGGCCGGATCAGAGCGGGGTCTAGTCGTTCGAGGTGGTTTGTGGTTAGGAAAATGACGCGTTCTTCGCCCGAGGCCACGCCGTCGAGGGCGTTGAGGAAGCCGGAGAATGTGACAGATGATTGATAGCTAGAACCCATGCACTCATTCAGTCGCAGACTATGATGGAGACAGCAGTGCCACCTACCCATCCTCGCTGGTTTGTACGCGTTTGTTAAATGCGGCGTCGACATCTTCTATCAGGATAAAGCTCCTTTCGGGCGCGTTAGACATGAGGTGGTTGAGTTTGTCGTCCGTAAGACCGCGTTCGGAGAGATTAAGGAGACAAATATCGTAATTAATGGAGCCAGCGAGTGCTTGGATGAAGGACGACTTTCCAGAGCCGGGTGGTCCGTGAAGTAAGTAGCCTCTCCGGTATGGTATGCCTGCACCGAAAGATTTAAGAATCTACATTTTTCAGGCCTGAACACTTGGAAGACAGACGTACCACGGTCAGCGTACCATTCTCTCCTCCCTAGAAACGCCCTTACATCCTCCTCGACCTTCTCTCCCACTCCTTGGTCAAGGACGACACTCTTCAGCGGCCGTTTCCTCCGTGGCAAACCAAAGGGCCTCCACTCGATACCCCAAGCGGTATGAATGACAAGTTTGCCCTCTTGACCTTTCATAGCGAGGTCTCGTGCTTCCGAAAGCAGTGTTGGGATGAGTGGCCGGTCGCGGGAGAGGGTGGTGAGAGTGACGGTCTCCCAAGGTATTCCAGACATAAGTTGTGTCGCGCGAGTCTCGCGTTCACGTTTTACCTACAACGCATAGTGCAATAAAATCAACAGCCGTTCGAAAAGTGTCGATAAACCCAAAACTTACCTGCATCCACGCACCCCCGTATTTCACCCAATGCAACCCGGGACCTGCTACAAGTCTAAACGCGACCGACGAACTCCCATTCTTTCTCTGCTCCACCGCGGTCTCCAGACTTAACTGATGACTCTTAGTCCATCCTCCGTAGCGAGTTGCGTTTTGTTCTCGACTATGATGCGCTAGCCATGTCAAGAACCATTCGTAGGCCTTGTCGCGGTTGTTGATTTCGAGGGAAACGAGGAGTCTTCGGCGGAGGGCTACTTCGGAAACGATGATGCCTTTGCGAAGGGCAGTGAGGCCTACGCCTACACCCTACTCAGCAGTTGAATGACGAAGAAAATGCAGGGAGCACACAACCATAGAATAAAGTTTCGACATGGTCAGTTGCTGAAGTGTGGCGAAAGGAGAACAGATCGAAGACGCACCATAAGGCCGAAGCCAGCTTGAAAGTACACACTATATTTTCACTTTGCAGTTTGCTTTCGGTTCTCATCAAGCGTACATATACGTAGAGGGAATGCTCACTTGTCTCCGAGAATTGAGGTAAGTAGGGATGTGGCCCCAGAGCCGCTGGCAGACGGCGCAGCGGTTGATTGGGCTGCGACGCTAGTCGCTGATTCTAATACCGCATCAGGGCTAGGTAGCGTGGACGCTGGAAGGGATGGCAAGTCGGAGGACATGAGACGAGGCCAACAAATTATTGAGCTGCACTTGGGCAAGCCGGCATGAACATGCAAACTCAAGAAGGTTCGATTCCGACGCGTTTTTGACGCGTTTTCCTCCGCGCTACCTCACGCCACCCGATATGATGGCCACACCGCCTTGTCCTTTTACATATTTTTCTTTCGCCTTCAACGGCAATGCGCACTAGGAATACCTGCTGTACTGCGTTATCTCAGGAGACACACGAACACCAGTCTTACACTACCGCGTCACAACGATAGCAGAAAATGCGATCCTTTGACATTTATATCAAAACAACAAGCGTACGAGAAGATAATCCATCGACATCAGACCGGAATGCTCGTTCGCTGTATATTGGAAACACGGGTGGGGGTACTACTTCGTCACATGATATGTTGGAACAGTTGGAAGAAAAGCGAGAAAAGGGTGTGGGATTCGGAGCAAGTTTACAAGTCGTCATCTTCCTCGGGGAGAGGGACGGCCTCGGCCTGCGAAAGGTTTGTTATTAGCGTCTATCCGCGAGTGATGGATTGGTTATGGTCTTACCTGAGCCAGCTCCTCGCTGTACTTGGCCATCAACGCAGGGTCAACCTGGACCTCGGCAGGGGCAAGGGCGGGAGCAGCGACGAAGTCGAGAGTGGGGTTTCTGAAAAGAATTTTACACATGAGCACGACAGTTCACCACTCGTATGATGCTCAGAGATACATACCCAACGAGCTTCCTTGCGAGCCAAAGGAAGGGCTTCTCGAAGTTGTAGTTGGACTTCGCCGAGATCTCGAAGTACTGGATGCTCTTCTTTCGGTGGAAGGTGACGTGGGCAGTCTTCACTTTCCGCTCCTGTATATCATCGCCATCATCATATCGCCACCAACGAAAACAGTAAACATAGATCAATGACACGCCACATTTATCCGAATATATAACGAATGACAAATGCACCTTAACATCGACCTTGTTTCCACACAGGACAATGGGGATGTTCTCGCAGACACGCTCGAGGTCGCGATGCCAGTTGGGCACGTTCTTGTAGGTGATACGGGAGGTGACATCGAACATGATGATACCGCATTGGCCCTGGATGTAGTAGCCATCACGGAGACCACCAAACTTCTCCTGTCCGGCGGTATCCCAGACGTTGAAGCAGATCGTACCGAAGTTGGTGGAGAAGGAGAGGGGGTGGACCTCGACACCGAGAGTGGCTGATGAAGCAGGGCGGTGATCGCGTGAGTGATGTTCGAAAACCCGAGCCAAAAGAGTGTGAAGACAATAAGAGCCATCGCAGGACGCAATGCGCTGAGTTATTATCGTCTAGAGTAAGATGCACATACCGATGTACTTTTTCTCGAATTCACCGGTCAAGTGGCGCTACAGGAAGTGGAGATGCGCGATGATCAGGACGGGATCAGCGGGCGAGCGAACGCGTTCGCGACGTACCTTGACGAAGGTTGTCTTTCCAGTTCCTCCATCACCAACTGTAGGTGTTGAGGACGCCACCCGATGGACAACCAGCAGTGAAGGTCAGATTTGCACAGAAGGATGAAAGAACGTCATCGATCAAACAGAGAAAATTGTTGTGCGAGAGTTAGTCGGTGTCCTAGAGTTATAAAACGTAAAACAGCTGACCGAGGACGAGCTTGAAAGTAGGGACTTGGGTCTCAGCCATGGTAAGATAATGAGAGAAGACGAGGGAGGAAGGGGGTGAGGATGTGGTGGATGAGGACGAAGATCGACTTAGGGTTTCTGACGCGAGGCGCGCCGCAGAGCTTGGCCCATGGGAAAAGCTTGGTCAGCGTGGCGTCGACTGTTTTTGACTCCCACGCTCCGCTCTCCAACCAAATCGGTCTTGTCTTGACGGCCTACTCGATTGGAATCGATCCCTTGCTTAGACTCATTCTTTTGTCATGCCCACCAAGTTGACCTAACATTACAGGCGATGACAGGCCTCGTGCTTCACTGTGACGTTCATTGTTCTTCTATCCTGGAAACTCAGTCGTTCTGGGTCCAACTCACGAGTCACCCAACGTTCAGTCAAGCTCTTCTTCAGGAACTCGTGGAAATGTGGTATATCAGGCTGTGTACACTGCTTCATATAACAGATGATGGATGGTATATGCGCTCTCCGACAACGATAATTGTGGGTTGGGTGGCTCTTCGTGTCTAGTCATGCGCCCAAAATTCCCCACCCAAACGTGCGGTACTCGAATGCCTGATTGGACCTTCACTTGACAGTTTTCACAACGCCGGCTTTGTACTGAATTGTTGTCAATCCTCACGGCACGAATGAGCTGGCAAGACAAGAAGAGGAATAATCCATTTTTGGAGCAGATGTAACGTGAGCTTGTTAAGCCAAGTCTCGTACAATTTATCCTCCTCACCCCAATACAGTGCCGACTTCTTTTCTTATCATGATCTACGGCCAATACATCGCTTGGACAACTCGCCCACGTTCTTTTCGATCCTGACGGTAAGTCTCCTGTGCTTTGTAGGCGATGAACGGTGGCCAGATGATCGAAGCATTTGCTCACGGCCCACAAATACAGAAATGCACCATATCACTCTACGTTCGCTCTTCATCGGTTACATCTTCGGCCGCCGCAGTATTATCAGTAACAAGTCAAACGCCTTCCTGACTCCACAAAAAGACGCCTACGGGCACGATACATCGCGGTGCTCTGTAAGCACACATCCTCAGGAAGTCCGTGTGGGTCATCTGTGGAAGACCTTGCTTTTTAGCTTCTGAGCATAGAACATATCCCCATCTCGACGACCCACTTGATGTGAGTCGCCTTGACTCGTCTTATACGGAAGATCGAATGATCAATGAGCAGGTTGTTCAGTGTTGCTTCGGGCCAGTGGATAAATCGGCTTGGTGTGGACGTTCTCATGCTGGCTGTGCTTTGGATCCGGCGATGAACATGGACACGCCTGAATATATTGAGACACGATGCCGGCTTACGCGTACGGTAAACACCACGGCATATCACTGTGATGGTAATTAAAGCATCAACGAACCTTTGCAGTCATGACCTCGCGGTCGTGGACTGAGGATCGTCGATTTCGAACATGGTGTGGCGTCATCTCCATCCCCTCGAGGGTTTTCTGTCGGCTCTTCCGAGCCCCAACGCTTGAGGAATTTTAAATAACATAAGAGACACGTTCTAACCTTCAGATTTGGGTGGTGAGTTTGGTTCTGCAAGTTAATATAGCAGTACGCGCCCTCATTTCACAAAGGACGATCAGGAGGATACTCCGGTATAGACTCCGAACTCCGGGACGCGACGATTGGCTCGACGCCAGTGCGTCATTTTGCACTTTCTCAGGAGTATTTTCTCAATGTCAGGTAGCGACGGGAGATGCGTATGCCAACAAGGCTTGTCTACTCATCTCACAGGTGGATGAATACCTTTCTGTGGGCCATAAGCCAGCCGGCCATCCGGCGGCAGGCGTCGATCGAGCTATAAATAGTAAGTAAGAACAGGTAAGCGCACGTGCGGCTGAGTGCCGAGAAGACGGAAACGCCGTACAAGTGCCGGCCGACGGCAGACTCAAACTTTTTGAGACATGTTTATAAAGAGGCAAGGCGTTTATGGCCTCACGCCCATCGTGTTCCGCATCCCCTAGCCCACTCCGCCGTGCGATTCAGCTCCCCAGAGCACAGGCAGTGTCATAGTACGCTGCTTGCCTTGATCCTTAGAGTGTTTGTTTCACTAACAGCGACCTCGACGATTGAAAAGTATGGCTGAGAAATCGGTACCCCCTTCCCCTTCGGTCGCAGCCCAGGACATCGCGGCCGAAGATCCCAAGAGCGGCAAACGGCAACATGGGGCCTGGAAGGCTGGAGAAGAGCATGTCCTGCCCCACAACAACCTTAAGATCGTCTTCCCCGGCCTGATGCTCACCGTTTTCCTGTCTGCGATGGACCAAGTGCGTCATACCCCGATATATACATTGCATTGTGTTCTCATAGTTTCACTGCCCCATAGACCATCGTAGCCACGGCTTTGCCCACTATTGTAGACAAGTTGGGTGGTGGCTCTCAATACTCATGGGTTGGAAGGTGCGACCAGTCACCATTCACGGATGTTATATCTTGACTGAACCGTTTCTCCAGTGCTTACCGTGCGACCACTAACTTCCTTTGTACTGCTTCTTCCCACTGACTTCTTTCAATAGTTCTGGCTGCTGCATCATTAGCTCCGCTGTACGGAAAATTATCGGATCTCATCGGTAAGTTACCTTTATTCTGCAGGAATCATGATTACTTACCCTTTGTTCAGGCCGAAAACCTATCTTATACTCTTCAATAGTCATTTTCCTTGTAAGCTTACAGTTGGGTCGGATCCGGAATATACCTGACATATCATGTTTCGTTCAATAGATTGGTTCTGCTCTATGTGGCGCTGCACAAAATATGGTCTGGCTCATTGTCTGTCGAGCCATTCAAGGAATTGGCGGTGGAGGTATGATCCAACTCGTACAAATCACGATCTCGGATATAGTTTCTCTACAAGAGTAAGCGTGCTTACGCCAACTCCGTTCAATGGTCATTGATCGTCTTCTCTGACCTTCCAATAGACGTGGAAAATATGGTGGTTTGTTAGGAGCTACATGGGGAATCGCAAGTGTCGTTGGGCCACTCATTGGCGGCGCATTGACTGACCATGTATCGTGGAGATGGTACGCCATTTTTTTCACGTGATGCAAACACTATCGTACTGCTTCTCACCAGTCCAGCTGACTGAGTTATCAATGTTTCCCAGGTGTTTCTGGATTAACCTGTAAGGTCTTGTTTGCCACGGCATCGCGTTTCCGAAACTTGCTCACACGGCCCATTCATTCGCAGGCCCACCGGCGGTGTTGCGGCCCTTTTGCTGTTTTTCTTCTTGCACTTGAACCCGCACAAGGGGAAGACCTTAAACGAGCATGTACAGGAGTTTGACTTCATTGGCCTTTTCTTCATGGTCGGTGGTGTTGTCTGCCTGCTTATTGGGTTCAACAGCGGTGAAACAAATTGTGAGTTCATCTTTCCGGACTACACTTCCCCAAGGTCGTACTCATTGCATTCAATTAATTAGGGGGTAGTGCAGAGACCATAGCGTTGTTGGCGGTCGGAGGGACCCTTATAGTGCTCGCTTGTGTGAACGAAGGTTTTACTAAACGTTCTCCAATTATTCCACCGCGGTTATTCAGGGTTCGTCAACTTTATTTGGCATTGATCGACGTTATTCATTGACTCATCTCAAACACTGACTGGTATTAGACGAGGACTACGGCTATCATCCTGATTAGTACCTTCCTTCACGCCATAGCGTTCTTTGGTGGTACGTATAGTGGTGCATCTTCTTTCGACTGATCTCCCTGACGTCCCTTCCGCAGGTGCATACTATTTGCCCCTATACTACCAGGTTCTTGGAGCATCTGCTACTGGCGCAGGTGTTAGGTGAGTCTCAGACTCGTGTATCCATGTCGCGAACTGAATCTCATGTCTCAACAACAGAATGATACCCTACTCGTTTGGGGGCGCAATATTCTCTGCCTCTTCTGGTGTTTTGGTCAGTCGCATTGGAAGGTATAGGCCCATCATGTGGTTTGCGTGGTCTATCATGACTGTGGGATGGGGTTTGATGATTATGCTGGATGATCAATCGTCGAAGTATGTCGGAGAAGATTCGAATTTTTGTCTTGTGTCTGACTTATTGTCTTTTGCAGTGCGGTCAAAGAAATCTACCCTCTGATTGCAGCCCTAGGGATAGGGTGTCTCTTCCAAACTCCGCTCATTGCTCTTCAAGCTGCCATGCCGCTGAAAGACATGGCCACCTCGACTGGTACCTTCGGCTTCCTCCGGTCAGTAATATTATCAATATCACGCGTGTGTGTTATTCCTAATTAGAGACGAACGATGTTCAGGACTCTCGGTGGAACCATAGGTGTGGCTATTGGCCAGGCTATCTACTCCAGTTTCTTGCAGAAAAACATTGCCAAGATCCCAAACCTCGATTTCGACACCTCTCCATCGGCGCTCGCAGATAGTGTAAACCAACTGAAGAACATCGCAGTAAGCCTCCTTCCTACAATTGCGAGTAGTGCAATGTGACGAGGATATTCTTTTTGATGCTCTACAGGATCCTACTCAACGCCAAGCGGTCATACATGTCTACGCGAAGGCGATCAGCAAGATCTGGCTCGTGAACTGCCCCCTCGCCGGTGTTGGCTTGATCATGGTGCTCTTCGTCCGGCATTACACTCTCAAGCGGAATACTGTCCAGCAGGTCTCTAAGAAAGACATTGAAGCAGCTGCAGGTGACGTACCGGTAGGAGGCGAAGACGTCGACCATGAAAAACGAATACCGAAAGAGAGCGGTGAAGCTACGAGAGAAGGGACGTTGAAGGGTGCGCCGACGGGCACGGACGAGGACGTGAAGGAGAAAATAGCGGAGGAGCCTTCGTCTGCGGCTCCTGCTAGGACTGCTGCGACGGCCACTCAGCCACGAGGAGACGATATGGTATGATTTTTAGGATCTGTCTGCGTATGGCTTGGTGTTTGCTTGATTTTGTGGGAGTGTGCATAGAGGTTCGGATGTAGCACCGTGATAGACACGACTCCGAGACGACCCTCACGAACAGTACTATCTGTGTATCGCGTTACTGCAATGTCAACACAATTAATGGATTCGTTTTTTTGACCTGTGCGTCATTGCTTGTGTGGGTGGGCTGATGCCAGCGCTCGTGTAAAATGAGCTTTCATATCATGAAGATCTTCTTTCTTTTTCACAAAATAGCCGCTGAACGTCCCGGCGCTTGAGATATTTTCTCTCTAAATTCTTCGGATACCCGTTGGATCTGACGGGTTTGGCGGTCTGTTCCGTTTTGGCTTTTGACGACTCCGAAAGTATACGTTTATTCTACTGGTGCCTCAATTAGACGGTATGTTCTATGGATACCGAGCGAGGTTTCAAGTCACCTAATGGATCAGCGTACGCTCTCCTCCATCGTCTACGGCCAGATTCGTGCTTAAGTTGTACCGTCTCCGTGAAGCAAACTTCATTCGTCCATGCAACGCGTATGCACGGTGACCGGAAAACTCATTCCACCAGGGACGTTTCATAGAAAGGGAGTACTCATCAGCAACTGGTTCATTTGCGGGCGTTACGAGTACATTCGTACTATGTTACTTACTCCCGACCGCAAAAGCATTGATGGCTCACTGTAAAAAAACGAGGCTCTCAGTTGACGTAGTCCCATCCAACGGGTGTGTCGATGGGTTCGTCACTGCAATGATGGCGGTGAATTCCGAATCAAATGAAGCCCGTCGGTTGATGCGAGAAGACCATGGCACACCGATTCAGATCTCAGACCAGCTAACTGTTGTGGCCTGCCTGCCTGTAGGCGCTTCCAAGCTGCGAACCGCACGCAGGAACAATGGAACAATGCCCGATCGAGGACGAGTCTTTAATTCCGTGAATCATGCTTCAGAGATCGGGCGGTGGGCGCCAGCTGGCCTGAGCCTCTCAAGCAAGTCCTGGGCCGATGCCACTCGCGACTGGAACTGCCAGCAGCGGCGCTCTCAGTGTTTACTTACTATGGATTGTGCCATCGGTGTTAAGCTCGAGGACTGGTGATGCTGAGTCTGCGATAGTAGTAGCAAACGGTGACTGTCGTATCAATATCATATGGACTGCTCCAGTCTGGATTGTGTCTGTTTATTTCTTTTTACAACCCAGAAGCGCGCAGCGCCGGGACCGCAGAGGCTTGAGGCTTGTCTCTCGATAGACGCCCGCTGCCACCACCTCCTCGCCCTTCCTTGCACATAAGCGCCGAAGATGGAGGTTCCACTCGAGCAGAGGAGATTGCATTGAGTAGTAATTACAGCACGAGTCGTACAGAGCTCGTGTTTAGTGTAGAGCAGATCGCAAACACAGATGGAAGACGTGCGGCCGCCCGAGTCGTAGGTGCGCGCTTGCGAGGGAGAGTTTACCAATTCCAATTCCGAATCCAATTTGCACCGTATGTACAACTCGGTGGTGGTGCCGTGATGGACGGCATTTCAAGCTAACGGCGAGCCAAGCGGATCCACAGGAAGCATCAGCATGCATGCTGTAGAGCAGATTTAATATTTTAATGGCGGCTCAAGAGAACTCCGTTAAGAATTGAAGGTTCGACTGCAGATGGAGGAAACCTTGGAGGGAAGATCGAGGACCGTCGATGTGGCCCATGTTTAATTAAACAAGTTCAACTTGGAACGGGAATTTCCGGTATGGTAGTATGGCGACGATGGCCTGTGGTTGGGCCCAGGACAAGATAGAACCAGAGCAATTGGAGGAAGAATTCTAGGAAGGAAGGAGAACATGTTGCATGTGAAGGTAGTAGCGGAAGCGGTTTTCCGTGCATGTACATGAGGAAGCTGTCATGTTCACGGACGGTGTAGAGGCACAACTCGTCCTTACGCCGATTGACAGTAACTAGCGAGGAAGGGTCCACGACCGGTGGAAGACTCGTCCTCATGCAAGCCGCCCCAAATGCGTGGCAAGCCATGCGCAAATGCACCGATCTCGACTGGGCTAATCATTAGCCAATGTCAGTGCACAAGGAACCCGTCCCAAAGCGTCATAGTAAGAATGAACATATCTCGGAAGTTCCTGTGGGTTTTCACTGCGGCCCGTAGAGGCAGACAGAGCACGCATTTCATCGGAGTCTTAACCTGGGTGTCAAAGGATCAATGATCCCTCAAGGAGAACCGCTAGTTCGTATTATACCCGATGAACTATCCTGATTCGCTAGTAGTCTCAAAACTGTTTTCTCGAGCGGGATGCCTGTAGGACCGACACAAACATGCGGCCAGTGACATCCAGTCATGCAGGCAGACCATTCTATCGCGTGGTGGGTGGCAGGATAATAGTCTCAAACGAATGGGTGATCGCAGGAGCAGAATTGTAGCAGTACCTGCTAACTTAGCTGCGACGTCCGGCATCCAAGACCTCTGCATTCTGTTGCCAAAATATCTCGACCAATCGGTTCTAAGATCGGGAGGGCACAGGCTTGCCATCGGGCACGACTTCCCCCGCCCCATGAGTCGTTGCGGCGTTTGTCCATACAGCTTTCAGCGGTGAAATCGTCCATAGGACACCGCTCGTACTACTGCTGTAGTACTCGACCGCAAGATCCCTCAGGGAGCAAACTGAAATCATCGGCATTTCAAGCAAGCCTCTACCTGAAGTCTAGATGAAACGCGAAAGCCGAAACGCCGTTGCCCGCAGGGGAGTCTTGCGGTAGTTTGCATAGAACATCAAATCTCCGATGCGGCGCATCAAAGGGCACGCCCGGGGCTGGTCAGAGCTGGCGCTTGGTACGGATCGCTACACGAAAGGACCTGACGATCAGCGTCAAACGAGTATGGACGGCGGTGAGGAAGACGATGGCGACGGACAACAACGGAGAACGGGTCGCCTTAGATGGGTTTATTAAGAATAGGCTGTACGTCGGGTACGCAGTCGGTGTGGGTGGTCGTTCGAGTGATGGCGGGCTGACATAGACAGAGGGGCAAAACTCCGCTTAGTTTGTCTGGTCCGCAGTGTGTTTTCGGGACGGTTCGGGTGTCGAGGGGCTCGATAGGCTAGCAGAGCACAGGTATGCAGAATGGCGGTGACACCGACGGGAAGAGAGACATGCAGACGACATAAGCTCGGATTGCAGTTGCACATCGAAGAACCGAGAGTTCAAGAGAGACAGTTTTGCTGTGCTAGTAGAATGTGAAGCTGAGGAGTGACTGTATCTGTTGACGCTGCTGTGCAGCGCGTCGCCCATGTTGTTTGGGTAAGAAATTGGCTGACGAAGACGATGAGTAGGATGTACGCGTCGTAGGACGACATTGTCACGAAATGATCCGTGGAGATTGAGCTGCTAGCACGAGGCTGAATCAGGATGACGAGGGCTGATGTTTGTCGAGACGCGACTGGATCTCATGCCGTCGGCATTCTGTCCTTGATGGGATTCCTTGAATGAGCGTCAATCTGGTTGCACAAAGGGGATGAGGAAAAGGCGCGCGCTAAAGCGCTAATCTCTTCATGATCTTTATTTCGTCCAACCAGATAATGCCCCAGCCGAAATACAGGTTTGCAGCGTGTTGTTCTCACCAGGACGCCGACGTGCGTAGCGAAGACATAACGCCGGTGTATCGGAAAGGGCTCGTATAACCACTGACTGGACACAGCTCACGGTATATACACTGCCCACGTGCGAGTGTCGTTGGGACGTTGACTTTGTAGGTGTGGCAGTATGAAGAACATCAACGAGCTGATTCTGAAGCACCGCACAGTGCACCATGCCAACTGCGCGTGCCACTGCTAGTGGGAAACAGTCACTGATGAGCCACCGAGGCGCCTCCATCGAGATCATGATGGGGCCGTGGTGCGACGGAAGATGGGGCTGAAGAAGCTGACATTTCGAGACGTCTGGTCAATCTGTAAAATGCAGGATAGGAAACGGATGTATGTCGATATGGGGGATCTTCGGACAGAGAGAGATCTCAAACGAAGCAATCGGGGCGCCTGAAGGGAGCACCGAGGGCACCCTAACAGCGCGGAGAGCAGATAGACACGGAGAGACGGCTGAAGCAGACAGTCCTAGGGCGCGACGGCAGAGAATGAGTTAGAGGGGGGGAGCCATCGGACGGACAAAGAACGAACGGTACTTCGTGATGAGGAGGAACAGCCTCAAGTTCTATGATTTTTGCGCGCTCGTTGCCGCGCCCCAGAGGGGAGGCGCTTTGCCATGCTTGCTGGGACCACTACGCCGACGACCAGATAGAGTGAGCTGGGTCCATTCAGCACAAGAGACAGCAATCCAGAGGCGAGCACTGGAGGCGGGACATATGCTGGAATATTGACTCGTGATGAGCACAACTTGCAGGCGCCGGGTAATTGCACGGCTGGTAATGTGGATGGAGGAGGGCGTTAGCGAGCGGGGATTGATATGGGCATGGTTCGCGAGCAGTCGCGAGGCTACAAAAGGCGCGAGCGTAGCCCCACGTGCTCCCACGACCCAGTCCGTGCGGACGACCCCGGCCTCCTGTTCGCCTTCTTCTTCCCTTGCCCCAGCATCCAGCTTCCCGACGTCGCCCCCAATGCCTTCAGAACACCTTTCCCCCCTCCCAGTCGCGAACCAACTCCCGGCAGCGCAGCAAACAAAACTGTGCTCCAGCTGCCACTGTCTTCTTCCTACTGCCGATACTGATAGCTCTCTATTGTCAGCCCATCATGACCTGCACGGCGTCATAGACGCTAACGACCACTCCATCATTTGCCGTCTTTGTCGAGACAAGTCGACCAGCAGAACTCCCCGAGCAGCTCTGCAGGCTCTCTTTGTCGACGTCAATGACGACTGTCTTCGTCGTGGCTCGAACCGTGCCACTGAGCTCCCACACCCTGTTCACATCGAACGGCGGCCAACGAGGTCGGACAGCCTGTACTCTCCGCTGTCTGCCACTCCCTCTTCCAGCTCGACACTCTTCAGCCACTCTTCCGCGCTCTTCTCTCCCGATGTTCCTGATGTGGAATCTCCCGCCTCTTCCGTGTTTACCTCAATCAAGCCGTCCAGACCATTCATCTATTCCGCCCTGCCACCCATCTCATCTGAGATTTCCCCCTTGTCGACGTCCACCCGATTCACCTCGTCGCCGACCAAGAGCCCGTTGTCCGAATATGAGACCGCGTCCGCTCCTGATCCCTTCATGGACATAACGCGCCTCCGCGTTCGTTCCCAGCCACATCACTGTCTCTACCCCGGTGCCACATTCCAGGGAACTCAAAAGAGCGGGAGACATAGCTATGACGTGAAGGTATCCATCGTGGTATGTCTTCTCGATTCCGTGCACCCCGCATATCAACGCAGCGCGCTGACGATTGGACTCATAGGACGTCGATTTCGCCTCTTCTTTCCTCTGTGGCTATCTCTGCATACGGGGACTCACAGACGACTGGCCAGAACTCACCACATACTTTGACGCGGAGATCATTGGCAGTCGTTATGGCTTTTTAACCCAGAACTGGGGTGCGAACGAGCAAGAAGACATGACCCACTGGGCGCGGTTCCCCGCTTTCCGTCATGTAAAAAACAAGTTGAACATGCCTCATGGCACCATCAACGGCGACACCGGTGGTGCAGTCTTCATGCGATGGAAGGAACGTTTCTTGGTCCCGGATCACAGAGTGCAAGACATCAATGGGGCTAGCTTCGCAGGTCCGCCTCTTGTTCTCTAACCATGTTGACTTTCATGCTGAACATACGCTTCAATTTCTAGGCTTCTACTATGTCTGTGTTGACTTCAACTCGCACCCACACGCCGCCACAGCCCCCCGGTCAAAGTCCTCGGTTCGAGAGGAGAATACTGCACCGGGCGGTGACGTTCATCCTGCATCACCCTCGAAGTCGGACCAGCCTCGACGGACGAGCCTCGGAGACCGCTCCATGCATCCTGACAGCCCATCATTGCGCTCGCCCTCGGCAGGACCGGCGAAATCGGGGCCCAATGCGGCAACCATGAGCGGCTTCTACTTCCACCAGAACTCGGAACCGTGCGTACAAATCAATCTCTTGTCTGTCGCCGGAGCTATGCTCATGATGGTGGATCACAGATACCAGCAATTGTCGCTTCAGCACGTCTCTGAAAGCGTCAACACTTGCTACGAGTTGCGGTGAAGGCTTTTCTATCGTGCCGTGTCATGATCTGCCTCGACTTTCGAGCGAGTTCTTCTGTCGTTTCAGGATGCTTCTAATCTCCGACAAGCTTTTCGGAACACAGTCTTCCATCACATCTCCTTCCTTACCGGACCTTACCCTCTACCTAAGTTACCTGCGCCCCCCCTCCTCTTCATCCATCATTTTTATCCCTCCTTGTCTTCGTCGGCATCGACGTTAGCATGCAGACGGGCTCGCATCGCATATCTTCCTCTTCCATGGCTTTTAGTTTCATGTTTGTATTACCTTTTATTTGCATTCCTGTCGACTTACCTCTTTTTCCCTTTGTGCATGTCCCTTGCTTTCATTCCCTTTTACTCTGCTGCTCCGGTTTGTTACTATACGCGCTTTTTACAGATATCATCCGTTTTATTTGTGGAACTGTAAAAACCGCGTGTTAGACAGCCCGAACGCTTTATAAGTTACTTGGGTCTAGTCTAGGCATACCCTAGAACTCTACGGCTCGTCAACGAGAAAGAGAAAGTCTACATGAGTCTACATCTACTCACTAAGCAAGTGGCAGCTCCTGGCAGCTCCTGTCGACGGTGGGCCACACCGTTTCCACGACAGTGCCATGACGTCAACCTCTGAGCCAGCGTTTTCTTCAGTCAAATTCTGATTATCATTTACCGGGATGCTGCCAGTCATTAGTGTACTTCTGGCGTATGGAGCTTAAAGCTTGAAGGTCTCAGAGGATTTATGTGTCTTTGTGTCGATGCCGGCTTGTTTTATTCTATTTGAAGTAATTTACTTTTTTATAGATTCATTTTTTTTTCCTTTTTTTTAAAGAGGTGTTAGAACCGTTTTTTCCTTCTGGTTGGCCATTGAAATATCTTTAAGATTTTAACTTTTACTACTAAATTTAGTATAAACTTTAATGTTTAATCTTATTACTTAATAAGATGGGGGTTCGACTCCTTCAAGGTTAAATATCAACATGCCAGTAAAGTCTATATTTCGATATAGGCGAGTCCCGCCACAAACAAGCCACGAAAGCCCCTATTTCAACCCGCGCGAATGTGACCTGCGCACGGACCACCCCAGCGCCACTTCTTCTGAGAAAGGATTTTTGGTACCGGGGACGGAACACATCATCATAACCTCAGAAGGCTCAACTTCATTGCACTAGCCGTGCAAACTAAATAATGGTTCGGAGGCTCGAATCTTGCTCACGGTGGCTATTGTTTGTTGGCCGACTCCCGCAACTGCGACGATTCAATACTTACATGAAATCGAGACCATCTGACCTCCGAGGGTGGTTCAACTTGTTACCCCCACGGTTCGAACTTGAAGGATTCGCATGTGATAAAAAACTCGTGGTTCTTGATGTACTGGTTGACGGTTCTCGCAGCCGGCGGGAGCTCCTCTTGCTTTTTCGTTGCTGCTATGCGCTCCCCCACGGTACCGGTAGAGCGACTACTCCACGCTGACTGATATATCTCGCCGGAAATTCGTTTCCTCACACCGCCTCGAAACCTCCACGGTATCATGTACTGCGTATTGCTCGGTATCCTTCTTTTTCTGGTATTTTCCTCAGGCTTCGCGCTGGCTACAGACACCGTACTCGGATAAATCGAGCATGGAGGCTGACCCCAGGTGTTTCATGGCCAGTGGACACAGCTCTACAGACTCCTGTCGGAGACAGCATATAGCCATAATTGGTTCAAAGTGAGCAAACTACCTCCAACTCCCAATATACTCTAAAAGCTACCGCAACTTCACCGGCTCTGGTCTGTGCACTGCCACACCAGGCTGTTGCACTACATACCGTAACCTCAGGCTTTCCTCGGACTACTTGCTGACTATCATTGCCGTCCTTTCTACGCACAGGTTAGCGGGCATAGCCGCTGCGAGAGCACTGGACTGCGACCCCGACTTTGACAACTTTAAGGTGGGTCTCGGAGGGTCGCCTCTCGGTGGGTGTCAGACTTCAACTAGATCCCTGCCCTGGCTCAGGCGTGTCAATAGCCATTGCGGTGACTTGGCTGTGACGGTGTCCTTCGTCCGAGGCCTTCAGATATACATACGCAGGACCATCGGGATGTTAGCGAAGGGCCTGTGTAACTGCGACTGGCAGCACTACATGATGCTCCTGACGAGGTTCTCCTGGATGAGTATGCTAAATACCACGCCAGGTTCAAACATTTCGACTGTTCTGGTCATGACGGGAGACACATAGGACTGCGACTTCTGCGGTGCTCAGTGCCTGGACGTGTGCTGTTGGCGATAAGACTGCCATTCAAGTCGGCGTCGCCTAAGCGAATACATGCACCGCCATTGCAGCTCGACGAACTGTCTTACAGGTGGCCGCCCAATCATCGAGGTTACTGGATGCATTGCATTGTGAACCCCGCGGGATGGTAAGTGCTGGCCTCCTGGCAGCCGTTGGATGAGTCGAGTTGTTGGAGCGCCGAAAGGTGCACAGAACCATATGCTGATATTTGTTTCGGTTGTTCCTTAGATCTACGAACGAGCGGCCTCCCTGGGCGGTACATACCTGGAGGTTAAGCTCCTCGTAATGGTAAGTATTGGCCTCCTGACGTCTGTTGGGTGAGTATGATTAGAGCGCTGAATCGTGCACAGAATCATATGCTAACATTTGCTTCGCCTGTTCCTTAGATCTACGAACGAGCGGCCTCCCTAGGCAGTACTGACCTGGAGGTTAAGCTCAAGGTTCGGAATTGTCTACAACGACTGCGCTGTTATCGACGCTGACACCGCGTTCGCTTCGCTCCAATCACAATAACCGTGGCGTCCCGAGTCTGTGATATGACTCTGACTGACTTTCGTCACTCATGGCGGCCTTTGCACGCCTCTCGAATCAGGACAACACTTGCTATCCCGTGAGTCTTTGTTTCACTGCAATCCGGGCGTCGTCCATTCCCCGCGGACGGTCCATAAACTCATCCGTGTATCGTAGACATTGGGCGCTGAAGCTGACTCGATTCTTTTCAACTCGTCTCCTTTATGGTGTTGTCCTGGCTTTCTAGGGCTATGGCTCAAACAGGGCCTGCCAGTGACACTGGTCTTCCCCTCTCGCTACCGAGCGCAACCCCAAACTGGCCCTCCTACTACGTCTCTTAGCACGAACTCCAAACCTAGTGCGGGATCTCCATATTTGACAATCATGCACTCTCCTCGCCTACCATTTTGGGCCACACGTATACCGTGTGTCGATCGAGTTGGGCTGACTAGGAGACAAGAAGGTGGAGACCGAGACGAATATAGTCATCAGAGCATCGGGGCGTCTCAGGAGCCTGTGTGGCCGAACGGCATTAAGGGGTCGGACAGAGATGTGGCATTCGACGAGGTGTGGACCGTGTGCTCAAGAGGGTTGGAGTCATCGGCAATGGGGGTTATGTGTGCGTGCTTCCCATACTATTTGGGTTGGGATATTTGATTGAAGGATTTTTTTTGGTCCAGGACTAGAGAGCGCAGCTCGTCCTATTCATATCGAAGGAGCCGTCGACGGCGGTGATACATTTATGCAGAATGTCGCAGTGGTTCGTTCCACGGTGAGTGCTAGTATTCCACTTCGAAGAATTTATAGGTTAAACTGAGTTATCATGGAGCTGCCATACGGTTGATCGTTGTAGACGAATGGGTATTTACCCTTTCACGATTGGTTGTGAGGATCGCCATCTTTGTATTCACCAACTCAGCACTTCCTCGCCAGATGGATCTGTCCCATTTCTTTTCAAGAAGGGCGGTTCTGGACCTCAAAACGCGCTCGTGAAGTTCATTCGGCGTGTCCCCGGGCCCTGCACCAGTCTGTCGGAATCTGACGAGGGAATGACAGCTGTTGACCACATACATCAAGAGCAAAATTCCAGGCGAATATCACGAGAAATGGGTAAACAAAACTCGTTCGTAGAGTTCCACGGGACGTATGGCCCCATAGCAGTGTAGCACCGCGATGCAAATGAATCACCGTCGACCCATCCTAGTTCGAATGCCGCCTCCACAGCCCAACATCGACATCAACTAGACAACAATCAAACAAGTCGCCTTCGAAGGCCATCGAACTCAAAACGGGCGAGGTCATACCTCTGGACGTAATGGTCTACATCACCGGATCTACAATCGTCATAACTTCCTCGATATCTCATCTCTTGGCGTAGTGCGAGGGGTAAAAACAGCGACTTGCGCTCGGATCTCATGTTTTGTGTATGTGGGATCTGATGTCGATGGAGCGTTGTCAGGTTCCTGCGACGCTGACCGTCGAGAGCAGAAAAGGAAAAGACGCTCATGGGGACTGCCTGTCTGGGTACTACGGTACCCAGTTTTCGAATCCTGTCCATGTTGCATGGTGCGTCTAAATCCCAGGGCTTGCACTGTTAGCGTCTGCGTTATATGAGATGTGATTGAGATCAATGAGCTGAAACTGAAACGATGGAGTCTATGGGACCTAACACAGCAGGCTGACATATGTCGTTGATTTTCGTGGAGAAGAGCAGGTACGAACCAAGTCTCGTACAGATGATCGGCGTATCCATAGTGTCTTCTATGTCCTTGAGATCCAGTATGCGCTGCACCTCATCAAGTCCATCATCGACCATACAGTTGAATCATGCGAAGTCCTCGAGGCGATACAACCCATGAACAGAAAAGCGCCTCAAAAAGTGCGTCTGAGTGCATCGCAACTCATTCTATCGCACCGACCGAGAGTTTGGGAAATTCCTAGCGATCTGGCCTGTGGCTCTATTTTAGTAGCTCACGAGGACGGGTGAGGGTTTCGGACCATCATGCTGTCTGGGCAGAGGAATCTGAGAGGCGGTGTCGGATAAAGATCTGAAGAAATTGGATTGTTGGGCGTGGTGTGCTATTATAATTATTTGTGCTCGGGAGTGTTTTGAAGCGGGATGTGTTTCCGGGGTGAGCGTTGTGGGTAGATACTGTAAGGCTCAGTCTATGTATATGTATGTTACCTGGATTATACGATGTCATACCACGATATTTTTTCAGAGTTTTCGCGGACAAGTTTGGGCAAGAGAGCCAAATTGAGGTGAGACGGTTTGAGAGGGCGCGCGGGAGAGAGGTACGGGAGGAGCCGAATATGAATTTGCAATGAAAGCCGGAGATTGACCGCCGACGCTCTCGCGCAGCCAGCCATCGTCCTCCAAGGCCCTCGCGGCCGTCTCCCCCAGTCGCGCCTTCACCCTCAACATTTACTCTACTTGTTCCCGCCTATAGGCCGTCTCTTCCTTAGTTTCTTCCGCCATGTCCTCACATACCCACGGCTCCTCTACCGCCAACCTCGTAGGCGTCCACTATCGTGTAGGCAAGAAGATCGGCGAGGGCTCGTTTGGTGTCATCTTTGAAGGTGCGTCAATTTAGCTGTCCTAGCTTCTCAGGATGTGGACTGAAGAGTACATAGGCACGAACTTGCTGAACTCGCAGAGTGTTGCTATCAAATTCGTGCGTAGTAACCACTCTCCCCACCGGCGCCGATAGTTATGCATCCCTATCCTCTATCCTTCAGGAACCACGGAAAGCCGAGGCACCACAACTCAGAGATGAATGCCGCTCGTATCGTATACTCTCTGGCTGCAGTGAGTACTCGTTCACACCTTTCGTCTTGCGCGGGCCACCCACACTTTCACACAGCCGGAATTCCACAAATATACCACTTCGGCCAGGAGGGCCTCCATAATATCCTTGTCATCGACCTACTCGGGCCAAGTCTCGAAGACCTGTTTGATATGTGTGGACGTAAATTCTCAATAAAGACCGTAGCTATGGCCGCACGACAGATGGTGCGTCCTTCCATACCGGTCTCACCTTCACTTAGCCTTTCGTACTTACGTGCATCCGACCTAAAGCTCACCCGCGTACAAACCATCCACGAGAAGAATCTGATTTATCGCGACATTAAACCAGACAACTTCCTCATCGGACGGCCAGGCACCAAGAACGCGAACAGTAAGATTCGCCCAACTGGTTGTTGAACCGTGAGCTTATGACATCACATTTGACCATAGTCATCCATGTCGTCGACTTTGGGATGGCTAAGCAATACCGGGACCCAAAGACGAAGCAGCACATCCCATACCGGGAACGGAAGAGTCTTAGTGGGACGGCGCGTTACATGAGTATCAACACACATCTTGGTCGAGGTACGTGCTGTTGGAATATTCATTTGTTATACCGTCAATAAATATCTGCCGGGTACTGTAGAGCAATCACGGCGAGACGACTTGGAATCTCTTGGCCATGTCTTCATGTACTTTTTGCGTGGTTCATTACCTTGGCAAGGCCTGAAAGCCGCCACCAACAAGCAGAAGTATGAGAAAATTGGGGAGAAGAAACAGACCACACCCATCAAGGAGCTATGCGAAGGCTTCCCAGGTGAGCAGAACAATGTCAATGTCGCGGCTCACATTCCATCGATGTTGACAGTACGTTGTCAGAGGAGTTTGGTATCTACTTGAATTATGTCCGCAAACTTGGTTTTGAAGAGACTCCGGATTACGACTTCCTGCGCGAACTCTTCGCAAAGGTTATGAAGAACAACAACGATGTAGATGACGGCGTCTACGACTGGAACTTGCTCAATGGTAAGTGTATGTTCATTTGTATACTGTTGCTCTGATAATCAACTCGGCTTAGGTGGAAAAGGATGGGAGGCGTCGTCGGTGAGTTCCTCGTCCATCATTATGTTTTCATGACATTGGGGTCTGATTATCGTCCATGGGTAGGGCAAGAACCAGATTCTGTCGCAAATGCACAACCCAGGTGCCGGCGCACCCATGCCCCAAGACCGGAGAAGAGATCTCCAGCACAGAGAATCTGATCGTAGACGTGCATCACAGCAGCAGGTGTGTACTATTCCCCTACTCGTTATTGTTAGCAGAAGACTTAGAGCACAGCGCAATCAGGTTCCCGCAGCTCTTACGCCCGGACCAACTAACACCCCCGGCCAAGTTACACCCCTCTCCGCCGCAGCGCACGTCAATGTTCCCATCTCCGCACATCGAGCAAGCCACCTCGGAACACCGCAACACCCATATGCATCCGGTGGATACGACTATGCGCACGGACAGAATGGGCAAGACGATCCATACGGATCTGGGACGCAGCAACAGCCCTACGGGAGAGCGTCGCCCATGGTTTCGAGTGCGGCGCCGCCAGCGGTGAGCACAGTCCGAGCGAGGGCTGGTGAGGTCGGCGTTGCTAATACGAGTCGGGATATCGGTCAGGACGGCGAAGTAGTCCAACCAAAGAAATCAATATGGGACATTCTGTGTCGTTGTGGTTGACGGTCCATCCATTCGACCGTTGGCTTGCCTGTGGATCTTCCTTCTCTTGTTCTTCTCTTCGTTCTTATGTCTGCCTCGACCTCATCGGTTCACGTCGTCTTCATCTATTTGTCTCTTCAACGTCGACTCACGCTCATTGCTCTTCCTGTCTCTTTCTCTTCACTTCGCATCTCTTAAATTTTTTCTCTTTTTGGTTTTCTCGGTACACACTGCGAACTCTCCTCCCTCCTTCTTCCCTCTTACATATTTTCCTTCCTGTATATCCACTCGCGTCCCTCTCCCTTCCGGGCTTCGCCATCGCTCGTTACATCTTCAGGTCCAGTTCCCATCTTCCATCTTCGCCTTCTTCTTTTCTTATCCTTTTCTTCGCTCGATACCCTCCCTTCTGCCTTCTCTCCCTTGATCCTTGGGCGTTCGTAATTCGGTCGTCTCTTATGACCACGACTTTTGATTTTCTGCACCTCGCACCTTGCACCGGAAGTTTCTTCTTCTTCTTCTATTTCCTTCGTCTGACACATACTTATTCAGACACACCAGCTGTCGTCCGCGCCAGTCGTCACACAATGCATAATCTGAGAACTGAATATCACAGTGGCAGGACGGCTCCGTGCGATCTAAGAAAGCGGACCTTGCGCGTGACTTGACGAACTTCAATGTGCAGTATATACGTACAGAGGCTGGGTGAGGTATGACGAAACCAAAGCGCAAAGAAGAATGAGGTGGACGAAGTGAAATTCTAAACAGTGATGATAACAAGCTTGAAGAGGTACAAGAAGCGAAGCACTGGCGTGATGATGCATAAAGACGAAGAAAGGGAAACAAAGATAACACAAGAAACCGGGAGTAGAGTGTGCGATCCAAAACAGGTGGGTTTGCAAGACTTCGGAAGAAGAAAAGGGAAGGTACAGGATGAGGTTCGTCCAGGACTCCACAACTTGGGCTTAATATAGTGCAACGACAACGTGAGGACGGCATAAAACAGGTGAGGCAAAGGCGAGGCGGACAACGCACGTCGAGACGAATTAGAACCGTTACTAGTAAGGTGGACGTGAAGGACCTAGGCCGCCGCGACCTCTTCCAAAGCCGCTCCCTCTGTTACCACCCTGCTGGTTCTGATGGTGTGGTGTGAAGTCGAAATGTGGCTGATTGCCTTGGCGAGAACCTAGCGTGATTTTGGAAGTGGGATGGTGAACAAGAGGTTGCTAAAATGCGTCATTGTGTGCGACCAGGTACATACCATTGAAACCACGATCGTCACCGTAGAATTGACCATTCTGTTGCACTTGAGGATGAGTGATGTTTCGTGGGTGGTGTTGATCATAGGGTCTGGGACGTTGGCCCCCTCTACCACCTTGGTACCTCTGACCTCCCCCTCTGGGATTACTGTATCCTTGTGAGCGGCTCTGTAATCGGTATGAGCAACCAGCTTCGTCAGATCTGTTCAGAGGGCGCACCTGTGTATTTACATTGTACTGATTGCGGTTATCCTGCGAGTATGTTGGTTGTGAGTGCGTCCGACGACCCTGAGGGTTGTTCGAGTAGGCAGTGGTGGCATATGCTATCTCGACAGCATTGTCTTCCTCGATTTGAGGCGGGCCTATAACATAGCCATCCCGGCTGCTGGTCGCCCAACCATCCTGGTTGTTGACGACTGGCACGGTGGGAGCTACCTCAGGACCCAAGTTGCCCTGCGGAGGCGGGAACGAGCGGGGTTGGACAGTGGGAGCCATGGAAGCATTAGGGGGCTCCGTGACAGAGCGTTCATCCATCGCGTACTCGTCGTCCCTAGGCAGCAACTCCTCCATCCTGCTCAGCAGCATCTCCCCCTGCCTCTCCATTACGCCTAACTTCTCTTCAAGCATTGCTGACTTGGTCTCGAGCTCTGTCACCTTCATATGCAGGTCCTTGATGCATTTGGTTTGGCGATCGAGTTTCCACGACAGATCTGAAGAAGTTTTGTCCTTCGCCGCGCTCTGTCGCTCGAGGTGCTGCAATATCCTCACGAAGAGTTCCTCTGACCGGTGACTGACGTCCGAATTGCTGTCTGAAGACCGACTAGCCCCGGGATCCTGGACCTGCGACATGGGTTGGTCGTCGTTGAACTGGGAAGTGGCTGCACGCTCCGTGGGAGGAATGGGAGCAGATACATATGGTCGCGTGTCAGAAGCTTTGACGTTCGGCTGGAGGATCGTTAGTCCCGCATCATTCCCGACGAGGAAGTGTGATCACACAGAGATCGGATGGCGATGATGGCGACGATGAAGGTACATACACGCACCTTGCGCTTTCGCTCTTGCCTCGGCGGTTCGACAGGTGAATCCATGCTCTTCCGCTTCCGCTTGATGTGATCGACTTCTACGGCTACCGACCTTGACCTGGTGAATCGAGAGCTAGGAACTGCATCATTTTATGCGTAGACAGCATAGAATGCACTTAGGAAAATGGGAACTACGGAGATAACGATAGAGCAAGCGCACCTCGTTTGAATGACGACGTCAATTCGTGGACCAGGGTCGTGTTGTCTGAAATCTCCGGCGAGCCCGCTAACGAACGCAGAGGCATGTCGTCCTCTGATGGTGACGATCGCCACTCTCCCGTATTGTTGTTAGCGCTGCTCATGTCCATGATTCGTGCTGAAGTTTGCTTTTAGGAGGGTGAATGTCAGACAACTAGATGGGGAAGGGCAGTGAGTGCGATGGGGGTAGAAAGAGAAGCTCACAGCTGAGGAAAGCAGCTGGTCGTACCAACCAAGGTTGATATAGGGTTCTGCGCGCTCATTGATAGGAAGGCAGTACGGGAAGGCCTGTGCAGCTAAAACGAGCTGTATCCTAAAGAGTCTCAAAGGCGCGTCACCTGATACCTCGGCGTCTGAAGCTCTGCGTCTCTGCTCCTCGAAGGTCGCGTAGATGCTTGAAGAACGGTGGCGTCGATGAAGTTCCTCGTCGTTGTCTTGTCGGAGAGAGGCCTCGATAGCGTACGCTGAGTACACGCCGTTCTTCAAAAGATGCGCAAAACATAATCCGCGATGGCATTTGTCGCATGCAACGCCGTGAAGGGCATCTATCTGGTGTTTCGGGTCTTCGTCGGTGACATATTTATTGCACATTCTTTCGAGTTTGGACTGAATGACGCCTCATCAGGTTGTGGGCTAAAGATAAAATGGCACGTTCCCGCCATATGAATGATACTAGGGGGCTGACCTTGCGGAATTCTCGCGAACGCCACTCGTTAACATCGAGGCCCGCTGCAAATAACCCGATGATGGACGTCTTCAATAATTCCTTTCTAGAAAGGGGTTGCGATGGTATAAGATGGTATGATGATACTGCGAAGATGAAATGATCAAGGAACTTACCCAGATGTGAGCTCTTCCCTAGGCTTGCTACCTGGGATGCTGTTCAAAAGACGAACAGCATCATTACGTTTCTCGAAAAGGTCCTTCATTGGCCGGCATTGGTAAGGTCTCATGTGACCACAGACACAGACACGACCTTCAGCATAGCATCCTGGGCAGATGACGAGCATGTCGCTATCATACTCCTGAGCGCAACGGATGCAGCCGAAAAAACTCTGAAAGATATCAGCACCGCAGAAGTCGCAGTCATACGTGTCCCCATCTTGATCAGAACGGTCGAGGTGTTTGAACGTGGCATGGTCTTTGCCATACTCATCCAGGAGAACTTCGTCGAACAGTTCTATCAGGAAGTCCATCTCAGCCACTAGCACGGAATCTCTAAAGGAGCCGAAATCGTGAATATTTTGTGAGAAGTGCGAAATGTTATATCAATGACACTTACTTGCGGAGCTTGATGTCCTCGTCAACATTCTGTTTGAGCAGACGAGTTCGGTCACAAATTGTGGCGTACACCAGTGATTTGCATCGGTAGGTCTCCATTCGACAGACCCTGCAATTTCTCTGAGCCAAATTCATCACTGTTCTCCATCTGCATTTGACTAACCTTCGGTAAGTAGGTAATTCATGGCGAATAGCAATTGATACCCCTTTCACAGTCATACGGGACCATGATGCTTTCACGGTGAGACCACCATGGTTGACGACTTGATGGCAGCTGCGGGGAGGAACCAAGACAAGATCTCCCAACTTCTGCTCTGTTATATAAACAGAGAACGGGGCTGTTCTGAGCTCTTCTATGGACACATGATAGGACTCCTTGTCGAGGACTTGAGGAACCTTCAGTGTTTGGAAGAATTGTGCGACCGCTGGAGCGTCCGAGCTTCGTGTCATGAACCAGAACTGCAAGAAATATTAGAGCCATAAGCAGAAAAGTGAGTGGAGCAGAGATCGAGCATACTGCAGAGCCAGAGTCCTTTGTATACACCATAAGGTTCTGCCCAGAGCTGGCGCAATTGTCCTTATGCATAGGCGTGAAGGTACCGCTGCCGCCAAGATAGCACATGAGCGTTTCCACTGAAGACTATGCGCGAAGTCAATGTGCATGCCCATAAGAACGAGTTATATGCATACCGTATATTGTAAGATATCATTCGACGAAAATTGTCGGCAGGATTCCGGTATGGCATCCGAATCCTTCAACCATGATTTCCACTCGTCCGGACAAGGAGCGTCCTTGGCGTAGCACCGCCTTGAATCTTTCGCGGACTTTAATAATAGTAGCTATTTAAGGGGTATGGGAAAGCGTAGGACTTACCGCTCGAGGACTGGTCCAGAGTTGGAGATTGGAACTGTGCTATGAAGTCTGTGGTCCGCATTTCTGCATCTCGACGAGTATGCACATTTCGGACGTTGAGATCTACATGCGAAGCATCAACTCAACTAGAGGTAACAAAAACGGTTGAACGGACTCGGAGGGGCGGTCTGAGCAAAGTATTCAAGTGAGAACTTCTCGGAAGGCCACTGTGGGTGCTCGTGAATGTCGGAGACCACCAGAGGTATGCCTTTAGCTTCATGGTCGGCTAAGGTCGCAGAGAGTTCTTCAGAAAAGATAGGGAAACGTGGAACATGAAAGAAGTTTGAGGACGAGCTGACGAGCTCGTCAATGTCCAGTCCTTCAACCAAGATGCGTGAAGCAGGCACTCTGTCGGTGTTACCGATTGAAGACATTAGTCAAATCCACAGCAGAACGAGTTGTGGCGTCAGGTGTATGTGGCGATTCTCAAGATGAGGAGAAAGGTAGCTGTATCTGAAGCAAACAGCTTATAAAACAGAATTTGGGTCAGGGAGAGAAATCTCGAAGGTAGCGGAGTCGATGGCGGGACGGTGATTGCTGTGAGACGGTGAAGGGCAGATCTATATTTGGGACACATTTGGGACGGAATTGTCGCGAGCTGTTACGCGTCGGTCACGCCGCGACGCGTTTGTCACGCTCGAGTGGTTTCCTCTTCCCACTCGCGTACCAACGTCCTTTCGACTTTCACCATCGCCGGAGGCCCTGCTTCCTTGCCGTCGCTCACGATGTCCAACCCAAAGCCCGAGTTTGACATCTGGGAGTTCGTGAGCTGCGCCAAGTGTCACTTGCCATTCTCAGCGGACCCTGCTGCGCCTCCCTTGGTTCCGTTCTGGCTCACATCGTGCGGACATGTTCTTTGCAATAACCATATTAGTTTGTCGCCATCTTCTCTGGCTCAAGAGTTTGTAGACTCATCACTGCTTTTTGTCCTTAGGCTCGAATCAAAGCTGTGCAATATGCGGAGAGCAGCGCGTTCAGATGGTCCCACTTCAGAGAGAGGTACTCGATGGCTTTCTGTCCAGGTATCGGTTCGTCTCTAAATGTGTCGCGAAAAAACAAGATGGACGCTCCTATGTCGGATTGGTTCGGAAATGTGACATACTCCCTAGATGCGAGTGCTCATGCTGTCAAAGTGCGTCCATTCTGTCTCATTATACCGTGCAACCAACCTTACGGCGCCCACCGAAGTTCCAATTAGACACACTGGCATCGCTCGTACATTATTACAAAGCCAAAGCCGCCCAGCATAGAGGTATATTCGAGAAACTGAAGAGTGAACATCAAGAGTTGAAGGTCGTTAAGAAGTATGTTACACTCCTTTTTCATTGTTACCCCTCGTAGCCCTCGTCTGATGGTCCGACTAGGGAGATTGAGGAACTCAGATACGAAAACCAGCGGCTCCGGCAGTATGCGGGGCTGAACGAAGGAGATCCATTAGACACGTTGAACCAGAATGGAAAGCGAAGTAGGATTGATGCATTTAGGTTCAGTACTATAAGCAGCTTTCATCTTTGTGCCATCGGATGACCTGACTTCTCCTACTTAGTGCTGGGTCGCACTCGAGCCCGCGGTCTGTGCCTACTCCATTGGGTCCCAACCGGCTCACACTACCTCCCAATCAACAGCAACCACACCTCGGTCAGCGTCAGGATCACAACGGCCCACAAGGCCAGCAGTCTACAGGTGGTTATGTCTCGGAACCTGATACAAGAAATCGCCCAGGTTCTAGCCGTTACGCACAGTACGGCATCTCCATGTCATGTTGTTCTGAGCTTCACTGACACGGTACACAGACGCTATGCCTACGCGCCTCCTCAGACTCCAGCAAACGACGTTTCTCATAGCATACAGCCAGGTCCTGCACCTCCACGAGCCCGCAATACGATGCCTCCCCCTCCAACGCCTCTCGGTGGCGGAGCCAGAACTCAAGACCGAGGACATTCTCGATTTGACCCTGCTTCGCCTGCCTCAAATCAGGCCGGAAGTTCGCGTCACCCGCAGGCAACCAAATTTCCAGCTGTCAGCTCTATGCAACCCCCACCCTCACGAGCACAGCATCAGACGGCTGCCTCTGGAGCAGTCGTCCCAAGACATCCACAAAGCGTCTTTCCTGCAGCCTCTTCGAATCACTTCGCTCCTCCTGGTTTTGCATCTTCTCAGAGATTTGTTCCCGAAACACCGTCTGGCAATTCGAGACGATTCCTCCCTCCAACTGTCACTCAGTCTGCGTCTAGATCTTCTCGTGCTCCTGGTACATCTGGCTCTTCTGGGACTCAGCGAATGCAGTTCGGACACGGTGCGCAGTTTGGGTGAAGGGTCGAGGCGCTTTGCTTTTTCTTGTACTCGTGCATTGTGTGGCGCGCGTGTGTTATCAGCTGAACTGTACTCTTTTTGCACTTATTCCATCGTTGCTGCTTGTATTTATATATATTGTATCTTGTACCACGACAAACATGACCATGACACCAATCCTTAGGGAGGTATGAAAGAAGAGAGTGTGGCGTGAGTGTGGCACTCACGGTTGCGGGCGTGCATAGCCATGCCAAGACGAGCAAGACACTGCTCCGCAGTGAATCATTCTCCCCTCTTCTTGCTCAGCGACGTCGAACGCAGCGCTGGCCACTGCCCTTTTCCCTTCTCCTTCTACTATCATCATCTTCACATCCTCACGACCTCTCCAAGTCCTTCCTGACCGTGTCTCTTCTGTTTTCCTCGCCTAATTCATCAACCACACGGCGCCCAGTCAATTATGAGCTACGCGGATCCATATGCCACGAGGCACCAACAGTATAATGAGCCGTATAATCAGACCCCTGCGGACTACGACCCTTACAACTATCGCCCACACGAGACATATAATCAGGGAGGCTACCAGGACGGAGCTTACAGAGACGATCCGTCTTACCCCACACAAGTGCCAGTGCAGAATGTAGGAAGAGGGAAGGAAGTAGGGTTTGAAGAGCCAACTTATGCTGACGCTGCGAGAACTCCTCCGTGAGTGCTTTGATTTATGAATCGCTTGTTGGAAATTTGGACGTTTCTCTACTGTACTGACGAGTATCATGATTGGTCGTCTGATTGTCCGTTCGCAGGGACTCACGAGGCCTCAGACAATGGAGAGCAGACAATCAAGGCAATCTATGGACGAGTGTGAGTCTGTCGTCGTCTCGCATGCAGGATACAAAATCTTACATAGACTCCAGGGATCACGTCCTAGATGTATATGCAGATTCTTCGGCTGCTTCGTTCTCACCGCCCTCTTCCTCCTAATCTCGATTTTACTTTCACTTGCTCTTGTACGCCATTCTGTTCCACGACTCGCACCTTCTCCGTGCTAAGATGTGCTGCTCTTACCAGTGGATTCAACCACCAAACATCGTTATTGGAGACGTACAAACATCAACATCCACAAGCGCGGTACGTCTGTCTTAACCACATCAGCAGCGTCTATGCTCTTATGCGGGTATCACCTAGTTCCAACTGGTGACGAATGGACTGCAAATCAATCTGAACGTCAGCATCGAGTACGTTGTGCGCCTCAATTCGTTCGATTTGCATTCTCTGCTTACCCCCTCCCTCAGCGTCGACAACCCAAACTACTTCGCCGTCGATTTCTCGAAGATTGTCGCCGACGTACGTTCCGATCTCTTCTCCGTCCATCTCTCTGGACTGAACGAGTTGTTGATTACACGCAACCTCTCAGATTTACTACCCCATCAACAATACTCTAATTGGCGGTGGTAACGAGACAAATATCAAGTTCCCAGCGGGGACTAACACCAACATCTCCTTCCCATTCGATATCAAGTACACGACCGACATCGACCCCGACGACTCCATCATCAAAGATCTTGCTACCAAGTGCATAGGTGGTGACCAAGTGACAGTCGACTTTAAGATCACTGTGAGTCGCGTCCACATATGCGCAGTGTTACGACATGAAATGAAAACAGCGCTGACATACATGTTTGGATTGTGTGCTTTTGATGTGAGTAGTTGAGTCTCAAGGTCTTGTTCGTCACGATCTCGCCGGTCGTGAGCAGTAGTACATCGTTCGATTGCCCTATTACCGAATCGGAGATAGAGGTAAGTCGTTCTCTCACCCAACAGTCACGGCTAGCATCTAACATACAGCGCGCGCCTCTTACAGGAAATCGCTTCGTCGCTAGGTCTCAGTAGTATCTTAGGAGATATATGATTGTGTTTGTAGGTACAATTGAGTTTAGTATGGATTGCCCTTCACCCGCAGATGTGTTTGGACTCGACCTCCGAGTTTCTTGATTATCGCTTTCGCTTTGTTTCATGATTTGAGACCCGATGGACGCTTTCGACATTCTAGTGGACTCTCTAGTATTACCATTGTGTTACCTAGTACCTTTGTGTATACGTATATGTGCACCTTCCGCATCTTGAAGGACAAACCCTACTGTAACCAGAGCCTGTAGAGGCAAGTAGGTCGATGTCTGGCTCCGCGAGGGAGATTGCCCTACTCATTCCCCCGGCCAGAGCCTGAGATGGTTCGCCGATCGGGCTCTGTCTACGCCGACTTCTGGGGCGCCGGTTACGTAGTTCTTGACCACCAACGAACCACCAGACAAAACAGACCCCTACAGGCGAAGTGCATGACTGAGACGATATGATCATATTAGTGCAAGTTCGACATCCTCCTCGGCTTTCCGAGTTTCTCATATCACCCCGACGAGTTTGCGGCCGGAGATCATATAGGCTCAGGTAATTCGTAGCATCTCTCTTCATCCCCCCATCAACCATGGCCTCCCCCGCTTCAGTCGCCGTTCATGAAGCTCTCAAATCTCCACCTTTCCTTACCGTCGACGGTCTCTTCAACTTCCGAGACGTCGGAAACCATTATGCTGCTGGTGCTGGCCCTGAACCCTCGGATGCGAAGCCGCTTTTCGTGAAACCATCCTACCTCTATCGCTGTGCCGAGCCCTCGCATATCACGCCTAAGGGGAGGGAACAGCTCAAGGAGCTGGGTGTGAAGAAGGTCTTCGATTTCAGGTCGGAGTTAGAGATCGAGAAGTATAAGCAGGGGCCGATGGATGTCGAGGGTGTGGAGGTGGTGCATTGTCCTGTTTCGGAGGAGGAGAAGTACGATCCTGTTAGTCTTGCGAAACGGTGAGTCTCGCTACCTTCAAGTTCATGATTGCTTTGATCTGAATTGACTCTCCATCGATTCGCTACTGGTCACAGTGTCCAAGACTTTGGTTCGGATTCGACTCAGGTGTGTGGTGGCGAGAATGGCCTTCGGGGCGTATCTGACGACCTCACACTAGGCATTCGCGAAGCTATACGAGGGTATCCTAGAGGGAGGTGGCCCTGCCTTCGAAGCCGTCTTACGCCACGTGAAAGATCATCCAGATCAACCGTGTGTGGTTCATTGTACAGGTCCGCTCTCTTACCATCTATCATCTTGTCTCTTCTCAACAATATACGCACTGTACTGACAACCCTACGCCATCTTTCTTTGTTTAGCTGGAAAGGACAGAACGGGAGTCTTCTCCGCCGTGTTTCTCAAGGTACGAGTTACCGTTCGCTTCCAATTGACGTATGCAGTTCACCGCGTATATATTTATATCTCTGCACCTTGTTGCGGCAGCTACTGGGCGTGAGTGACGAAGACATCGCCAAAGACTACAATCTCACCGAGATCGGGCTGGAACCGCTCATGCCGGCTCTCATCGCGCGGTTCCAGAAAGAGCCTCGGTTCAGAGATAACTGGGAGGCCACACTGAAGATGGCGAGTGCGAAGTACGTCCTCTTCGTTATTCTCGTGGCCGTCCATCTTGATTTTCACCTTAATGCTTCTCCTGTGGTGTGTGGTGACCTGCGCTCAGGCCGGAGACGATCCTGAAGACGTTGAGCATCGTTCAAGAGAAGTACGGGAGTGTGGAGAGCTACCTGAAGGCGAGGACGAGTTTGACTGACGAGGATCTAGAGGCTATCAAGAAAGGCTTGCTGATCGAGTCCTAGGTGTGCTGATAGTAACAATGTAAAAACACGTAGAGGACAAGAACATACTAGCCATGTTGTACTAGAGGAGATTGTATTGATACCCAATACAGTTGCTATGGAATACTAGTCGTTTATACAATGGAAAATACATTCAATCCATATATTCTGGCAGAAAAGCTCGAGGTGTACTGTGACGGTTCGAAGAAGCCTCTATAAGTAAATAAATGAGTGATTCCAGGAACCTTTCGAGACCGATGTACTAAACAAAAACCCAATCAGCGACCAGCCTCCCCTTTCCCCATTTTCATACTCTCAAATCTCTCCCATTTCTTCTTCTCCCCCTCCCCCTCTCCCGCACCCACCTCATCTTCTCCCATACCCTCCTGCAACGTCTTCTCCACTTCCCCCTCACTCATCTCCATCTCCTTCCCGATTTCTTGCCCCACCTCCCTCTCTTGCTTCCTTGCTTCCTCTTCATTGACCCCTCTCGCCCCCACATCCACCAAACACCTTCCCACACACCCCCTCCACTTCAAATGTCCATCCACACCCTTACATTCCACATTCTCCACCCCCTGCACCTCCACTTTTCCCAATCCCGCCACACCCCAACTCGCCTGCGAAGCTCTACTCAATACCGCCAATACATAATCTTGCGCTGCGTAACCGTTCACCAGTCTCCCCGACACGAGACGACGTATGGAGGACCAGGGTCGAGGGTCGGTGGACACGGGAGTGCCGAAGAGGAAGACGTCGGAGATGAGGTGCGTTGTGGAGGAGGGTGGATATTCGGCGGTGTTTTCGGCGAGGATGCGGAGGGCTTCGAAGATTACGAGGGAGCCTAAGGAGTAGCCGGTCAGAGTGATTGGACGGGTACCAAAGGCGTGTGAGGAGAGGAGGGTGGCGAGGACGGCCCCGGCTTTGAGAGCGAGAGCTCTGGCGTTCATCCATGGGTTATCTGGATGAGTAAAGTGAGTGCGTCAATAAGACAAGAAGAAGCTGAGAGCATAGGGTGGACAATGCGTACCGATGATTTTGCCGACTTTCAAGAAGGCCATCGGTGCGAGGGAAGTCATGAGGGCGGCAAAGATCGTTCGTCGGATTATTTCCGCTTGAACGTACTTCATAGCCTGCGACTTCACTAGTGTATACATCGCGTTGGACAGATCCTCAAGGGCTTGAACCTCCTACAACCGTATTGAACCTGAATGAGCATCCGGACACGAACAAGCGCAAACACAGATGCTCACCCACTGCAGCGCAAACGTATCGTCTCCCTCAAATACTGTCCAAGGCGCAGTAACATCACCCTTCTCGCTCAACCACCCACTAACACAAAGTCTGAGTGCCAACGTCTCTTTAGGCTTCCTCACGGGCACGACCTTCAGATCCCTGATCTCCCTCGTATGTCTCTCCACCATATTCGCAGTAGTCTTCGCTCCATACGCGCCGAATAGTGCACCACAAACGACACCCGAGCTCGCAAGGCCACTCGCCAATAAGCCAACAGCAGTGCCACCGACTCCAAGAGCACCAAATAGGGCACTGACGGCTCCTCCGACAAGAGGCGCGGCTAGGCCACCAGTCACCCCTACGAGCACGCCACCTGCCACAGCGCCGAGACCCATTCCCATCATGCGCAGTGTTTTACCACTGTCTGCATGTTTCTTCTTCGCGCTATCGACGTACTGTTCTGCGTGCTTGACAGCAGCATCGGGATCCTTGAGAGTGGCAGCAACGACAAATTCATCTGGCGGGCAGTCTGGGGAGAAGGCGGTGAGGAAGGCGCGTGTGCGAGCAGAGTAGCGTTTGGAGGAGGTGATGTGGAGGAATAAGATGGCGTTTAGGGTTCGAGAGAGTTGGTCGGGAGGTGGAAGGGGTGGGAGGTCGCCGACCGAAGTATCCGACAGAGGGTCCAAAGTCGGGCATTTGCCTAGAGAAATGAACCGATCCCCCGAGATCAGGACACATTAATGTGTATGTCAACTGTAGAATGACCGCAATAACGCACCTCCTCCGGGTTCCTGACACGCAAACCACGCATTCTCTAGTAAGGCCTGTCCCCAGGCGTCGACCTCGCGCATAAACTCTTCACGGGTTGCAGTAGCTTCTTCGTTGCTAGCATGTGTGTCAGAGGAGTGATGGAATTCCTCCACACGAGCGTAGAGCTCTGCGGAGTGACGATACACGGCCAGTCGACGAAACAGGTGTTCGAAGAGGGTCTGTCTGTCCGCCTCAGAGAGGTCTTTTGGCGGGGTCAGTTTCGACAAGTCAGCCATGCTTAAGCCTATAACCAAGTGAGTGGTGCGGTATCAGAGTGTGTTCAAGGTTGTCTGCCGAAAGAGAACGTCGACCAGTTTGACTAGCGCTTGCAAGTGCTGCCTGCATTCATCCGGGAGGACAGCCATCTTGCGGAGAGTATGATGACGTCGGCTCGTCCAGCAATAAATGACACTGAACCCTCTTGAGCCCAGCGAGCGAACCAACGGCGAAAAAGAACGGTCATGCTCTCCGGAATAATGTCTTGAAGCATTTCGACCGTCCAGTGTATACCCTCGATATCTGAAGAACTCGTCATGAAAACGTTGAAGGAGAGCCGCAGAGACAGGCAGAGACGTGTCTGGCATGACAAATTCATGATGGCGCGTTCAGCACGTGACCTGCATCGCGTCGCGTCGCTCGTGTCGCGGCACTAATCGCGATCGAGTTTGTTCTGTGTGCCATTGTTCTCTTGCCGCCGGTGCCATCTGTGTCATGACTTCTGCCCTTTGTCCCGTTATCGCCATCGATACCGTTAGCGTGTGAATATATTTTTGCGAACAGATATAAAAGGGCGCCCTCCTAGCTTGACCTTCACATCACCTCCCTCCCTCCAACTTCCACCATCCCGACCAACTCATCCCTCCCTCTTCCCCTCCCCTCCTTTACACCTCTTCAGTACCATACTCCACGCGTATTCCTGGTATGGAAGCGCGTTTCGGAGGGAGCTGCGTCGCTGCCGATGAGTTAGGCCGGTGGACGCCTAGGACACCCTATGCCGCTCTCCCGGTTGGCGCAGTGACCTCCTCCCGCTGTTGGTAGCCCATCGACTGGACGTGGCAGGTGGTTAACTTGACCCACTGGGGCCTTCCTCGTTGTGCGACCCAGCAGTTGGGCCTTTTCTTTCGATTTCGTTTGAGGCTGGTCCTCCCCTTTTCTCTCCATTCCTGCGCCTCGTCCACCCTCTTTGACTCCTTTACTACTATACTCACGCGTATTCCTGGTATGGAAGCGTGTTTCGGAGGGAGCTGCGCCGCTACCGATGAGTTAGGCGGTGGACACACGACACCCTATGCCGCTCTCCCGGTTGGCGCAGTGACCTCCTCCCGCTGTTGGTAGCCCACCGACTGGACGTGGCAGGTGGTTGACTCGTCCCACTGGGGCCTTCCTCGTTGTGCGACCCAGCAGTTGGGCCTTTTCGTTTCGTTTCTTCCGAGGCTGGTCCTCCCCTTTTTTTCTCCTGGTACAGCGTCGGCCTCTTCGTGGCCCAGGAGACCAGTACCTCTGTGGAAGAGGGAAGCAAACAGACGCTCGTGATATTCATCACCTATCCTTCAGCTATACAATTCCACCCTCCCGCTCTAGACGACAGGTCCGCCCAACGACTTCCTCAAGAGCATCAAGACCCTCCTGGTATAGCGTTGGCCTCTTCGTGGCCCAGGAGACTAGTACCTCTTCGGAGGGAAGCTAACAGACGCTGAAGAGATGGGTTGGATCACTGACGACGTGTACGTTCTCGTTCTTCTATCGCGTTATGTTACTCTGTTTGTTGACGTCCACCGTTCCAGTTCACTCGCAGCAGCTTCGAGAGACACCGACACAGTGCCGGTGCGTGAGGTCTATGTTTCTTGTTTTGTTTATATCAGTGCTCCAGACGACAGGCCCGTCCATGTGGCTCCTGTACTATACACAACCCGGAACATCGGTGGGCGAGGGGTTCGATCTCTTAAGTGGTGGTGGACCTTTCGCACCGGAGGCTGTTTTGACGACCGTGCGGGGTAACCGTCGGTTCGTATTCCTGAACCACCCACCAAGACCGATAGACGGCAGAGCGGACGTATGTCATCTACGACGCTTCAAAGGGTGGCAGGTTGGGCCTCATGTTCCTCCCTTCAATGGGCAGGGTCATTTTATGATCATGATGAATATAACTTTTAGTCGAGTTATCTGTAATTATGTGTGCAAGGAGGGTAATCATCAGCCCCATGCAGTACTGCGAAAGGTCGTTTTGGCTCGCTATAGGGACCTAGCCTCCCCGTCTCTGTAATACGTCTCGCACCACACTCTCCGAAGTCTCCCAGAGTGTCTTCGCAAGAGCCGGATCTCTCGCCTCCTTCGTCAATGCACCCACCTCGCCAAACGGTACCAGATACTTCCCCTTGTACGTCTCTCTCGCAGCCGCGACCTCTGCCGACGTAGCGGCGAAGAGTGACGTGAATGCACCTTGTAAAGGGGTGATCGCGAAGGGGTAGGTAAGATATAACACCCAACGAGGAGAATTGTCATTGAGACCCTCTAGAGTGGGAAGACGAGGCGCAACGATATCAATATAGGTTCCAAAGCGACTGTGAGTCGTGGGGATATGGTAATGGGATGGATGTACCTGTGTCAACGGTCCCAGGGTGGACTGCTAAGACGGTTATAGGAGTTCCTTCGGCATCGAGTCTACGCTGGAGCTCCGCTACCCAGAGAATGTTCTGCAACTTCGTCGTTCCTATTCCATTGCAAACAGTGAGCATGATCAAGGCAATAGTGCACACTGTACAGCACGGATAAGGAGGTGTACCATATCTCCAGAGCCTTGTGAAAAAGGTGTTTTCTTTTCCGGGTTTGCCTTGAACAGAGTTAAGAGCTTCCAGGCTAGAGAAGTCCTTCGATCCCGCTTGGTTGTATACCGCCGAGCTGACCTGTGGAAGCCAAAGAATCGCATCAACGATAGATGCAAACGTAGTGTTCAAATCAAGGACTTACAGCTACAATGCGCACGTCAGCTCCAGGCAGTTGCGCAGTTGACTTCATAAGAGGCAACACGGTCTCTGTGAGAACGAAATGACCAAGGTGGCTGTAGATCAATGCTCAAGATTAGCGAGCGAACTATCTAGAAAAAGCAGAGATGCATACTTGACAGCCACACCCTTTTCGATGCCGTCCTCAGATAGTTCATAATCCCTTGCAGCCCATGCAGCATTATTAACTAATAGCGTCCAATACCAGCGGCCGATTGACAGACCATGTGAGTAGTGTCCTTAGATGCGATTGATTCTGCCGACAAGATAGAAAAATAAACACTGACTTAGAATATCTAATCGTGTCTCCTTCTGCAGCAGCTCTTCCCCAGCTTTCTTGGCAAGTCTCATGACAGACAAGTCCAGCGGCAACCACACCAGCCTATCCTCCAAATCAAGTCCATGAGTTTCTTTTCGCATCCTGTCAATGGCATCCCTAGCCCTAGACTCAGACCGGCAGCCAAGGTAGACCTTTGCTCCTCGTTTCGCCAGTTGCAAAGCAGTCTGGAAGCCCACCCCCGAGCTGAGTTGCACGCGAGACCGTGTGAGGCCAGTGAGTGACCATAGAGATGGCGGGGGTGACGATGCATGCGTACTTTGCTCCAGTCACTAACGCGACCTTTCCTGTCAGGTCAGGAATGTCTCGAGATGGGTCGTATGTTGGCTTAGAAAACAAGAAGCCCATGATGTATGGCGGAACACAGGATGGTATGTATGCAAGAGCAAAACACCGCTCAATTGGCTCTCTTGCGCACACAGCGGCATGACGTGGCACGTTCCCATACAGTAGCCTAGAGTGGATTCCACAATAGGATCCGAAGGCTGTCAAGCTGAGGTTGTCCCTACTTGGTCCCTTCAGTCATCGTAATGAGCAGCTCAGAACAGTGATGGGTGTTGTTGCTGAGCGTTTGGCGCTTAGTGTTGAGCCCTTCCTTCACTGATCTACACGTCTGTAGTATAAGTGGCGCACAGGTACATTCGCATCGTACCGCGTAGAAAACGTGTCGCATCTTCGATGTGGTTAGCTGCGATGTGCCAGCTCTTACTGGTCGAAATTATTATTTCTCTTCAAGATGGAACTGTAGCTGGAGATAGCACGGCGTCAAAGCAGGGCATTCGATCTGGGTCCACTTTGCATCGTGGATCTGAGTCTTTGGCTGGCCGCGCTCTACGGGACTCGTTGGGTATGGCGAGGTGGACATTACGTTGTTCTGTGCGAGTGTACATCGTCAAGGAAGCTGTTTGGTGAAGTATCAAACCCAGAATCGTCAAGAGCGAGTGAACAACGATCTTGGCATCAATGGGACACAGAGTTCTCGATAGATACCAGGAACATCTACCATGGTCATAATAGGGAGCCCTTCGCCGCAACGTAGACGGCTCACACTTCAAGGCATAGGTATTGAATTTATAGAATGAAGCGACGTGGCTTACCATCAAGACCTAGTCTCCTCGTCTCTGCAAAGTGTCTCGCACAACACGTTCAGAAGTTTCCCAGAGGGTCTTCGCAAGTACGGGATCCCTCGCGTCCTTCGTCACTGTGCTAATCTTACCGTACGTCATCAAAAATGCGCCCTTATACGTTTCCTTTGCAGCCGCCACCTCCGCAGACGTAGCGGCAAACAGCGACGTGAATGCGCCTTGTAAGGGGGTCACTGCGAAGAGGGAGGTCAAACAGACGAGCCACATAGGGAGGTGGTCGTATCCCTCTGGATTAAGAGACAGGGGGACTTAATGTTGTGGCGTGGAGTTAAGACAACGGCGGTGACATACCTGTCTTGACGGACCCGGGATTGACTACTATGACGGTTATAGGAACCCCTTCTGCGTCAAGCCTACGCTGGAGTTCCGACGCCCACAGTACGTTCTGGAACTTCGTGGTCCCTGTTCAATGGACAATAGTGAGTGTGAACGGTTTGATCAGTGTGAGTTGTGCATACAGTGCCTCCAGAGCTTGGAGAAAAAGGTGTTCTCCTTTCCAGGTTTGCCTTGAACAGAATTAAGGGCTTCCAAACTAGAGAAGTCCCTCGATCCCGGTGAGAAGTACGCCACACTGGCAGAAGTGACCTATCGAAGTCAAAGAGTCGCGCCCGCTGTTAGTGAGCGCAAATATGTTGCTTGGGATTCTAAACATTCAAAGCTTACAGCCACAATGCGGACGTCAGCTCCGGGCAATTGAGCGGTTGATTTCATGAGAGGTAGCACAGTGTTTGTGAGGAGGAAGTGGCCGAGATGACTGGAAACCGATGCATAGACTTAGCAGTTCGATTGTCAATTGGAGGGAGAAGATACACACTTGACTGCTACAGCCTTTTCGATACCATCTTCGGAAAGCTCATATGCCTTGATGGGCCACGCAGCGTTATTAACTAATTGTGGAGAATTAACGATGAGTATTTCGCCTCTGACCGGCTCCCCTTTTGAAACGGAAACTGACCTAGAATGTCCAACCGCGTCTCCTTCGACAAAAGCTCCTCTCCAGCCTGATTTGCGAGTTTCATGACCGACAGGTCAAGTGGCAACCAAACCAGTCTGTCCTCCAGATTAAATCCAGGAGCAGCTTTGCACATTCTGGCGATAGCATCTTTGGCTCTTGACTCCGATCTGCAGCCAAGGTAGACCTTTGCTCCTCGTTTCGCCAGTTGCAAAGCAGTCTGGAAGCCTACCCCCGAGCTGAGTTGTACGCGAGACCATGTGAGGCCAGTGAGTGACCATAGAGATGGCGTGGGTGACGATGCATGCGTACTTTGCTCCAGTCACTAACGCAACTCTTCCTGTCAGGTCAGGAATATCACGAGAAGGATCGTACGTTGGCTTGGAGAAAAAGAAGCCCATGTTTGTGACGAAGTATAAGATGAGTGCAAGAGAGAAAGACAAGTCAACACTCGCCCAAGGCCCCAAGCTGACACTCGTCGGAATTGCGAACCGTGCCGGTATAACGCGTACACGTCCGGACACCACTGGGGTGATCATGATTTCTGCAATTAGAGCTGGTCGAGCTAGTCTCCTTCACAGACATTTATAATGATGACAATCGATCACTGTTATAAGTGGTCGAGCTGCGTCGCCGTCTCAAACGACAAAGAGTGATGCATGATGCCGCATGCACGATGGGTCAGAGGAACAAAGATCAGCCTCAGGGAAATCCCGGAAAACGGGTGAGGAAGAGGTCTACGCGTCTGTGGCGTTCAGTCGCGGTCCACGTGGAAAACGCGTCGCGTTGGAACCGATCGCGCCGTGCCAAGCATGGTATTGTCCCTTGTCTTGCCTGCTGGTTCTGCCTTTGTTCTGCATTCGCTCCGGCACAACCGGTGACACATCCTTAGGCCTGCCCGACGATCTTTGTTTCATCGAGTGATGTAATGGTCGCAAACGCGCAGCCTTCGCTTCGCAAAAAGTATAAAAGGCCCTCGTCCAAGACTCTTTCCGTCCCAGCGTCATCCCATCCTCACAACCTCTCACCTACAGCACGACGGCTCGAACACACCGCCGCCTCTACTCAAGCACCTGCCTCGCCGGGCTTGGGTACGCTTCACTTTTCTCATTTTGTACTATACTATGCGCGTCTTCCTGGTATGGAAACACGTTTCTCGGGGTTCGCTGCGAGACCAAGGGTGTCTGGGCATATGCATGCCGCTTCGCTCGTGCTGCATACAGCCACGATAACATTCGCCTGCGGTCGACACAGAGAGCTCCCCCGCTGCGGGATCGTATCATCGACTGGACGTGGCAGGTGGATAACTCTGTCCCACTGAGGCCTTCCTCGTTGTGCGATTTCGACTTCTGGGCCCTTTTTTGGCTTCGGTTTTTACTGGGTGGTGGTGTTGTGTTTTCTCGGAGGAAGCTGCAAGACCGAGGGGTGTTTGGGTGAACGTATGTGACACTCATCCCTTGCTTAAACCAGCGACCTTCCCCGTCGCGGCTAGTTCATCGAGAGGACGTCGTGGTTGAAGAACTCGCGGCTATCCTCGGTGGGCAAAACCGACTTTGGGCCCTTTCTTTCTTTGGTCTCGACTTCTGTGATTCTTTCTCTCTTATTTAAGTACTAGATGCTCGGCGCGGCAGGGCGATGGACACGACTTCCTCAAGAGCGTCAAGACCCTCCTGGTATAGCGTTGGCCTCTTCGTGGCCCAGGAGACTAGTACCTCTTCGGAGGGAAGCTAACAGACGCTGAGGAGACGGATTGGACCACTGTCGACGTGTGCGTTCTCGTTCTTCTATTGTATCATATTATTTTGTTTATTGACGTCCCACCGTGGTAGCCCAACCGTACATCGACACAGTGCCAGTGCCCGACGTTTATGTCCCTTCTCTCATTGATATCAGTGCTCCAGACGACAGGCCCGTCCATGTGGCTCCTGTACTATACACAACCCGGAACATCGGTGGGTGAGGGGTTCGATCTCTTAAGTGGGGTGGACCTTTCGTACCGGAGGCTGTTTTGACGACCGTGCGGGGTAACCGTCGGTTCGTATTCCTGAACCACCCACCAAGACCGATATATGGTAGAGCGGACGTATGTTATCTACGACGCTCCAAGGGGTGGCAGGTTAGGCCTCATGTTCCTCCCTTCGATGGGCGGGGTTGTCTCTTTGATGAAAATATAGCTGTTGGTCAAGATGCTTTGCCTCTGCGCTGAAGTTGTGCTACACATGTCACGGTCGTGAATTATATAGCAATCCTCTGATTAAAAAGGCTGATTAGGATAGTAAGCGACACCAGCAGGATTTGAACCTGCGCTCCCAGAGGGAAACAGATTTCTAATCTGTCGCCGTAACCACTTGGCTATAGTGCCATGCAACTGCAGGTCTTGAGGGACAACATGATGTGGATACTGTCAACGCTCGAACGGGACCGACGAAATGGAGTGATCCGGCAGATCTGCAGGGCGGGAGTCACATCGCTAAACGCGCTAAAGTCTCGGTTCCTGGCGCAGAACCTCGTCTTCTCTGCAATAAACGTCTGATGAGTGATGCGCTGTCGGACCCGCTCACTCTCGGAGACACCGCCACTGCCGATCACTTGCTCTTCCTCCTAAGCCTTGCTAATCCCGTACTAAGCAGCACATGATGCTTAATTGAGCCTCAACGACGGCCTATAAGTTCTAGAGACCGGATATATCCCCCTCTTGTCTCTGGCTGCTTCTGTCCTCTCAGGCTGCATCTCTAAATAACCCTTCGCGCATTGACATGGCGACCGCGCCAGGTCCAACATATCTCCAGTCCTTTGTAGGAGGCATCGGTCTCGCTCTCCCCGTCCATACCTTGCTTGTTTTGAACGGCAATGTCTTTGGTATCTCGGGGTTCTTGCATCGTGCGGTTAGAGGCCAAGTCGAGGGCGCGGTGTCCGTGCTGGGTCTGGTACTGGGAGGTGCGCTCGTTGGGCTGCTTGAAGGCGCGGGTAGGGCGCCGAGAATGTTCGATGCGGCTGGGCCTACGGTCATGATCTCGGGTTTGCTTGTTGGACTGGGGACGAAGGTATGTCGTTGGTTTTAAGTGCATATATCATCATCGGAATACTTACTTCAACCAGATGGCGAACGGGTGTACTTCTGGGTAGGTGTCTTCGTCCACATAAATGCTTTGTGCTATCATCGTTCACTCAAACAACAACATAACAGACATATGATCTGCGGAATGTCAAGACTGTCCCCTCGGTGCGTACCCTCTCAGGTCTAAATGACCGGCATTTATTGACTATCTGCATTCATACAGCTCCATCGTAGCCACCGCCACATTCATGCTCACTGGGTTTCTCACAACTCGCGCCCTTCACTCTATGTCCTTACCATCGCTCGGCCAACCCGATTTTACACTCGGGCCACATGGTGTGGCGTTCGTCACCGGTTGCGGTCTCTCCCTCCTAAGTGCCATCGGCCTTTCATACCTAGTATGCCAATTTTCCACATAGTACATACCCTTGGTCTTCTAACCCCCCTCTTACTTCCCCCCTCTAACTCTTCTCTCCCACTCAAGCTCGGCCCCCGATCAACACCTCAAAAGACTGCATCCTCTCAACCAACCCCCACCTCCAAACCACCCCGCCTGCTCATCTCCCTGTTCACCTCCACCTCCTTCGCCTTCTCCCTCCGTCTCGCAAACATGACCTCCCCACTCCGCGTGCTCGGTTTCCTCGTCCTTCCTCCACACCCATCGTTCGACCCCTCGCTTGCCGTTCTCGCCGTCGGGGCCCTGCCACTAACCATGCTGCTGTACCAAACGCATATCCGGAGCCAGAGAAAGAAGGGAGTAGGTTCTTCTGGTGTTGAGGCGAAAGCGCAAGTGGCAGCGAAAGCGAAGATAGACTGGAGACTTGTGACGGGAGCTGCGCTGTTTGGCGTCGGGTGGGGTATGGAGGGCGTCTGTCGTAAGTCTTCAGCCTTCCTCTTCCACGATTTTTGCTTCCTTGTAAATGGGTGTACTGATGTTCACTTTCTCTCTGTCATCCGTGGACTTCGTCACATCATCATCGCGTAGCCGGTCCTGCACTCGTCAATTTCGGCCAAGCCCTCGTGACGCGCTCAGGTATCCAACCCGTTGCGATCTGGCTCCTCTCGTTCGTCGTCGGAGGGTTCCTCGCGCCTTCATGACCTCTCACCGGCCTATATATGCTCCATTCAAGACGCACCTCATCTCATCATCTCATATCCAACGCTCCCGCTCACCTACATTCCACATCCATCCATACTCAGCACCCAACCACCACTCAAACGCTCGCCCTCACACTCGTGATTCAGTCCTTTCCTCCGAAGTCTGCTTACGACAATACATGACTTTCAGATTCACATTCAGGCATTACGATATCGTTATTATGGTACAATGACGAGTTCTCGGTCTCACCATATACCCCGATCTCTCTGCCGCTCACGCCCATGCCTACACTTACACTTACATTATAATATGTACGCATTGTCTCAATATACTTATCAATCGGTCAAATAAAGGCTTCGGGACCCAGCCAGTAATGGAACGACGGATTATTTCGACTGACTCGATTCATTCACACTTGACGAATGGACCAAAGCGCAAGGCAGCCAAAGAATAAATAAATATACGGCCTAGAAATACAAACACACCACCATCACCAACGCCAACGCAGCCGAAAAAGGGCCCCAAACGAACCTCCCCTTCGAAGACGAACATTTGCCAGAAGCCCTACGAGTCCGACTTCATAGGCTCAGCAGCCCCCGACGGTCCTGCAACGCTCGAAACTGCACTAACACTGCCACTGGCGTTCGAGTTCGAGTTGGTGTTGGAGTTGGAGGTCTTACTCCTTCCCCATCGCACAGCCAGTCGTTCGCCGTCCATATCAAGTCCATTAGCCCACGCTTGTGCCGCCGTCTCGGCCGTCGCGCGGTCTTTGAAGTTCACGAATGCACACCTGTGAAAAACAAGATAAATAAAAGCAACCACTTAGAACTGAGATTGAGTCGGTCGGGTAAGAGATAGGGACAGTACCGTGATTTTGCGACGTGGACGATGGATCGGACTTGGGAGGGTTGGATCATGGGGAGGGATTGTAGGACGCGAGTGCGCACGGTCGTTTCGGTCGCGGCGGGTGGGAGGGAGGAGAGGAAGAGGGAGACCTATGAAAACCCGAATGAGAACAGAAGTGAGCGTTAAAAAAGTATGTGGTGGGGAGGAGACGTACGACTGATGGGTCCTCAGGAGGCGGGAGACCTTGGTTCGTGGCATGTGTTCGTAGGATCTTGCGAGCGACGGGGTCGTTACGACCGTGATACCGGTCCTGAATATTTTGTTTTGAGAGCTCGTTCTCGATTGGCTTTTCATGCCTGCACAACCAGCCACAGAATTAAAGACGGAACGAAGTTAGTCCGTCAGCTTCCGGTAAGCATTGGTATGTGCAAAGAATGACGAACCTGTAAGGACATTCACTACCTCGCTTACAATCCCCTTTGATGAAGAACGAGCAGACGTGTGGCCTGTTGCGTTTGTAGTAGGGATCCGTCCGTGCGAGCTGCTTCAACATCTCCTTTCCGGCAGTCGACGCCTTTCCCGAGTCCAACAAACTCTTGTTGCCTTCCAACTATTCCCATTCAAGCATAAGTCATGCGACATATCCACAATATTGCAGAGAAATAAAGGGAGAGAGACGCACCTTCCCCTCCATATTCTGCGCATAATACTCCCTATTAATCTCGCTCGTCGGCGCCTCATTCTGCAACTGCAGTGCCGTATCCCTAACCTGCGTGGGCAACCCATACTCCAGATCTAGGAGACACGTCTGGCAGACATTCTTAATCTTTGCGCAGGTCTGGCAGACGACGGTAGTCTTGTAACGCATGCCTGTGCCAGGGTTCCAGCGGAAGACGGTGAAGGGACGAGCGCAGGTGCCACAAGAGCGGCCGTATTCTTGTTTTGACTGTGTATGATAAGTGAGTGGTGTTATGAAAGATAAAGATTGTGTATATGGTTCGTACCATTCGGACGAAAGGGTTGTCTCCTAGACCTGGAGGTAGTATCGAGATGTTAGAGCTGGTTTAGAAAGAGACGAGAAGGGTGGGACGCACATGTCTCGCAGAGGATGGGGAAATCACTCTGTTCCCAGCCAGCCTTGTTGATGTCTGCCTTGGGAGGCATTGTGGTGATGCAGGAATATGTGGCAAAGGAAGGAGTCAAGAAAGAGTTGTTTGGATGATGCTCGTTCACTTCAGGCCTGAGGTTCACCTGAACGCCTGGAAGCAGAGCGTCGCTGACTCAGCGTGCCAGGAGTTCGGCGTCTCCTAAAGCGGATGGTCAATTGAACTCTTGCTCGACTCGCTGTTTCTCGTGCCCTCCTTGACCTGCGCATATAAAAATTCATAACGAACTGGGCACTGACGCTGAAGCGTCGAAGGATAGTGCATTGATGCCAAGTTCTTGGCCACATTTACTCCCATGCTGTCACTCTAAATTTCACACGACCCTCACCTTCGAGTCATTTTGAACTCGAACAAAGCTTGCTCTTACTGCCCTTCAATATGTTTTGATTCCCTCGGAGACCTCCCGACGGTTCCCGGGTGTACGCTGGTGGTAGACTCTAGTCAACTGCTTTTGGATCTACATCAACTTACCCTTTTCTGGCCTGACCTACCCCTGGTCCATCTCCACGTCCATTCTTCTGGGTTTGTTGCCTTCACACGAAGTGTTTGATGTAGCAGACCCTTGCTCAGCTGCTCGTGATTTACTCGCTCGTATAAATAGAGGTGTAACCTCCACGAACTTGAAGGCACCTATCCACCCCCTCTCCGTCTATACTCCTCATTGCATCGCGGTTTTCCTGTAAACTCTAGTCCATCATGTCCGAATCCACCTACAGGAATTTTGCCGTTGCCGGCGTCGGCACTATAGGCAAATACATCCTCGAAGAACTGCTCAACCAGAAAGCCGCTGGCAAAGTAGACGAGATCGCCGTCATCAGCCGCGCAGTACGTCCCGCCACATATCCTTGCCACACTAAACCACACCGTCCATAACATCCGCATTGACCACATTTAATCCCTCCCCTAGGAGTCCCCTAGCCCTTCCATCCCATCCCAAGGAGTAAAATACATCCAAACAGACTACAGTCCCTCATCCCTCCCCGACCTCGTCTCCGCCCTCACCAAATATAAAATCGACGTTGTAATTTGTACCGTCGGTATTCCTGCGCTCTTCGCGCAGCAAATGGTGCTCGCCTCCGCATGCAAAGAAGCCAAAGTCGGGACCTTCATACCCTCTCATTTCGGGCTGCGTCCAGGGAGGCCGAACGTCCCTACGGATATCGAATTGAAGGAGAAGTTAGGGAATGGGCCGGATGGGGTGGGGTTGACGACGACGATTGTGGGGAGTTTTGCGGATATGATATTCAAGACCGTGTCAGTATTTCACATAACATTGGAGATGGGAGGTGTGCTCTGATCCACCTCACCGTCAGACATGGCTCACGCAAGCTTTCTATTCTTTATTAGTCCCAGGGCCGGGCTGATCCTGGAGACAGGCGAGGCTTTAATTCCCGGAGACGGTACGACTCCCGTTTCCTGGACAGGCCGTCGAGACATAGCGCGATACATCGCCTACATCGTCACCACTCTCCCTCCTTCAAAGCTCCGAGACCGCACCTTGCGCTTCGAAGGCCAACGAATCGTGAGTATTAGCGTCCCTGACACGTATCCTGCGCTATTTTTCCCTCTTCCTGATCATCGTACACCACAGTCCCTCAACGCAATAGTCAAAGAATACGAAGCCCTCACGGGCAAGAAAATCAATGTGACGTTCCTGCCCATCGAAGAACTGGAAGAAAACGTGAGAAAGAATCCGAATGATTGGGGGAGCAGGTTACGGTTGACGTGGGCCAAGGGCGAGGGCTTGGTCAATTTTGGGGAGGATAGCGATGTCGATAATTTTGAGTATCCGGAGTGGAACCCGAAGTCGGTCGTGGATATTATACTGGGAAAAGATTGAGATGAGCAGTGCACATTGCGTCCATGTAGCGCGTGTTTCCGCATGAAGAGCAGAAAGTAGGAGGCGACGATTCATAGGATCTTAGGGCAGATACTTGTAGGTTTCCAAGGATTGTATAACATTTAACATGACGTTATGGATGGTACAATGAGATGACAGCAAAGTTTCAGCGGCTTCAGTTTCTAGACAAAAGTGACGGACAGGTTGAGACTGAATGGCAGAGACGTGGAGGTGACGTTAATGGTAGACGATGAGTTGAGCACCTCCGAAACCTTCTTCTCCAAGTTGGGCCGAGTGGCCTGCTCGAGTTGGGGAGGGCCCTGGAAGTAGATGGGTTTATCGCTAGCTAGTGAAGGCTTCTTGATTTGACTGTACATGGCAAGGTCATAAAAATTCATAACAGTCAGTGGGTGATAGCTATCGAAATGACGCACATGTCTTGTCGCTCAACGAGCATCTCAATCAGTCTTTCAACCGTCCAGTCTGCCGGAATTTCGACATTCAAGGACTCTCCACCGCAAACAGGACAGTCTTTACGTTTCTCATGCTCGAAGGTGTACGAGTACACACCATCGGTACCGATGAGCATGAAATAGTTGTTAAGGTAAGCAGCCGATGTGGTCGCAATCTTGAAGGCCTCGGTACAACACGAAGCTATGATATGATCATCGTCAGGAACAGGCATTGTGTGAGATTTTATGAAGTGAAGTACACATGCCTGCGATGATGGCGTTTGTCGATGCGATGGCCGGGATGATGTTCTTCACCACACCCTGCGTCAGCGACCAAGTCACACCTTCGATCTTGAACTCCTTGGCTCGTGCGGCAGCGACGGTATACAGCCAGGTGATATGATCAGGGTCATCGGTGTCCAGTTTCTTGTCTGCAGAGATTGTCAAGAGATGTGGTAGGAGTAGAAATGAAGTGGCGTCCTCACCGCCTTGGACCTTGGGCCACTCGAGCACTGAAGCCCATTCTATACAGTGTTCTGGAAGACGAGGGGTATTCGCGATAGTGCAGATAGGAAAAGCGGTGGGCTTGTTGAGCATGTCGAGTGAACATTCGTAGCAAGAGGTTATCCTCGGTAAGATGACTCGGGCTTGACCCTTGAAGCCTATAAAGTTAAACAGAGTATCAACACAGCGCTATAGATTTACAGCGAGGCTTAAAGGGGGTATACCTTCGGTTCCACCATCGATGAGTGGCTTCAGAGACTCGCCATTGTTCTCATCCACCATGTTAACCAGTGTGGCGTTGATCCATCTACGCGCCTCTATCGAATCGAGGCCACAGATGATGATATTGAACTGCATGTAGTACGACTCGTCCTTGTCCTGGATCTTGCCAAAGTATCTTAGGCAGCCATAAATTGAAGTACCACATGGACAAATGGTAATGCTCACGGAGTGACCTTACATCCCGGCACACGCTTCATGATGAACTCCGCCGCCACAGTCGCCTTCGGGTGACCGACGTCCTTCGGTCTATTCATGTTATCGCAATAAGCAAGGGTTCTAGACAGTCTTATGAGTCACACACCTGAAGAGGAACTGTCTGTTGAGGTTACTGATATCAATTGTATCCATATCGATGACATGTATGTCCTTGAACCCGGTGAGCGCGAGGTTGGCCAGAATCTCGCAGCCAAGTCCTCCTGCACCGATGACGAGAATCTTGCACTCTGTCCGGAGAAATTTCTTCACCTACAGAGTTGGCATCGGTCAAAGCATGATCTTAGCTATGCTATTATCTCAGAAGACACAAGTGGTGGATGACAAACCCCTTCGCCGGCACTGAAGCTGTCGTCCGTTCGTGGGCCTGCTGTATCCAGGATCTGATCAACGTGAAAATAACGGTTTGGCCAGTCTGACCCGGTAGCATTGCCGTTCGGTACAGCGACATCGGCCATTGCGAGTCAATTAACGGATGGGATATGCGGAGAAAGAGGACGTGACTGAGGCAGAAAGCAACGCGCCGCGTACGACGGGCGTCGGGCGCTAATAATCTCAATGTCTGTGGCGTCTCACGTGACGGACGCGTCTTGATTTTATTTTGATTTATGCCACTTTTGTGCGCTCTCTTTCCTCTCTTTCTTGACATGGCTCAGGCAGGCTCGGTTGTACAGTTCAGCGGCCACAATCATCTTAGGCATCGGCTAGCGCTTTCCGTCCTGAGTGGCAAAGCTGTAAGGATTGATAAAATCCGCTCACAGGACAAGAATCCTGGTCTTCAAGGTGCGTACGAACTCGAGATCGAAGTCGGCGGGATTCCTGACAGTTATTTTTTGAAGATTATGAAGTCAGCTTGTTGCGGTTACTAGAGAAGGTCACAAATGGCACTGTTATTGAGATATCCCTGACTGGTGCGTGTCTCGTCAATGAACGAAAGCATGAACACATCTAATAACTTTTCGTGCAGGTACTGCCATTCTCATAAAGCCCGGTATTATCACAGGAGGTCCCATCACCCACGAATGCCCTCTATCACGCTCTATCGGATACTTCCTGGAACCCCTCATCATGCTGGCACCGTTTTCCAAGAAACCCTTCAACCTCACTCTCCGAGGTATCACGACGGATGACAAGGATCTGTCCGTGAGCATTCTCTGACCCTTGGTTCACATACACAAGACTCACTTAAATTGCGCAGGCCGACATGATACGCACTGTCACTCTCCCTCATCTCCAATTTTTTGGTATCTCCGATGGCCTGGAACTACGGGTAACGCAGCTCTCTCCCCACTCTAGCCGCCACAATCTCATGTCTTTGACAGATAAAGAAGCGTGGTTCGCCGCCATTAGGCGGCGGAGAAGTGCAGTTTCTGTGTCCCATAGTGAGACAGATCAAGACTCTGAACTTTGTCGATCCTGGCAAGGTCAAGCGGATACGAGGCATCGCGTTAGTGTCACGCCCGATTCTCAGCTATTGTCGTATACTAATATCTCCTACATAGTCACGCCGTTCGCGTGAGCCCACAATTCTCGAACCGTATGATCGAAGCCGCACGCTCCGTTCTGAACCGCTACATCCCTGACATTTACCTGTATTCCGACGTGTATAAAGGGGAGGACAGCGGAAAGTAAGCTCTTGGTTCCTTGATCCTTACCGATACAATTCAAGCTTACGTGCCTTGAAGGTCCCCAGGATATGCTCTCACCCTCCTTTCAGAGTCTACAACATCAGCTCTCCACTGTTCCGAAGCCGTCTCACAGCCAGGCGTCGCACCAGAAGATGTGGCACTGCAGGCCACACACATGCTTCTACGCGAAATCCGGAGCGGTGGATGTGTAGATCAGAGCCACCAGATCTTGGTACTCATGCTGATGGTCCTTGGAAGCGAAGATGTTGGTCGGGTTCGAATGGGAGAACCGACCGAGCGAACGTATGCGACCACAATTCCATCGATTTCTCCTTGGCTTCAGTGTGGCTAACACAGTATATCGTTCTATAGAATTCAATTCCTCCGCGATATCCGTGATGTCTTCAACACGTCCTTCAAAGTTGTTCCCGCAGACCCATCAGATCCTTCCTCAACTCAACTTCTTTATTCGTGCTATGGCACTGGCTATGTTAACACCAACCGGTCGCTGGCATAACAGAGCACCATCAAAAGTATTTGTATCGCCTTTTGTTATAATTTATTTGCTTTGATTTCCGGATTGCGAGCATATCTGAATTCAGTGAATGCAAACCGACCAGGATGGGTCATCGGTAAATAATCAAAACCTTCCCCAGATCACCCTCGCCTTTCCCTCCTCCAATCGCAGCCAGCCACTGCTCCATCATAGGCCACCCGACCTCGAATCTCGTGCATAGCTCATCTGTATGATGCTCCCCATCTAAGAGCTCCACCAACTCAGGTGGATAAGACACGGACAACACTGTGCTTGATCCTTGCTGTTGTTGTGCTGCTGCGGCCATCGCAGGAGACGAAGGGGACCTAGACAATCTAGGTCGCGCGTTCGCACCTGCGCTGAGAGTCGAAAACGCACTCCCCCTCCCTTTGCGCTCTGGAGTGTCGACGCCAGGAGCAATGTTGCTCTTCTGTGACATGGGATTTTTGGCCAAAGCATTCGCCACCTCATAGAAAGATGCAGGTGAAATGAGAGAATGTCTCCGACCATCCATGGCAGCTGTACCCGCGCCTCCTTCACCTCTCGCTCTGAGAGTTCTCGCAGCTCGAGAAGGGGCAGCGAGCGGTGAAGGGAAAAAAGACTTTGAGGCCGTTGAAGGTGTCCGCGGTCCTAGCACGTTTCCACCATTCCGTGTGTGTAGCTGTTCGAGCGACGCTGTTGCGCTGGATTTCCTCGGTGCGAGGGACAGCTGTGGAGGGTCCGTGTTTACGGACGTTGTCGAGTCGGAGAGCGCTGCTGTTGGACTGACAGATACTATGGGAGTGGCGGAGGATACGTCTGATGGACGACGTCGCGCGCGAGGAGGGCCTGGGTGGGAGACGGGCGTGGGCATGTGGAGGTGTGGCGAACCGGAGAGGCTTATGGAGCGTTGGCGAGCGACGGGGGAAGGTGGGCTAGGTGATGGATCGTCTTTGGAATTTTTGGCTTCGTCTTTGAGGAGAATGGGCCAACGGTGGACTCGACGAAGGAAACCCTGCGCAAAGGATCGGTGAGAGGGGGAACTCGATGATGAGATAAAGAATTACCTTGATGACTCCGAAGCTTGTGAAACGGCGCACGTCAATGCCCATATCGCGGACGTCATGCTCTTGCATCCATTCAAATACCGTTGTACCAGGTTTAAGTCGCGAATATAGACGCAAAAGCTTTGGCCAATCGGCGTGCATCCTTCCTGCAAGGTGGATTGGAATTCGTATGAGATAAGCAAGGACGAGGCGCCTACCAGGCTTCGCCACATACGCGCCACACTCTTCCTTCACATGAGCTTCGTCTGCAAGCCATTGTATACTCTTTCGTAGGGTGTACATATTGGAGTACTGGAAGATATCAATTGTCATGATGACTTGATAAAACCTATAGAACTTCAGCATCACACCACAGATTCAGCAAGCGCGCACGTACAACAGGTGCGAAATTGCTTGTCTCGTCAATTCAACATCGCACTCGGCGAGGTGAGCGATTCGGCTGACATGGTTGATTCCGTCTATATATTGACAGACCTGTGGCAAAGAGGGAAGATGTGAGCAAGGACTATGCTGTATTGAACGGCGTGCTCAGCCACCTTGGCCATTGTAAGGTCCCAGTTGGGTTCTATATTTTTCTCCAGGTTAATCAGAGCCAAGGGCACCGTCCAATCCATTACTGGAGGTGGATTCGGATAGAATGGGAATATCTTCAGTTCTATGGAATTGAATCTGTCTAAAGAGATGGAGGTCTCCGAATAGGAGTTGAGGTCCTCGTAGAGTTGCTCCAAGATGGCGTGGATCTTGAAAGAGCTTTCTGGGGAAGAAAGGAAGGCCGATTCTTCCTACAGAGTAGTATTAGACCTAACGATAGCCAGACAAGAATAGGTGGCAATACTTCGCAATTCGTCAGCACGCGGCTGACTTTCCGTACGACAGGCTCATAACAGCTCAAGTCTGCAGAGCGGTCGAACACAAAGCAGAGGTTGAAGCGGAAATAATTTCGCTCGTACTTTCCCCTTAGTTGAGTAGGAAAACCGATTATACGGTACTTTCTGGCCGCACAAATGACAAGCCTGCCACAGAGCATAGGATGGGGGATGACATATTTCGAGATGTCGTCGAAATTGAACAGAGTTCTGGTGGCAGAGAGAGAACGTTTCTGCGGCGAAAAGATCTTTGAGCGAGATTCGGTCTGGTACGAAGGAGGAGATGCTATGGAGACGCTCGAGGCTCGTGAGCCAGACGAGCTATGCTCGGTGCTTGTACTTGGTGTGGCGGGTACCGGGGAAGAGGAGAACGATGTTGTCCCAGACGAGCAAGAGATCAGGCCTTCAGGGACTTGGTATACGATTTTTGGTCCCTGTCGGACGTCGAATGCAGCGTAGAACACAGACTGGATGCGAGGCAAGAAGGAGTCGCCATCGGCAGCCATGATGGTGGAAAGTGGCAAGTTGCGCGTCGACGAATAAGCGCGTCGCGACGCGACTTTGCCACAAACGCGTCTCTGACCAGAACGTCTGCCTTCTCGCATCGCGTGGTCTACAATGTCCCCTGCCATACCCTGCGGCTTTCGTGCTCTTCCAATACCTTTGGTACAACTATCTTTGGCAGCTGTCTTGAAATGCGGCCAGTCATTCCGCTGGTCCATATATCCTCTCCATGCCAGTGCTCCGTCGGATCCTCACTTCCCCACCCACGAATATCGCTTTTGTCTCCGGGATCGCGTCATATGTCTACGACAGTCGCGGGACACGCTTTTCTACCGCACTGTACTCCCTGAATCCTCGCGCTCGTCATCTGAAAGGTCACAGTATGAAGCGGAGACACTTGCTTGGATCAACGACTACTTTCAGCTGGACGTCGATCTTGTCAAGCTATATGACGAGTGGAGTAAGAGGGATGCAGTTTTTGCTAGACTCAGAGAGAGGTTCGAAGGCATTCGTATGCTAAGGCAGGACCCTTGGGAGAATCTAATTTCGTGTGTATAGTCCTCGCTCCTCTCGAGCGCGTTCTCACTGACACAAGTTCGAACACAGTTTCATATGCTCCTCGAACAACAACATAGCACGTATCACCAAGATGGTCAATGCTTTGTGCAGCAATTACTCGCCACCCCTCCTCTCCATGGAATTGCCGCCATTGGAATCCGATATCTCGCAAGAGCCTCTGACTCCGGCCTCAAATTCTCCAGAACCCGAACAAGAGCAACATACGTTCCACCCGTTCCCCCCACCTTCACGACTCGCACAACCAGAAGTCGCGTCCGAACTACGAAAACTTGGATTTGGATATCGTGCCGACTTTATTCAAAAGACGGCTAAAATGTTGGTTGATGCACATGGAGCGTCAGTGGCAGACGAAGTCACCGAGCAGCCAGAGAAATGGCTCATGACCTTGCGGGACCTGCCTACAGCACAGGCAAGAGTGGAGTTGTTGAAGCTGATGGGTGTAGGCCGTAAAGTGGCCGATTGTATTCTGCTAATGAGCCTAGACAAGGTATGGAAGCTTCCGTCCCTTCCAAGGATTGATTTTAACAAGGCCCCAACTTATATTAACCAGCGAGAAGTCGTACCAGTCGACACCCACGTCCACCAGATAGCAATCAAGCATTACGGCATGCGCGGTAGTTCCGGTGCAAAACAAAACATGACACCAAAGTTGTACGACGAGGTCAACAACAAGCTTACTACGGTCTGGGGAGAATATGCCGGCTGGGCTCATTCCGTACGCATCTCCTATTTCTTAAAAAAAAAACTCTACCTGTCGATCTCATCGCAGACTTTTAGGTCCTCTTCACTGCGGACTTGAAGTCATTCTCTTCGTATGGCCTCACGAGTCCTGCCTCCACGCCCAGCAAGCACTCCTCTTCACCAGCGTTGGTCGTCGGTGCCACACTGTCCGCTTTGCCTACGCCACCCATAACGCCGCTGGTAGAATCTCCCTCACCATCCAAGAAACGCAGACGGAAGGCAGCGAAGGATCCAGCGGAGAAGCCACCAACGACTATCCCTGTTGATGACGACGTTCTTCCATCGTTTGCGACCTTGGCTGAAAGGGTGAAGAGGAGGCTCAGAACGTAGTTGACTATGTCCTTTGTGTCTTGTGTAGTCTCGGTCTACGCTACTCGTCCAACGCATTCCCTTTCCATCCACCCTAGAAACAATTGCTTGATGAACCGTTCGCTTCTTTCTAAAGAAAGGGTGAAGCATGAGCAGGCCTGGACGAAACATCCCTCACGATACCGTGACATACCAAAGGTGATGAAGTTCGAACCTCTATACTGAGCCGTACATAGTGAAGTTGCATGCCCAAACCCTCAAGCTAGCGACGGGTGAATTTTGCTATTTTTTTGGCGACAATGCAGTCTGTCCTCCGGAGGCCACGTATTGTCGAATGGTTTGAGTGTGGCCCAGTGGCAGTCGTAAGATCTTATCCGGTACAATTGCGTCACTAGCGCCTGGGCCGAAGTCAAGGATTTTGCCACCCAAACCCCTCACCCTTCACCACATCCACGTATACCAAATGGCTCGCGCAGAAGAAGTACCAGACGAATCTGTGGCTCACCCCAACGGTGATCACCCCGAAGACGTTGAAGTAGACGGCGAAGGCTCAGGCTCTGATCTCGAAGATGAAGCCGACGGTACGCCTGGTGCCGGTCCCTCCGATAGCCCCTCTGCAGCAGGTGCCTCTACCTCCTCGAAGAAGAAAAAGAAGAAGCGCTCGAAGGCTGCGAAGGCTCTAGCTGCTCTCAAGGGAGATGCTGTACCGCAGAAGTTGGTGGATACGGTGTTGGAGAAGGTGAAGGAGGAACATGGGGAGAACCTCCCGGGTGCGGACGCGGAGACTGTGAGGCAGTTGTTGGAGCAATTGAAGATTAAGGATGTCATGCAGGGCAAGGCTGGACTTGGAGGGAAGAATAAGAAGGATGCTGGAGACCACAAGGTACGTCGACTCTCGGATGCTGGTCGACATATGTACGTGCTGACTTGCGTGGCGATAGTTTTGGGCTACTCAACCTGTAACTCAGTTTGGTACGAACCTTCAGACCTCAAACACACATATTACTAAACTCGAGTAGGCGAAGGCCCTTCTGAGGTGGATGGCTATATCGAACCATCGAAACCTCGTGAAGAAGTTCGACAGGAGCCATACCCTCTTCCCAAGGACTTCGAATGGTCTACTCTCGATATCAATGAAGCAACACAGGTGCGTATTGTCTGCAGAGGTCTGTATATATCCTTTTGATCTTTGTCTTGAGTATAGATCAGGGAAGTATACGAACTTCTGTCTGGGAATTACGTAGAGGACGATCAGGCATCTTTCCGCTTTCAATACACTGCAGAATTCCTCGAGTGGTATGGAACCATCGTCTCTCTAGGAAGAAATAGCATAGCTCATGTGGTGATCCTATCACAGGGCGTTAAAGCCTCCAGGCTACCACAAGGAGTGGCATCTCGGAGTGCGGGTCTCCTCCAACAAGAAGCTGGTAGCCTTCATCTCCGGCGTACCCATCACACTCCGTGTCCGTGACAAGTAAGCGTTGTTGGATACTCCGTTCACCCCATCCATCGTACTCACTTTGTGCGGTTCAGCATCATACAAGCGAGCGAAATCAACTATCTTTGCGTGCACAAGAAATTGAGGTCGAAACGACTCGCCCCTGTTCTGATCAAGGAAGTGACGCGACAGTGTCACCTCAAAGGCATATTCCAAGCCATCTACACCGCTGGTGTCGTAATCCCCACACCCATCTCAATATGCCGGTATGTGTAGCTCGTATTCGATCTATATCGCACATACACCAGTTCTAACGCGAAACTTATTACAACTGTTAGGTACTACCACCGCACGCTCAACATTCCCAAGTTGGTAGACGTCAAATTCACCTACGTACCCCGGAATATGACCATCGCGCGAATGGTCCGCCAATACAAGATTAACTCCACACCTACCCTCGCTCGTTCTGGTCTTCGAGAGATGGAGGACAAGGATGTCAAAGCCGTCTTCGATCTCTTCACGACTTACATGCAGCGGTTTGATATGGTCCCGGTGATGACTGAGGACGAGGTCCGCCATCAGTTCTTGAGTGGGAGAGGGAAGGGTGAAAAGGATGCGGCGGGGCGGAGAGAAGGTCAGGTTGTCTGGACATATGTGGTCGAGGTACATCTTCGTCTCCCAGTCGCATCCTCTCGCCACGAACATTGCTAACATATTTATTCTGTCGACAGAACCCAGAAACACACCAAATCACAGACTTCTTCTCGTTCTACAGCCTCCCCTCGACGATCATAGGCCACACGAAGCACAACCTCCTCGAAGCCGCATACCTGTTTTACTACGCTACCGACGTCGCCTTCCAGACCGATCTGGACGAGAACAGTACTGTGTTGAAGCGAAGGCTACAGGATCTCATCGGGGACGCCATAATCGTCGCGAACGAGGCCAAGTTCGACGTATTCAACGCCTTGACGCTCATGGACAATCATAATTTCTTACAGGATCTGAAGGTGCGTTCGTTCTCAAAGCTCCCTGCTTGCAAGCATGTCTATCGATGCTGACTACGCATCAATTTACTGCTTAGTTTGGCTCTGGAGATGGTTTGTTGAACTTTTATCTGTATAACTGGAGGACTAAGCCCCTGGCGGGCCACGCGGCTACCGCTGATCGCAGTATAGGAAGAGGTGTAGGTGTGGTTATGTTGTAAACGAACTTTGCTTTGAGACTTGTACTCCACTCACGCATATTCACGACGGCGCGGGTTCATTCTACGTACTGGCTTTCGGAACATATACCAAGCCTTTCAGCCATCCACCGGTTCTAAACTCACAACGAGATCCCCAGCCAAGTATTTCAAGACAAACAACAGTGTTTCTGCATTGGCATCTGCATCATCAGATATTGAACTACGGATACGTTACAGTCCTTCGTGATCATCACTTCAAAACGTACACAACAAGCTGATACAAAAACATCCTCTCCACTACAACTGGATCTGGCGATCGACAATTAATCGCTATCAATATCGATTGGCTCATCGTCATCCACTCCCCAGTCCATCTCAGGCGATGGACTCCTTTCTTTCTTCTTCTGCGAACTCCTCTGCGGCAAGCGAGGGACCGCTGCACCTCCCGCACCTACTTGCCCGTTCCCAATATTCCGAGCGGGAGGGGCCGACGAGCGTGCGCCCAGAGTTTGTCCTTGGCCTTGACCCCAAGTCGCCTGCTGCTGTTTGGCATTGTCTTCTTCCTTTGCCTTGCCTTTGCCCTTGGATTGCGGACCTGAAGAAGGCCGACCAGAGAGGGTGTTACCAGATCCAGCAAATGACGGAGGAGACTGAGGTACGGGATGAGCACAAATTTTAAGAAGTACAGAGAATGAAGACGTACCTGCGGGGCGGCATTCTCGTCTGGCTGTGGTGGTGGTGGGACATAGTCGGGGATATTGAAACCGAAGAATAATTTGCCAAGGGGAAGGTTTAGAGGGGCGGGAACTTTGTCCTCAGATTCGATATCGTCATTCGAGACGACACGATGTTGACTGTGAATGATCGTGTCAGTTCGATCGGGATACAGCATGTTCAAACAGGGCACCTACTCCGTCCGAATGATCTTGCTCCCCGTAGGAACAGCTTCGGCCTGCCGATGGGTGATCCCCCGACCCTTCGTACGCCGACCGCCTAACGTCTCTCCCTTACCTTTGAAAGTCTCCCAGTCATTACCTCCCTTGCTCACGTTCGTAGCGGCCTTACTCGTACCCGCAAATGTACCACCGATCGAGCTTCCGGGACGTGAAGAACCAGGGGTAGAAGAAGTGACGTCGATGTTTAGTTTTGTGGCCATCGTCGACGGAGGTGGAGGTTTAGGGCGTTCGGGCTCGACATAGCCGACAGGAGCGGCAAAGTCGACTTCAAGATCGGTGTCGAGGACTGAGATGCCTTCTCCGCCGGGACTAGCTTCCATGACGAGGAGACCGAATACGATCGAGTTGTAGGAGATTTCGATGATGTCGCCTTGGGTGAGGCATGTGAAATTACGAAGAGCTTGCTCAAGACTGCAAAAACCAGTTGAATGTGTCTGTCCTCGATGAAGAAGAATAGGACATACACAGCTTTGGGATCGGAGATCTCGAGGAAGTGGACGTGCTGGGCTTGTAGCTTGACAAACTTGCCCTTCGGCACTTCAGTTCCAGTAATTCGAATGGGATCCCCTTCATTCAACCGCAACGTTTTCATCATCCAATAAGGTAGATGGACAACACCCTCCTCAGCAATAAATTCAAGAACACCAGCGTGCGTAGATGCGGCCGGATTAGCCGGATTACGAAGCTTGAACATCCATGGAGAGTCTAAATCGAGTGATGTAAGGTGTGCAAGTGCAGATGGTGGCATGATGACTGTATACGGGACGAAGAAGATGATGAGTGAATATTCAATCAGTAAGGGATGCGAAGGATGTCACGCACTCTTTCCACCGTAACTGACGTTCTCTCTCTCCCTGCCTGGAAGCATGGCAACACTGTATGCTTTGAGATATTCGTCATATGCAGATGGATTAGCAGCCCTATGTCCTGGACCATATCCTCCTTGAAATCCTCTGTGCTCGAGATTGTGTCAGTGTTGGAAGATATACAGATGCAAGGACGCGTCATACTGGGCTAACTGTGCGAATAATCCTCCTGGGCCACCGTTCATTCCCTGCTGTCCAAACTGAACCAGATATTAGTAGATAGTAATGACATCCGAAGATTTTACTCCGTACGAAATCCATGTCTAGAGTTGTTATGTGTCCAACGAAGGTGAATGTGGACAAGAGAACGAGAACAAGTGGCGGAACCGCGTTCGACGCGCCGCCCTACGCAATCCTCCACGTGGGCTCTCCTTCCTTTCTGAGAACACAATTCGGACTGATCTTGGCTTCATCCTCGCGTCCACAATTTCGGATACTCTGCTCCCTCTCTCCTTCTCTTTCTTAGACTATGGCTTCCGCAATGGCACCAGCACCGACTGCTCTCCAGGCAACTGGAGCGAATAAGGCCTTTAATGATAAGGTCAGATTTATTTGTTCTCCCTTCGTACAATCGCGGTCTAAGACGCGTACTACTTGTGCAGGGCAAACCTATGGAGGTCCGTCTGTCAAATATGGTGGCTGCAAAGGGTGAGCATCGTTGAGATTGTATCAAATCGGCTGGTTTATTAAAATCACTGTATATAGCGATCAGCGACGCCGTCCGGACCTCTCTTGGTCCCCGAGGGATGGACAAGATGGTGCGCACAAACCGTTTCTACAAGCATTGCTTTCGATCTCATGATTCAAATCGCGTCTACCTGCAGATCCAAACGTCAAAAGGAGAGGTAATTGTTACGAACGATGGTGCAACCATTCTTCGTAGTATTCAGGCATTACACCCTGCTTCCAAAATGGTATGTTTGTGCTCTGACTGTCGCCACAGCCGGTATCTCATCATTCGTCCAGCTCGTCGATCTCTCTGCCGCACAAGATGTCGAGGCTGGTGATGGAACCACCAGTGTAGTTGTTCTGGCTGGAAGCTTACTTGGTGCAGCTGAGAAGATGCTTCAAAAGGGCATGCACCCGACCATCATCGCCGAGTCTTTCCTGAAGGCATCAGCAAAGGCCGTCGAGTTCTTGACCGAGATCTCTACACCAATTGATCTCAATGATACCGCTGTTCTTCTACGCGCCGCTAGCACGTCTTTGAACTCTAAGGTACGAGTTCATCACTTGGATTGACTGTAATTGTGGCCTCACATCTGTTTTTGGTGCCACAGATCGTCTCCCAATATTCGTCAACTCTTGCACCTATCGCTGTCTCTGCTGTCACACGTCTTGCCTCCCCTACATCCTCAAACGTCGACCTTAGAGATATCCGAATTGTGAAGAAAGTGGGCGGTACCATCGAGGATACTGAACTCATCGATGGTGTCGTTCTCAACCAGACCGTCGTTACGTCTGCCGGTGGCCCAACGAGAATTGAGAAGGCCAAGATCGGTCTCATCCAGTTCCAACTGAGTGCACCCAAACCCGACGTATGTCACTCAAGTCCGACCTTGAATATAAAAACTAGTCTTACACAGTCTCTAGATGGACAACACGGTCGTCATCAACGACTATCGCCAAATGGACAAGGTCATCAAGGAAGGCCGAACATACCTCCTCAACCTCTGCAAGAAAATCAAAAAGACGGGCTGCAATGTCCTCCTCCTCCAAAAATCTATCCTCCGTGACGCCGTAGACGAGACGTCTCTCAATTTCCTCAAACGTCTCAATATCCTCGTCGTCAAAGACGTTGAACGTGACGAGATCGACTTCCTCACCAAGAGTCTCGGGTGTAAGCCGGTAGCGGACATCGAGGCATTTTCGGAGGACAAGCTCGGTTATGCGGATTTGGTGGAGGAAAAAAGTGATAATGGGACGAAGGTCGTGAGGATCACCGGCGTCAAGAATAGGGGAAAGACTGTCAGCATTTTGGCAATGGGGAGTAACTCTCTGGTGTTGGAGGAGTGCGAACGTAGTCTGCATGATGCTCTCTGTGTCGTGCGGTGTCTTGTCAAAAAGCGGTACGTTCTTGTTTTCCGCTCCGATCGCTGTTTTCCTTCCGACTAACTGGAGTGTTCTTCGATTACGAAGTGCACTGATTGGTGGCGGTGGCGCTCCTGAGATCCATGTCTCCAGAATGCTTTCTCAATACGCACAGTCGCTCAAGGGCATGGAAGCGTACTGCTTCCAAGCATATGCCGACGCGCTCGAAGTTATCCCCACTACCCTGGCGGAGAATGCTGGTCTGAACCCCATCGCCATCGTCACCGAACTCCGAAACCGACACGCACTGGGCGAGCGTAACGCAGGCATCAACGTTCGGAGGGTGAGTGCCTGCCGTCATCTCAATACAATGGCTCACTAATATCACCATTTTCTACTTTCTGCAGGGTTTGATTTCGGATATCCTGCAGGAGGATGTCGTTCAGCCTCTCTTGGTGTCGACGAGTGCTATCGAGCTCTCCACGGAAACAGTGTGTTTGCTGTTGAAGATCGATGACTACGTGCAAGCACGGTAGGCCCGAGCTGTATCTACCTTTCACATTCAGGAGTGCACCGTGGTCGAAGAAATAAAATATACTGTACTCAATCCTTTGACTCAACGACTAGATTGTTTTGCTCCTCGACTTGTTGCCGTTTTTACGTCTGATGGTGGAGCTTCGATGCTACTCTGTCACACGGTACACTCGAAAGCAGGCCTACTAAAACCTTTCGCAAAACAGCCCATGGAACTAGAAAGAAGAACTACTGTCTACGATGAGGCTCAGGCAAGGTAACAGGTAACCGCGGGCTTCTTCGCCGCTGTGTCTCATGCGCTGACCGCAGTCGAAGCACGCTCGGTTTTGTCAGTCCACTTGTCATATGATCTCCATTCCTCAGCCGTTTTAATTCAACAATGATGCCCGACCGACCAACCATCTGGAGCCTGGAAATCGTGAGCCTCATCCTAAAACATTTTTTGGAATATTTCTCGTGCAAGCCCGAACTAATACTCCTTGACCGAAGTTCCGTTGAACAGTGGACGCACACAGCCTTTTCATTAAATTGCCGTGCCAAACTCGGTCGGCATACTCAAAGCAAGGCCCAATATTGATCGCCAGTTGGTGTATCAAGCGACGAGTTCACTGTTTCACTATGGCAAAGCACTGCATACGATTTTATGCCCATGACGCCAGTACACTGCGTTCTATAATTGCTCAAACTTGGTGGATCCCTCTTATGAAAAGAGGTCGGAATCCCGACGATCACCAAGTACTCACGTGAATCCCGCCCAACAAGAAGCGCTCTAGCACAGCTTTCCGAACTCTTCAAGTCGCATCATCGGCACGCATACCCAGAAACGTGCACCAGGATGGACACACTGCACAATCGAGCGTCGTCTGCTATTAGTAAAGGTTTGATATAAAAGCTGGAGGTCGTCCTCTTCCACTATTTCTTCACCCAACTAGTACCTTGCTCTACTTATCGGAATGAAGCTTAACTCCGTTTTAATATTTTTGGCGACCTCTTACGCGTCGTTCTCTGGCTGCGCTGGTGCTGACAATGCCACAATAACGTTCAACGCATCCTCCGATGCGTCTTCCTCTGTGGGCGCCGCTTACTGTACGTTTCTAATTCTTCAGAGTCTTCGGATATTCAAGCTCAATACGCTCGTCTAGTCATCACCAACAGCGTCGACGGAAATTATGTTGTCTCGGCTGACATTGGTGCTGACGGACAGCTGGTATGTGTGCCTTTGAACACCTCGAACGATGTCATTACTGACCTTGTCCCGCTATGCGTCAAGTCACTCGCTTCAGCCATCCCTACGGGTGGCAATGGTTCTCATGTTCAAACCGGAAACCCAATCGCTCCCGACGCTTTCTTCTCGCAGGCCCCGATTGTCGCATCGTCCTCTGGGAATGTCCTCGCCACTATTAATGTAAGTGTACTCCTTTCTAGTATATGAAGTTGGTGTCACCGTCTCACATAATCTGATGTCAGGCCGGTGCAAACACCGTATCGGCGTTCGCAATCGATCCCACCAACCCTTCCAACTTGACGGCTATCGGAGAACCAGTTTCTAGCGAGGGTGACTTCCCTATCTCCGTTGCGATCAACCACGCTGGAGATCGCGTTTGTGTGCTGAACGGTGGACAACGTAACGGTGTGAGGTGAGCTATGTTCTTATCATCCTCGACGCTCAGGTCCTTTACCAACAATTTCATAGCTGCTACAGCGTCAATTCTACCGGCCTCGTCTCCGTCCCTGGGACCGTTCGTCTCATCGGGCAGCCCCAGATCACGCCCCCCTTCGGTCCTGCCACCTCCCTTTCCCAAGTCATATTCACTGAAGATGAGAAACATCTTGTTGCTGCAGTCAAGGGTTTAACCCAGACCCAAACAAACTTCTCCTGCAAGGGCTACCTCGCTGTTTGGGATGTTGCTGCGAACGGTTCCCTGTCTGAGAACTTCACGAAGGTGTACCCGAAGGATGGAGGCGCATCACCGTTCGCTATGACCATCATCCCTGGATCGAACGCCATTTTCGCTGCCGATACCGCCATTGGATACGACATCTTCGACTTTTCGGATGTTTCTACTGCTTCGACCAGCAACCGCTCGTCTGCCAACGCTACTCCGGGCGGGGGTAACTGCTGGTCGGCGTACAGCAACAAGACGGGAAGCTATTACCTCGTTGCTCCCGGATCCGACAACGTCACGGAAGTGACAATCAACAGTGATTTGACTAGTTCCGTCGTCAATGTAGGTTCCTCTGATGGTTTGTGAGTGTATTCGGTGCGTTGACAGTATCATCAAACTCGGTAGGTATACCAACTCTCGAACACAGCCAACACTCTTGACATCGCCACGGCGTCGTTCAATGACAAGAGGTGCGTCTCCAAACGATCATTTAAACGCCATCACGATTATACTCACATGCCCTTCTATCGCAGCTTCGCATATATTCTTCAACCCAACAGCACTTCTATTGGGATTTTGAGCTTGGACGCTTCAGGCAACGCGACTCTCGTCCAAAACTACAACTGGTCGTCCATCGCCACCAACGGAGGCCTCTCTTTCGGTACGTTGGGCTCCTTGTCCTTTCACTATGGCTCAGGGTGATTGATTGTGGGTCATTGTTCATTCCTCCCGCAGACCCTCTCTATCTTGCTGGAATGACTACTTTCATCAAGCCATGAAGGTGGTTGTGAACCACTAAGGCGGTAAGAAGGTTCAATCTCCACATATACCCGGAGAGTAGGCTTCAATTCTTTGGTGTTCCACACTGAGTATAGCATGGTATCGTTCATATTTTCTCCACGGAATTTTATTGCCTCACGCAGAATATATCGCATGTCTTTCCGCGTCTAGTTTCTATACTACATACTTGACCCAGGACAATATTATAAATCGTTTATCTATTGATCATCCGTGTTAAACGCTAGCTATCCTTGGTCTGTACTTGCGGACTTAGTACGATGCTTTAGCGCGAGAATGGCGATGTCGCCAGCTGTGGTGTAAAATTTTCAGAAAAAGTTTGTGGTGAGTTAGAACCAAAAGACGATGGCGATTTCATGCCATGAGCCTGGATTGAACAGGCGACCTCCAGAACTTCAGTCTGTTGCTCTCCCAGCTGAGCTATCACGGCAGTATTTTAATACGGTTTATTCGTTTACTATACCCTCCGCCTGTGCAATCGTGCACCTCGTCCAGCACTCAGTGAGGACCCGGGAAACTAGGTCGAGGTGGCCCCGTCCGCCGCCCGCCGGAAGGCCTAAAATCCGCACCTAAAATCGCTCCCTGAGGCCCAAAAAAACGCTCAAACGGGGAAGGCTTCGAATATTTTTATTTATTTTTATTTTATTTTATTTTCCGGGGCAAGGCTTGACAACACGGTAAACCCCCACATAACCTCAACTTCCACATAACCTCAACTTCCCCTAGCCTAATCTACACTTACCCTACCTAAAGAGACATGGAAGAATGCGTCTATGGTAGATTAGGCTATGTTTAGGTGAGGTTATGTCAAAGTTGAGGTTATGTGAGGGTTACAAGGGTAAGTCAAGGTTGGGCAAGAGAACCGACACCCAACACAACCCCCTAAAATCCGCTCGTATTCCGACAGGGTTTGCTCCCAAATCCCTTAAAAAACGCAACTTTCGGGGAGGGATTTCGTCGGAATTTGCTCAAAAAAACGCTCCGCGGCCGGGCGACCTCGACCTAGTTTCCCGGGGCCTACTCAGTGGCCTCCACACCGACGACTCTTTCCATCAACGACCTTCTCACACAACACGAACATATACTCGTAAACCATCATGTCCGGCACAGGTCCTCGCGAGAACATCTTCCCAACGCGTATGGCGCTCACGAACACGAAGACTCGGTTGAAGGGTGCTCAGACAGGACACTCCCTCCTGGCGAAGAAGCGAGATGCACTGACTACACGATTCCGTGCTATCCTCAGGAAAGTCGATGAAGTGCGTCTATCGTACTGTCGTTTATACATTGGCCTTCAACTTACATACAGTGGCCGTCATAGGCTAAGCGCAAGATGGGCAGGGTGATGCAATTGGCTTCGTTCTCATTAGCGGAGGTCACCTACGCCACAGGCGATATTTCCTACCTCGTCCAAGAACAAGCAAAGTCTGCGTCCTTCAAGGTCAAAGCGAAGCAAGAGAACGTGTCTGGTGTTGTGCTACCTGCATTTGAGGTGGATCGTGTCGCCGGCTCTGGTGCGCCTTACTTTGCATTCCATACGTCACCCTCAGCGTAATTACCCGCTGATTGCTCTAATAATTGTTTCCTTAGACTTCAATCTCACTGGTTTGGGTCGAGGAGGTCAACAAGTTCTTCGGGCAAAAGAGGTGTACGCGAAGGCTGTCGAAACGCTGGTCGAACTTGCATCCCTGCAAACCGCATTCACAATCCTCGATGAAGTCATCAGAGCCACAAATCGACGTGTGAACGCCATCGAGCACGTCGTTATCCCCAGACTGGACAACACTATCAAGTACATCATGAGCGAATTGGATGAGATGGATCGTGAGGAGTTCTTCAGGTGCGCCTCTTGCCCCTGTCCACATGCGCATATATCATTGAACTTCTCTCGGTGCTTGCATCTCAGACTAAAGAAAGTGCAGGGGAAGAAGAAGCGAGATGCTGAGGCGGCGGACGCGAAGAAATTGGCGGAATCAGCGAATGCAGAGACTGCTGCTCTTCCGACAGCAGTGGATATTGACGAAACGAGTGGCGGTGGCGACTTGCTCAGTAGCAAGGATGAGGATGTGATTTTTTGATTCTGAATCTGATTGGGACTCTTAGTTCATGTTTTCGCTCAATTTACCCCACACACATGAGGATACACAATAAAAGGCTCGTTCAGTTGTGTGATGCATGGAATGACCTGACCAGAAGCAACATGATATAGCGCGAAATCGTCGGACCGCTCATAGAGCATATCATGCAGAAAGGAGTGCGCATACTCGAGTACATGGGTGTTTTTGGTAGGGCATGCAGGGGTAGGAAGAAAGAAATAATGACGAAACCTCAGGGACAGTTTACTGTTCAGGAACAAACGTAGAGTTAGTCTAAGCACTCGAGAGTCAGGAACTGCAAAGAGCTCACCTCAACCATCTCAACCTCCTCACCAGACTTCTTCTCTGAAGCCTTGCCGCGGTCCTTCCTGTCGAGAATTGCCCGGCTGAAGTTCAAAAATAGGACTCAGCGAAACACTCATGAATATCCAAAGGACAAAATGACACACCGGTCCTTGTCCAACTTGATGTTGATAACAACGACATTGCTCGGGTGGATGCCAATGGGCACGCTCGAGCCGTTCGCCTTGTCGCGCTGCACACGGTCGACATGGATGACCCACTTCTTCCTGTAAACCTGGGTAACCTTTCCTTCACGGCCCTTGTACTTCCCTCGGACAATCCTGACCTCGTCGTCCTTGCGAATGGGGATGGAGCGGGTCTGCGAGGGTGAGACATACATGCGTAAGTCAAGGCTTCCGGCCCAACCGAAACTAAGGCATACGAACGTTGTGCTTTCCGCGGAGCTCCTTGGAGAGCGATGAGGACATAATTTTTCGGCGAATGGAAGAGGGGGCCGAGAAGTGCGCCTTGCGCGACTTGCGGCGGGAGGAGGCGAGGTCTACAAGCAACAAAATATAGGCATCCCGAAGTCAGCACCGAGGCCCATGTCATCCGACCATAGGTTCGCCCATCCATCGCCGTTTCGAGCGAGATAAACGCGACCGATCACCCAGAGGCCACAGAAAGAGCGTAAAGCGTACCAGAGTTGAGCTTCATGGCGAATCCTTTTGCGTACGAGCGTGGGGGAGGCCTCTTGGGGGCGTTGGCGATGACTTTCGACGGCGGTGGACTCCTTCCAAATTGGCAATTGGCGGCAGGCGCGCGAGGCGGGTGATCGGCCCGAAAGTGGCCGATCCTCCAGGTTCGTCACTTAGCGCTCGTGGCGCTTTCATTCGTTCGCTGTAACTCTCACCATCATGCCTCCAGAAATTCGTTCCACCAAGCTCAAGTTCAAGGGGGACAAGACAAAGAAGAAACGGAAACGCGAGGACGGAGACGAAGGTGGCAGTAGCAGTCGGCGCAGACGTGAGGATGACCAAGCCCCCGATACGTGGGTGAGGCCCGACGATGCCTCTCAAATTCGTGGCCCCACCTTCATCTTTCACCCCTCCGATCCTTCCCCAGTATGCATTAATTTCGACATGACACGGAACCGCATCGCCTTACCCTCGATGGACAAAGACAATCCCGAAGAGCCTGTAGCGCTCGTCGAACGCGTCCCAACCGAGGTCTCTCAAGTCTGGGTGACAACCCGCGTGGCTGGTTCGTTGACGGTGAATTTGCGGACAGGGGTAGGTGAGGGGAAGTTCTTGTCGTGCGACAAACATGGGTTGGTGTCAGCGTATCGGGAAGCGCGAGGGCCGGAGGAGGAATGGACACCGGTGGTGTTTGACGATGGTATGGTTGCGTTCCAGAATGTATATGAGAAGTACCTCAGCGTGGACGAGGTGGCTGGAGGACAGCTGCAGTTGCGAGGAGATAGTGAGAATGTCGGATTTGGTGAGCGGTTCTACGTCAAGATTCAGAGTAAGTACAAGAAGGAGGCGAACGAGGAAGAGAAGAAGAAGAAGGAAGGGATGCTTGGAGAACCGTCCATTGACGAGTCGAGCACAAAGTGAGCGTTATCATGCTGCATTCACACTAGACGATCATCCTCTAACATATTTGGCGAATATAGTAAGCTTTACCAAGCATGGGGAGCTGGACGTTCTGTTGTGTCCGAAGCCGACAAGAAAGAGGTTTGTGCTCTCATTGACCCGATCTCCAAGTAAACACGCGTGCTAATGATCCTCAATAGCTTAAACGAGCCAGGAAGGAAGGCCGATTGGCTGAAACACTCCTTGACCGCCGCTCCAAATTGAAGAGGCGAGTGCTGGTCGTCTCGACTCGTGTATTCATTAACTAATATCTCTCGACAACAGTGATCGGTTCTGCTAGCTCGCTCGAGATCAATGTTTTCAGTAGAGTGCGACAACGAGCGGTTCACGTCTACACATACCATCGTTCACCCGTCGTTGATTCGTCGCAATGGCCTATGCGTTGAGGTTCGGATTTCTGTTGTACTAATATGTAACGCCGGGTTGCTTCCAATAATCTATCATTCACAATGAGAGCCCCTTTCGCTTTCAACAGCTCTCACGTTTTCACTTTCCATCCGCAAGAAAATCCTACAGCAGGAGCAACCGGTTCTCTTCAAGATTGTCGCGCGCCTTGATGAAATCAGAAGTGGCAAACGTGACTAGCTCTTTAATCCCCCCTCTGCACACGCAAAATGGCGTTCTCAGGCGAGACTAATTCTTCGAGCTTTTGTGAGTGGTGTTCACTAGGGACACTCCACCTCAGGGAAACTCCGCCTCAAGTGTGACACTGACCTTCCTCGAAGACAATCCTCGGCAATCTTAAACATTGTTTCGTTGACCACAGCAGTGATTCAAAAGCTTGGGAAGATGCGTGGAGAAAATATATGTGCAAGTCTCGCTGGGGCAGGCCATTCTACACTTCCCATCTGCGCTGTTATTTCAGCTTTTACATAAGAGATTGTGAGAGTGTATAGGAGCTGCTCTACCGGTTGGGTCCATGAGCCCTGTAGTATCTCACGGAAATACTCGAAATCTGCATCAGATTGTTTTAAGATAAACTTGAGTTTTATGCGGCTGGTATATGTGGCCTCGCGTCTGGCAAACATCGGAAACTGATGGGAGCATGGGAGCCATCTAAGAATGAAAGCATCAGCGATACTTCTGCTGACTTCGTGGACCTACCGTACCTGCAGAGAATCCAAGAGCAACTTGAATCACGGCTTTTAGGTGCCACACGAAGTGCGTTTACGCGATTTGCTTGTACATATAGCTCAGCCAAAATACGGGGTAGCTTTGCAAGCAGCAAGATAACTTACCGTCCTCTTCCCTTCGGGACTCTAGTATATGACCCCTGTGATTGGTACCCCACAGCCCAGATCAGGAGGTCACTGAGGTCGTATTCGTGACGGATAAAGCCTTCTGGGTCATCGAAGTATTCTTGACGTTGAGGGTGCGACATGCCTTCGAGCCGCTCGAGATCGGCTTCAGCCTCCTCAAGAACTTCATGAAGTCTTTTTGGGAAGATCAATAAATGGGAAACAGACGGAGAAATGTTCAAATTATGTGCATTACTTTGCGAGCTTTTCAGCATGTCCAGAGAGTGAGCCTTGACTATGGACCGACCCTCTATATGTTGGGAAGAGACTATAGGTGATAATACTGATGATGACATGGGCTTCAAGTACAAAGTTGTAGGGGTCGCGATCGTTGGGGTACTATGGAACAGACGTTAGACTCATTGAAAAGCGAGAGATTAGACTAGGACAGACGAAGAAGGCTCACTTTGTATCTCAACTTCGCAACAGCGCGGCAGTCACGGATTGCGCGCTGAATACTTGGTCTGAGCTTTGCTGGTTGAATCCATTGCACGAGCACGTCTACATCCCTAAGCTCATCCATACAGTCCAGCTCCGGCCTCTTGGACTGCCAGTTGTATGTGACCTTCATCGCTACCGTTACGGCCCAGTATGCTAGGAACACGATTGGAATCACCAGGAGTATGCGACCATTCATCTCTGCCGACGAGAGGAGGAGGAATATACAACGCTAAGAATCGATCAGCAGACTACGAGTGAAGAAAAGGTGGCGTGGGATGGGTATACACGCTGCGTTTAACGCCCAGGCTACGGCGCGATCCCTTTGTCCGTAATGGAAACTGGTAATACTACTGCACCGGGGCCGCTACGACATGAAAAGTCGCTGGCAAAGAGATGGTAGAGCACTCTCGGAATGGATGCTGGGTCAGACAGAACAAAGTGGCAGCTTGATGAGATGTGATTGTATGACGATGTCGAAATATCCGCCAAATAGTTCGATAAAAGCAGATAGCCCGTCGGGTTGAGTAGATGTATACAAGCGATTGCAGAGGGAAGAAACAATAACATGCATGTGACGATTACTGGGGATGCACTGTATCCCCGTATTGACATGATCTTGTTGCCCTGCATTTTGCTCGTTATTCAGAAGCGACTAGACACGCGCGAAAGGATGTCATCAGACGGTTCCACCAGAATGAGCTTCACCAAATGCCGTTCACATACCTTTCTCTTCTCTTTGGATGTCACTTATTGTTCCCTTGCAGAACATAACGTTGTTGAGGTAGGACTCGTGACGATAAAACCCACTCCCGTCGTCGAAGTACTTTTGTCGCTCCGAAGGCGACATTCTGGTGAGCTTCTTGAGATCTGTTTCAGCATTTTCAAGAACTTCAAGGAGTCTTCTTGGAAGAAGCATGTCAAACGCTGAAAAATAGATGTTGAAACCAATGATCTGACCTGGCGAGTTGTATAGCACGTCGAGAAGGCGATGCCTGACGATGCGCCCATTCAAGCCCTCCTTTATCGATCGGGACAAGACCATAAGTGATATTGGTGATGGTGAGCACCGTATAATTTATGAATTGGTACGTTTTACGATCGTTAGAGTACTGTGAGATGAGAAGATCCTGAATCATAATCGTGGATGGAGTAATAATGAGCGCTCACTCGGTATCTCAGCTTTGCGACGGTGCGACATCTGCGGATTGCATGCTCAACGTCCAGTCTCAGCTTCGCGTTTTCGATCGAATGCGCGAGCTTTTCCTGCCGTCCAAGGGCGCGCCTATCCTTGTAACCCAGTTCCCCAAATATCCAAGTGTATAAGAAGCTTAGCGCGACTAATACAGCCCAAGCGATTAGACCAATCGCCAAATAGCTCGAAGTCACAATGATTGGTACCAGAAACGATCTGTCATCCGACTCTGACAGGGATGTCGATGTAGGCATAGTGAATCGCAAGAGAAGAATATTGGTCAAGAGTAGCCCAGGAGAGGATCTTGTTTACGAACGAGAGGTAATTTGATGGCTTTCTCACCGCTTCCTATAGGCTACGGCGAAAATCGAACCATTGCAATTGTCGAGGTCGCAGGTTTTTGTATTATCAAGACATAACAATATGGCGAGTTACTAAGCATAAGAGCGCTCTCTCGCAGTAGAAACTCTGCATTTCCGAAGAGCATGATGAGCGCTGAGAGGCCAGAATGATAATACAGTGCCACTCGCGAGAATGCGTGAAGTTGGGATGAGAGAGGATGAGAGGTTGTTTCCGCCAATTGTTCGGACAACGGGAAGTCCCGCGTTCACCGCGTTCACATTTTGAAGCGCGGCGCGTCTGCACGCGTCGAGCTCGACGGCGACTTTGCTCTTCGCACACTCCTCCGCCCTCAACGACCCACACCAGCCATGGTCCCCAAACACACCTCCATATCAGAGTCTTATAGCGTGCTTGGTCTTGATCAAGTCTGTGTGATTCCTGTTGTTGCTCGCATCGTTTGTTCTGACTGTCGAAAACTGGTCTTAGGGCGCGTCCTTTGAAACGGTCAAGACCACATACAAGCAGGTGCGTTGTACACTTGACGCGTTGATGCAGAGATGGTTCTGACACACGACGTAGCTCGCCCTCCGCACTCATCCAGACAAGAATCCCGGCAACGAAGAGGCCACTGCTCAATTCCAAAAACTCAGCGAAGCATATAATGTCCTTGTCAAGCACCTGGACCCTTCACGACCCTCTGGCGGCATGCCCCATCGAGGACCTTTCGGCGACTTTGACGAAGACGATGATGATTACGATGATTACAGCGACGATGATGAGTACTATTATGACGATGAAGATGACGAAGATCTCGACTTCTACATGTGCGTATCCCTCCGTGTCCACGGCTTGTGTCATGACTCTGACCTCCGGCCCAGGTTTCTTTTTGAGGAGTTGTTGAGAGGAAGAGCGAACCGATATGCCCATACTCGTGCGTCTTCTACCCTCCACTTCACGATTTCGAGCTCACCGTCACTTCAGATTATCACCATAGCCACCCCCACAGCCACCCCGGTGTCCATCCAAATGCTCCGATGGAGGAACCCTATGACCCGGATAAGCCTCGAAAGGATCGTGAGGCGCGTGAAGCCGCAGAAGCTCGCAGACAAAGGGACGCTGCAGCGAGAAGGGCAGCAGCTGAGAGGGAACGTATTCAAGGTGCGCCACTTCTCACCTCACAATACCTCTGCGTTCTGAGGCACCTGTCGTCTTTGTAGAGAAGGAGGAGGCTGAACGCAGGCAGAAAGCGAAGGCGGAAGAGAAGAAAAGCAAGGCTGCTGCAAAGCAAGAAGCCGCAGAAAAAGCCGCACGAGCTCGTCAACAACGCACGCAAGACTTGCGCTCAGCGGTTTTCGCCGCAGCTCGGAGTAGAAATGCCGAGAAGGTGAGGAAAGGTGTGTGGGAGGATGAAGTGGACGCTGCAGGAGGTGAAGTAAGAGTCGGCCTGGAGAACTTCGCCAAAACGAAGCCGAAGGATCCTAAGGAGACTTTGCTGCACATTGCGGCTTATAACGGCGACGTCGATCTCGTGGAGTGGCTTGATACACATAGTGCGTTTTCACCCAATTAGGGAAACACTTGACTGACTGGACTCATCTCTTGTCCAGACGCCGAAGCAGATGGGCGAAACTCAAACGAGATGACCGCCTTTCACGTTGCTCTTCAGAGGGGCCATATCCCAATCGTGAAATACTTCTTCGAGACCTATCCCGTGAACGATTCAGATTCGGACCCTGTTTACGAGCCACCACCCAATCGACCGCTACTCCTTCTCGCGATGGAGTCCGCCGAGCCTGAGGCTGTCTGGCTCATCCTTGACAAGAAGCTCGCTTCGCGCAAAGAGATCAAAGCATCCTGGGAGTGGCTTTGGTCGACGACTGGTCAGCGCTTGTATACATCTTCGAAGAAGACGGGGAAGTTGGATGAGGTCAAGAATATCTTGATGAAATACGGCGGGTTCACCGCACCACCCACTCCTCCTCCCTCTTCTGCTTCAGACCATGCTCCAGAAGCGGCATTGGACTCAAGGTCTACTGCTAGTGTCCCTTCTACGCAGCCTGAAGAACCTCAACCTCCAACGCCAACTCCTGGAAACAAAGGCAAGGGCAAAGCGAAGGGAGGGCGAGGGAAACGAGGTGGACATCAGCAGCAGCCGTCGCAACCTCACATTGTCGATCCGCCATCATCACAACCAGAATCGAGCGCAGGTGGGAACTCAAGAGGGGGTAGAGGTCGTGGAAGGGGCCGAGGCAGGGGTGGACGGGGAAGAGGACAAGGTCGCGGCGCGCCACCAGCCCAACCCGCTCAGTGAGAGCTATTGCCCCCGCGATCTTTCTTTCTTTTCCTCTCTTCTGACTTCGTTGGTTAGTGGCAGCCAGCATGTACCCTCTTCTCAGCGCGACAAACGTCCCGAGGAGACTAAGCATGCTGCTCCCGCTGTTGATGATGGCGATACTGGCGCTGTATCTCCACACTCTGACCTTTTCTCCACTCGACGTACCTCCTTGACTCTTCTTGTCGTGGCGCTGTGCATACCTGCCGTTCGGCGCCGTATCGTTGATTTTGTTCAATTTCTTGCTTCCCAGTAACTCGACATGTTGTTCGCATTGTATACTCCTTCTTGCTCCTCCCAGTTGAACAGTGTTCTGCCCACGTACTAAGTATTTCTTTCTCGTCGCAAACTTCTTCTTGACCTCTCATGCCATTGGTAGACATTACTTCGCTCATGACTATCGGCATCGCTTTCGCTCGTACTCTTATGCTACACTTTCTGTCTCCCTGTAATTTGATCTTGGCCATGTGCTCGTCAACGTTGATTACGAGGCTGCAATGGGTCGGGCCACAATCGTTGGCGAACAACACAACAATCCATAAATGGAAGCCTGAGGTTCAACCTCCAAAACCGGAAAGGAGCCAAATAAGCACAAATAAAGCGAAAGCGCGCGTCGACGTTTCTCGAACGAACGTCGCTCACGAACACTCACTGCTGCCGTTATCGGTACACCTTTGTCTTAACCACCCACATATCACCAACGCAGCTAGACTCTGATAAGTACATATCAAAATGGGACGACTCGCGGAAATGCAGCGTCGGCTGCTCGAGGTGCGTTTCATCCGTTTAGTTCCTGTTCCTCTCTCTCTGTGCTTGCTCGGAAATGCTCGTTGCTCATGTGCGGGTTGTAGCAAATGATGGGTCCGGAGGCTATGGGCGTCGCGAATGCGAATCTCATCTGGTCAGACGAGAAAGTGTGCAGGAACTTCTTATGTGGGACGTGTCCCCATACTTTGTTCACGAACACCGTGAGTTTCGAGTTTCGCTGGTCTATACCGTTCATTGAGCTCATCACTTCCTTTATTATGAATGATGACTGTCCTTCTCCACGACACGTTCTACTTCCATCCCATCCCACTCCCGTCTTCCTCCACCTTACTCTCACCCATCTGTCCCGTCATCATCATCATCACCACCAGAAAATGGACCTCGGCGCCTGTCCAAAATCCCACACCGAACGCCTCAAAACCGAATTCCTAGCCGACCGCGAAGCGAACCCGAACGACCCGACGTTCGCGCGCTTCCAGATGGAATACGAGTCGAACATCTTCGCGTTCGTGGATGAGTGCGATAGGCGGATACGGACGGCGCAGAGGAGGTTGGAGAAGACGCCGGAGGAGAATGCGAAGACTACGAATTTGGTGGGTTTTCACTTTTTTTGGTGTGTGCGATTGGGGAGGGGGGTGTGTGTTGCGTGAGGGTGGAGTTGTGGGCGATGGGATGAAGGAGGGATGATGTGGTGGAAGGGAAATTGGTGCTGATTTCTTGCTTTTACTTTCTTTGTGTTGGGTGATAGATGAGGGAAATTGCGGAAATTGAGTTGGCTATCCAAGGAGGAACGGAGAAGATCGAGACGTTGGGTATGTTGGACAACATCTCATTCGCGTATCATTATTCCTGACCCGTGACCGTGCCACAGGCGAGCAAGGCAAGGTCGAAGAGTCGATGCAGGAGATGGCAGCCATCGAAGCTCTGAAAGGCGAAAAGGCCGAGAAAGAGGTTCGTTCGTTCGTTTCGTTCACCTTCGCATTCAACTTTTGTCTCTGACGTGATTCCGATTTTGAAATAACCAGCGCGAGCTCCAACAACTCACAGAGACCTCCGGCGCGTCCGGGCATCAGAAGCTGCGCGTGTGCGACGTCTGTGGCGCGTACCTCTCCGTGCTCGACTCGGATAGACGTCTCGCGGACCATTTCGGCGGGAAGGTGAGCAGCAACGATCACACTGTCACTTGACACTCTTTTTACTTTTTACTTGTACTGATAATACGACGTCCCGGACTCCGTTTTATTCATTCGCGGACATGGCCATGCTCATGTTTTAGATGCATCTCGGGTACCACGAACTGCGGAACATGCTCGATAAATTCAGGACGGATCGGGAGAAGCGCAAGTCGCAGCCTGCAGCCTCCGCGCCGTCTGGTCCGGGTGCGGCGATGGGAGGAGGAGGAGGAGGAGGGGGTATGGGTGCGGGTGTGGGTGGTGGCGCTGCTTCGAGGGATCGGCCGGTTCGTGGTGGGGAGGATTATCGGGGAGAGAGGGGGGATAGGGGTGGTGATAGGGAGAGGGAGAGGGAGAGAGGGTATGATAGGCATTCATCGCGATATGAGTGAGTTTTTTTTTTCTTTTCTTATGTTTCTTTCCTTTTTGGAGAAAATAATGCAGAGGATGACTCGAATCGCCTGCGGTTTTTACGAAAATTTTACTAACTGTTTTTTCTTCTTTTTTTCGGACATGCAGTGATCGTCGGAGGGACCGCTCTCGGTCGCCGGGAAGGAGACGAGGCCCGTAGATGCGCGTGGGACGCCGGAATGTTACTTAGCTTGCCTTGCTGGTGGACGCAAGGCGGAGGCGTTGGCGAGTTCTAGGTCCTGCTCTGCGCTGTACTGTTGTTCTCTTTATTCTACTTGCGGTGATCACGATGTGGATTCGTGGTGGACGTGCGGAGTGGATGACCAGTAGGTTGCCGGAGTACAAGTTAGTAGTACGGTACGTATACGTAGTGCGATCGCTATCGGAGCAGGATCAAAGCTAGGCGGGGACGCGTGAGAAGGTGCTGCGAACGAGTGCGTTGCCTTGACTCTCGGTAAGCTTCGATGGGTGATCCTCCGCGTTTGTGTGTCACAGATGAAGGTTTAGTGCGAGCGGGACCGGCTGGGAAGGCGTGGAGATAGATTAAAAAGGTGGGTTACGTCGATGACGGTGCGTGTTGCATGTGGACTGAATAGAAGGATGATTCGATCATGCGCTGGAAGGACGGCGTTCGCTGTAAATATGCAAGTGGCACCGTCGTCGAGAGAGTCGGAGTGGCGGTCAGAGCTCGACCCGGAGCCGCAAGAAGTACGGGGATGGATACGACGGTTGTGGATGACGAGGGGAAAGGGTCCGATTGCGAAGGTTGCGGAGGGAGGAATTAGCCGTGGGCGAGAAAGTCGGGGTGGGAGCGGACGGATAGGGTAATTGGGCGCGGGGTGATGTCATTTGCAAAAAGATTTTCGGATGGCGGTGCAGTTGGACGCGGTCGGGGAAGCTGTGACGCTGTGACGCGTGACGGCCCGCGTCTCCGTATCCTCCTCTGAGCGACGCGGAGAACAGGTTGTAAGTAGCAGCCATCTCCTTGTCGTCATCGTCGTCTCAGTCTTTGTCCTCGTCTTTGTCGTCCTTGCCGTCGTCGTCGTCATCGTCTTCCCACCTTTATTACCTGCACCGCCTGCAGTGGCCTTGCCTCGCATCCCGTGCTGGTCGCCGCCGCCGTGTATTATTGTGACCGAAGAGCAGGCCGGATTTCGCGTGTGTGCTAGCGTTGTCCCCGGAGAGTGTCAGCCTGTGCGATGGCGTCGCCGCATGAGCCGCAGCTGGACGACGGCCTGGGCAGCGAGCTCTCCTCCGTCCTGCCCTCGCCCGCCTTCGATGCAAACCCAGACATCTCACACAAGGACGCCCCGTCCGACAACCACCACCACCTCCCGCACACTCCCCTGACCGTCGCTCCCATGGACACCACACAGACCCCCAACGCCGCCCCGCCCACCGCCTTCCAAGCCGCCTTCATGTCCCCCGACCACCACTCCCCGCCCCTCGACCTCAACAGCTCCGGCTACTCCTCCCACACCTCGTCCCCCTCCCTCCCCGGCCCCGGTCCGAACCCTGTCTTCCAAGGCATGTCTGCCTCCCTCGCCCATGCCTTCAACGCCATCATGGCCTCCTCCGCCGGCAACTCCTCTACATTCCACAACTCCCCCTCCGACCTCGCCTTTCCCTCCGCCGCACAGCCCAACCTCTCCCCGCCTCATCCCTCCGCATTCCACTTCCCACCGCTAGATCTCGACAATCGCACACCCGCACGCGCAGATCCCACCCCAGACGTTCCCGGAGGCCCCCATGTCCTCGTCCTCGAAGACATCCTGAAGAAGTGCGTATCCGTTCTGTTACCCATCCGATCTTCCCATTGATTTTCGCACACACAGTATCGTCCATACCGCCAACTCTGCGCGACAGGCGTTCCACATGGGCCACGGCGCCCACGCAGAATCCAAGATCGCAGAGCTCGAAAAGACAATGGCACATCTCTCCACCCTCATGGCACATACCAGGATCGGCGACATTCCAAGTCCGCCCACCGACTCTTCCTCTCCGTCCAACGGACCCGCCACACGAGCTTCCCCGCCACACCTCACCCGCTCAGGCCAGAACAACGGTCCATCGCTGAACCTCGGCGACCTCCCCTCGGGTCCTCTCGACCCGCAGTCGCTCGAGCCGCAAGAGTCCACAGAGTCCAGAAAACGTTGCGCGTCGGGCATCGTCGGTGACAGGGCCGTCAAGGCTCTCAAGCTCGAGCCGCGGGACGAGGCCCCTACGCAGCTCACTTTTCCGTTCTCGCCTCCGCCCAGTGGCGGGTCGAACAACGCGATGGATCCGCCTACCACCTCCGGTTCGTTCTCTTCACAGCACCCGGGCTCTACTCCTGCCTCTCGTCCTTCCAGCTCTTCCGGTGCTCGCCACCCCATGAGCGTTTTTCAGCCTCCGCAGATACCCATGCATTTCCCGCCGGCCCCTCTCAACCTTTCGTCGGCGGTGCCTCGTCAACAACAAATGGACTACCAGTCTCCGCCGCAGTCCGCTCCGCCTCTCCAGCAGACCGCACTCTCACCGTTCGGCCATCCTCCACAGCCTTCGGGGACCTGGTCCGCCACGGCCGCCGGCTTCGCACCTCAACACACACTGCCGGTCCAGCAAATGAACCCCGGGATGGGTATCAGCATGAAGGACGTCGTCATGGCCAGTGGTCCTCAGTCCTTTTCGTTACCTGCCGTTTTCGATTCCCCTCCTCTGGCCCACAATCAGGAGGTCGTCCTTCCTTCTTCGTCGGCTGTGCCGCCTTCATTGCGACAGCAGGGCGTGCCCCGCATCTCGCGCTCGGGCTCGATGTCCAACCAGCAAGCGGCCGATCCCTTCGCTTTCGGTCTCGCCGACATCCCACAGCAGCGAGAAGATCAGTGGCCGGACTATCGTCAGTCGCGGCCCACGACCGCCATCTCCCTGGGAGGTCCGAACGGAGATTCCTCGCCCGATTCGTACCAGGATGATGACGATTATGAGGGTTCGCCGGATTATCAGGGCTTCCGAGGTCGCGTGGGCAGTATGGACAACGGCGGGGATATGTACAGTCGGCCGGGGACGAGCAGTCATCGCGGGACGCTCACCTCGCAGCAGTCGATGGAAAACTTCGGCCTTTTGTCTGGCGGTCATGGGAACGAGGTCCCACAGGAGTATCGCGCGGAGGTCGACCGTATATTCTTCGAGTTTTTGAACCGGATATGCTCAAATCGTGAGTGGTCACGCGACTTTGCTTTGAGCCCCTATATCATACTCATCGGTCTTCTTTTGCCTGCAGTTGACGCTACGGATGCCAAGGGAGAGCCGATCCACCAGACGCTAATGGCCAAGAAGATGCAGCGTCTGGACGAGTCACCCGATTTCCGGCCTTTCAAATTCCGCATACAAGCGTTCACGAACGCATTTTTGGAAGAGGTGACCGGAGACACACTGTAGTCTTGCCTTGCCGCTTTTTTCTGACCAACTCCCATCCCCCGTAGCTTGCTCGCCAAGGATATCCCGAAGACAAGATACCCATGAAAAAGGTTAGTTGTTCACCACTTGTTCGTTCCGTCCGCTAGCCGTAGCTAATTGGACTCGGTTTCATCTGTTGCAACGGTCTTTCTCTCTTTTCTTCCGTCCTCCGCCCCGCTTCCGTTTATCCGCTCATCGCCCTGGGATAGATTCGGAACTACCTCTGGAACTCGTCCTACATCTCGCGTTTCAACGAGGACGGGAAGAAGGCAAAGTCAAAAGGCAATCACATCTGGAACATCGACGCCAAAAAGGCCCCCGAGGGCTCCAGCTCCAGTGGTCGCGGCGGCGGCGGCGGGTGGATCTTCAGACCGTTTCATCGGAGGCTCGCCGGTATGCCGCCCGGCGTCGCGTACGTCGGTCTGAGATGGAGCTGGTCGCCACGGATTTGGGATCCACAGGCGTCGAGGAATAATTTGCCGGTGAATTATTCGTCGCCGGCGTTGCCGGGGTGGCTTGCTTGGCAGGGGGATTGCCTTTCGGGGATTCCGCCGCCGGAGGCGCAGAGTTGTGATGTTACTGTTGAGGCTAGGGTGAGTTTTTCGGTTCTCCAATGTTTTCTTGCAGTGTTGGCACTCGGCTACGGTCAATCAAGAGTTTGAGCGAACAGGGTGGATTCTTGAACTTGACCCCCAGTGTTCGGGGGACCTGACCCCAGTCAAGTGCCAACACTGTTTTCTTGATGCGTTGTGTGTTGACCCTTGAATGCGTGTAGTATATCTACGATGGCCAGGAGGAGCTTCTTTCTCAGACGGTCCATATCAACATCGCTCCGATGTCGAATGTGGACACGACGTTCACGCCTTCTCGTCGACCGTCGCTCGCTGGAGAGAATGCTCGACGGATCGCAAGCGATAGTATCGTGCCCCAGTCCACGCCCGTTCGGTAAGTTTTCGTAGTTTCTCGATCCGCAGACGGCTCAACTGACGTCTTGGTCTTCCAGTGTATCGAACACGCTGCGCACACAGTCCAGCACGAGCAACCTCGTCCCATCGCAGGACGCACAGGTCATCCAAGTCCTCACCACCGCCGCCCAACGCGTCGCCCAAGAAGCCCAATCCCAAGTCGTCTCCACCCGCATGCCGAGCGAAGCGTCCGACTCCGAACTCCAATCCCTCGCAAAACAACAGCACGTGCTGACCGTGACCGCCCAAGCCGTCGACAAGTCCGTCTCCGCCCAAGCGAACCTGATCACCCAATCCCCCTCCGTCCTCGCCGTCGCGGCGCAACAGGTCGTCCTGCAGGCCGCACGCTCCGTCGCCGCCGACCGGAACGCAGCGGCAGCGGCAAGTGGGCTCGGTGGTAGTCAGAATTCGTCAGGACATGGGTCGTCGGTGACGGTGAACGAGGTGTCGGTGGCGACGCAGTCGGCGGTGGCGCAGGCGGTGGAGATCGCGGGGCCGTTGTCGAGCGAGGTGGACGTGCTGATGACCGCGACGTCGTTGTTGCAGCAGCAGTCGAGGCAGCCGCCGGTCGCGGTGCCGGGTATGGGCGTCGGCGTGAATGGGATGGGCGGGTCGGGGACACATCCGCAGGCGATGGCGGTTTCGCTGGATCCGATGCGTTCGCAGACGACGAGGCCTTAGAGTTGTGGCGTTGTGGGTGGTGTTGAGGTTGTTATGTGAATGTGTTTCTACTTTCTTCTTCTCTTTCTGTAGCTCTCGTTTTTCGCTTTTTCTTTTCTTTTCTTTATTAGCCCCGCGGACTTCGTTTCTTTTCAACCAATTAATCCAATCAAACGGCCTGCTTTGCCGTGTTTCTGTTTCTTTTCTGCTTTCTGCTCTACGACGACGAACTGAATTTTCCTTTTTTACTATTTTCACCTTCCACCCTTCCCCTACCTACTCACCACCCACTCGCTCACCCACCCACCCATCCCATCCCTATCCCTATCCCCGTTGCCGAAGACCTCCCTTACGGCTGGCCGCACCTCTTTTAATTTTAATTCTTCACTTTTTTTCCCTTCTTTTTTCGTTCTCGTTCTGTGGTCTAAGGCTCGATTTTTCCCTCCTTTTTTCTTTTATTTTGTTCTGTCTTGTTCGATGCGAATTTATTTGCTTGCTTGTTCTTCTGTTCTTCTGCTCACGAACTCAATCCAATCCAATCCAATTCTTCACTCTCACTCTCACTCTCATTGCAACCCACTCACTCACGCAGACACGCAGCTATTCGTCCACTACCCCCCTCTTTCAATTCCAATTCCAATTTCCAATTTCCCACTGTCTACTATCCACAATCATTTCACTCACTCACTCACTCACTCTTCAATTGTCTCAAACTTCAAGCGTACGTTCCTTCACAAGTCCCCAAGTCCGGTCCGAGTCCGAGTCTCAGTTTTTTTCGCGTTTTCGCTTCTGGTACAAGCTTTCAGTTCCTTCGATCCTTCCGTGTCCAATTCCTTCGTGTCTAATGCTTCCAATCCACTCGCTGCGCTCGTTGCTCTGCAATTCCCCTTCTCCTCTCTGAATACCAACCTACCATTAGCCCCGTTCCGTTTCCTTCCCCATTCCCTGTCCCATCCCATTCCGTTCCAGAGTTCTGTTCCGTTCCACTACATACATACAATCGTACATGACCTTAAATCGCTTGCGCTGTTGCTGTGCTGTGTTGATTATCATCCCCCGCCTATCGCCTACATATTAGAAGTAGTAGCAAGTAGTTAGTAGTTAGTAGTAGTTAGTAGTTAAATTTGAATTCGAAGTAGTCACAGTCATTGGGTGGTGTGGTGCGGGTTGGCGCCGGCCTCGTTCGTCCATCCCTTCAGGCAAGTCTTTATGTGTGTATTACCGTATGGTCTCGACCGCGCACGGGCAGTAAGGGTGGACATCGTCGCCCCACTAGCTCAATCTGGCGGGGAAGGCAAAGGTTTACATTGCTACAAATATGCCCTAAGGGCGGAAAGGGTGTTATCAATGCGCGGTCAATGGACACAATCAACCTACTTACTAGTAGTCCGAGTCCCCATAGCATCTGTGTTTTGTTTTGATTGATATCTTCAATCCTTCTTTACGACACCTCGTCACCACACGGTCAAGGGAGCCAGCCTTCTCCTCCATGAACACCCCGCGTGCACCGTGCTTCCAACATAATTCTATATTGCTCCATCTCGCCACCATTCGCTCAATCGGTGCACCAGTACTGTCTTCCTCCTGGGGCCACCATCGAGACAGTATCATGCCTACCAGAGCAGTGTCAGTCGTCCGTGATGGTGACGACCCATCATCGTCGAGCCGTGGCGACAATGGAGGACCAGGGTCGGCCTGACGCCTAGGATATTGGAGCGCTAGGAAAAGGTTGTCATTTAGACATTCGCCGCCGTCTCTGAGCCATATCTGTTCAAGGACTGGTAGGAGCCGAAGGACATCGGGTAGCTCGCCTGCAGCGAACCGCACGGATGACATGGCAAGACTGGTCAGGCTGGATCCTGATCGCGGGAAAACGTATTCGGTAACTTGAAGGAGCGGGATTTCGCTTATTATTTCAATAAATGGTCCATCGATGGTCAAAAGTGCAAGAACAGGCATATCGAGTGGTTGGAAAAATTGTATCCCATCTCCCATAATGGAATGCAAGTAAACCTTGAAGGCGCGAAGATGAGGGGACGTACAAATTCGCTCCGCGAGTCCGCCAGCGTACTGATTCCAAACGATCGCCTTACCGAGGTCACAATGCTGCAGTGAGGTGCATTGGAGGAGCACTCGACGAACCTCAGTCACTGACGCTTTACCGGACAGCGTTAAATGTGTGAGCTGCGACCATGGTATGGCCCATCCGTCGTACGGGTTGTTATTGGGACCAATGAAGCCAAGGCTTAGACGTGCGCGTTGCACGCGAGGAGCGTCGCGGAACACGGTGAGTTCGGCCCTGGAAGAGTCTACCGGCGGGGCGATTGTTTCTGAAAGATCTAATTCTTCGAGGAGGGGCATGGAATACGACGTCTGTGCAGGATCGTATGATGCTTTCCAGACGGTGTCTGGCAATCCAGCAACTGACAGCCTGCGTACGCGGCTCATGCACAGGAGTAGAACTTCGAGGAGATGCTCCACCCCCTTCTGTGGCGCGCTATTTGGGTGACAGACAGAAACTCTGAGCTCGAGATCGATAGAGAGAGATCGGGAGAGCTGCAAGAAGGCTTTGGTGGTGTCGACGGACTCATCGAGCCTTTGGTTGGAAGAACAGAGCCTCGCGCGGGTCCACAAGCGAGGGGTATTCAGAGCAATTGCGCGCCAGCGAGACGACACGTGGGCGATACGATACGGAGTGTGCGACTGCGTTCGACTTTGGATTTCGCTTGTTTCTTGCCAGAGAACGAAAATTATGGCAAGAATCTCGGGTGGCAAATGTCGTATGGGAGAGAGTATTGCGCGATTATTTTTCATCCTGGCACATACGACCTCTTCGCGCGCGAGAAGTTCTGACTTCGCTTGACGGATGTGTGCTAACTCGGTTTCGTCTTCATTCAACGAGTGTTCGAAGGTACTGAGCCTCCATTGGTGTTGGAGGTGTATTGGCTTTCCCTAGAGATGCCATCCAGGCGTAAGTAGCATGCCCAGACTAGGAATATGAATCAGTGAAATCAGCATGATCCAGAAAGGAAGTATACACATACCGTAGGCTGAAGCTGCGCTTGCGAGTCTTCGGCCATATTCAAACATCTCCTGAAAGTTCCGAGAACCAAGCGGACGTGGGTTTGGGCAAGGTATAGAATTCTACGATTATTGCCGTCAAGGAAGATGCACGCCCTGAGTCACAGTGATGGTACGGACAGTGGACACTGAGCCTACGTCACCGATTCGAGATTTATAGAGGCGTACTGAACACGTGACCCAAGACACGTCGCGTGTCCGAAACGGCATCAATCGCGATCGAGCTTGTTCTGTGCCATTGTTCTCTTGCCGCCGGTGCCATCCGTGTCATAACTTCTGCTCTTTATCCCGTTATCGCCATCGATACCGTTAGCGTGCGAATCTATTGCTCTGAACACATATAAAAGGGTGCCCTCCCGGCTTGACCTCCCCATCATCTCTCTTCCCCCAACTTCCACCATCCCCACCCAACCCTTCCCTCCCTCACCTTAGCGCTGCTGGTCGGCCTTCGTGAGCCTCATCCACCGTTTTGACTTCTTTATTACTATACTCCACGCGTATTCCTGGTATGGAAGCGCGTTTCGGAGGGAGCTGCGCCTATACTGATGAGTTAGGCGGTGGACACAGGACACCCTATGCCGCTCTCCCGGTTGGCGCAGTGAGCTCCTCCCGCTGTTGGTAGCCCATCGACTGGACGTGGCAGGTGGTTGACTCGTCCCACTGGGGCCTTCCTCGTTGTGCGACCCAGCAGTTGGGCCTTTTCTTTTCGTTTCTTCCGAGGCTGGTCCTCCCCTTTTTTTCTCCTGGTACAGCGTCGGCCTCTTCGTGGCCCAGGAGACCAGTACCTCTGTGGAAGAGGGAAGCTAACAGATGCTTGTGAGTTTTATCCCCTATCCGTACGCTATACATCCCCCTCCTCCCGCTCCAGACGACAGGCCCGTCCATGTGGCTCCTGTACTATACACGACCTGGAACATCGGTGGGCGAGGGTTCGATCTCTTAAGTGGGGTGGACCTTTCGTACCGGAGGCTGTTTTGACGACCGCGCGGGGTAACCGTCGGTTCGTATTCCTGAACCACCCACCAAGACCGATATGGCAGAGTGGACGTATGTTATCTACGACGCTTTAGAGGGTGGCAGGTTGGGCCTCATGTTCCTCCCTTCAATGGGCGGGGTTACCTTCTCGGTGTCAAATATATTAATCATGATGAATCCAACTGTTGGTCGAGCTATCTGCCGTTGTGTGTGGGCAGACACAGGTTTGGATGACACGCTTAGCGGTGGAACAAGGACCGGAGCCACGAACGTCGTGTCGGTTGATATGTGTTCTTTTCGGACGCGGTGGTTCATAGCGAGACGGATAAGTCAACGTGCGGGTCTCGCAGAACGGAGGACCTACTGAGGTGTCCCTATTTTCCAAACATGGTGGGTGAAACCAATCATCAGCCCAATACCTGAGTAGCAGTCTCACTCCGCCTAGCAAGGGTCCGCAAGAACCCATCCTCAGTAATGAAATCCGATACTTCCTGCAATTCAAAATAAACAGATTATGCGAGCAGACAAACGATCCCAGCCTGCAACATCAACGGCACGTAGACCACACAAACGAACGGCGCGAACCACACGCCCGCTACGTCCCAGTACCAAACGCCTTGCCTTACTTCGTCCTCGAGTAGAAGCCAGGAGAGTGCGAGTGTGGCGTAAATGGTATATTTCACGATGCGTGAGACGAGGGCGAGAGGAGAGGAGTGTGTAGAAGGCCTTGAGGAAGAGGGCGAAGAAGGCGAGGCGAGGGTGAGAGGGATGCCGAGGGAGATAGCGAGTAGGGCAGCGAGGGAGAAGTTGAGCATCGAAGTTATGGAGATGATGGTGCTTGAGATGCATAGTAGGAGGGATTTGAGGAGAGTTGAGAGGGGCGATCGTGTCGTGTAGTCGGTAGGTGTGTACAGTAGGGTGGCCAGGGGTAGAGTGCCCATAAGCAGGATTAGGGGGAGTGTTGCCACCTGGGATGGTGTCATAGGCGGGTAAATTCTTTATTTTATGGATAAGTATAGGCGAACGACTTACGTTTTGATTCCCGATAAACCACGAGGAAGATATGGTCATAAATACCAATCCACCCAATATATGCGTGACAAGCATGATGCCCATCACAGGCAACACGTTCCTTGCCCTCTTCACCCATCTCAGTCTCCTACCAACCATCCTGTGCTGCTTCTCGTCGGAGACACCGGGGTCCGTATCCTCAGCGACGGGAATTTGTACCCAGCCGGCTTGAACCCATTCCCGTAAGCCGCTGAACATGAGCGCAACGCCGATGATTACCGCGCTCGGTAGGTACATCCCTATTTTGAGGAAAGATGTCGGGGTGGTCATGATATAGAAGAAGAATGAGGCGTGTAAACGTTCCAGGAGGTTGTTCATTGTGCGTAATGTTGATTCAACGACTCTGTTGTGACGAGTCAGATAGATCCACGATAAAAGGCCGAATATTCAAACATACCGGCCCAGTGCGTGGAATCCGTGTGGTCCGTTCGAGGGCACTGCGAAAAGCGTGATAGCGTCGATACGGAATCTACGAGATACAATGCTTAGGGAAATATACCCATCCGGCGGATATGATGATCTTACTGGTGAAGTAAACCATGGACGCCGCTCGGTCGTCCACGAGCTTGATGCCCTACATGCTTCAAAATATTTCTCGCTCGATACCCATACTGAATGACATCGTCCCGTCCCGTAACCGATGGTGGCACCCAAGTGGGCATCATCTCAACTATGGCCTGTCGTCCAGGGAACTCGGACGGCTCGTGATGATCGTACACCAGGACTGGTACACCGCCTGTGTGTCGGGAGATGATGGAGAAGGCGTTTATGAGATCTTGGTTAGGCAGACGACCGTTCACGCCCTCTTAAGACGAGACGTCAGTTACTTGCTTGGAGAAAAGAGCGGCGAGGGAGAGAACAAACCTCGGAAAACACCCAGGTGAGAGAATGAATGTCCAGGATAGTCGATGTTGAGAGCAGTCCAGATGACCCCGGATGAGTATATCAATGGTTCTGCTTGTAGGTCTGCGCGACGTTATTTACAAGGGCTTGGGGAACCGTGACGGATGACGCACTTGATTGAAAGGAGCCATGATACTCATTCAGAAATGCCTGCATGCCATCCAGATAGCCATCGCTGATGACAAAAATAATGTCCTTCGACCAATGAGAATATTCTAGATGGTTAGAATCGTTAACGACATCCTGTGTCGAAGGAGAGGACATCCTGACTTTTCAAGAAAGCAGACAGCGCGAGGACAGTAGCGACGCCACGCAAGTTGAGTGCATCTCCATTCCCGCTTTGGCTCAACCACGAAGTGCTTATGAGCATGGCCTCTGCTCCTGATGCGCGTGGGGAGGAGAACATGGCGTAGGCGTTGGTCCCAACTAACTCCTGTGGATGGGTGGGTCAGTGTGGCGAACAACCAAAAGATGTGGCTATTACAGACTGACTTCCTGGCTGGTCGACAGCGCATACTTCTGGGTGGACGCAGGCAGACCGAGCTTGGAGAACTCGGTCATGAAATAGTTTGCACGTCTATATTGCTGGCATAAGTATGTACATGGAATGGTAATGAACGACATTAGCCTCACTCCTCATGAGATGCATTCCTGTCTCGCATCAACTCGAGCTCGTCCAAATATCGGTCCGCACGGTGCACGTCATTCCAGTTCCAATACGTGCTAACCTGTTATACGGTTAGTATTTCTTTCTCAGGCATGCCCGACCCCAGCAAATGATAGCACCTGTGCAGGCTGCAGTGCGTTCTCGTCGATATATGTTCTTGAGCCGAGTCGTGGGGAAGGTAAGAAGAGCAACCAAGCGTAGCCAACTAAGAGCAAGAGCAGTCTAGTCAAGTAGAATCATTGTCCTATGGGTTTCAAACAACATGATACACACCTTAGAGCATTTAGATGGCGCCAGAGTAGACCTGTCAGCACTCGTCGCCGTTGTATGCGAGACACATTGACTTCTGCTTTGCTCTTCTTTTTTGAGAACAGTCTCTGTAGTAATTTCGGCGGCATGCACAGTAGGAAATGTCGTCGAGAGTACCAGAGTGTCGAACGGACGTGGTGATGGTGGCGGAAGATGGTGGCGGAAGAGATCAAATTAGGGCACAGGAGAAGGTCACCGTCGGACGCGATGCCGCGCTAGTGGCTAAAGCCAGGTTTGCCACACGCGTCCATCCCTCGCTTCCCCACTCTTCACCCTTTTCACCTGCTTGCTATCCTACTCTCTTGTTAGCTCAGATTGTTTGTGTTCTCTTGTCGAAATCTCGGAATGTCTCAAAAGCGCAAGCGCGCTGCCGCTCAGGGCCTGGCTGCTGGGGAACGGCTGAAACGACACAAGCTAGCCTCCGCCTCTGATTCACCCTGGGGATGGGTCGGCACAGAAGTCAAGGACGCGTCAAATATCTCAGCAGAACATCTTTTGGCTACCTGTGGCTTTGCTCGTAATAACTCTAGCGCTTTTTGTCCAAACAAGTACGCAAGGCGGGCTTCCAGGCAGGCAGAACCGTCGACCTCGTCAATCGAAGAACCTGTGGCCGATGGAGAGCTTGCGGACGATGTTATAGTCATTTCGTCGGACTCGGAGTCATCGAACTGCAGTAAGAAAGGATGCAGGAAGCAGCCGAACTGTGTCAACTACGTTGGGCAGGAGAAATGGGAAAACAAAAGTGTGTGTAATTGTTGTCATGTCGTGCATGACTTTGTCCTGATCAGAACAACCAGACGCCGCTGCTAAAGACTTTCTGGCGGCAGCAGCGCTTGGACGAGACCCAGCGCTTCAGAACAAGGAAGACGGCCTCCCGGTGGGACTGCGGGTGCGTGTGGAAACCGTTGCATATGATGGGTGGTTCTCGCTGAATGTGGCATCGTTTAGAATTTGGGCGCAACGTGTTACGCCAACGCATACATCCAGGTAAGCCTCAGCGTCCATACACGAGAGGCAATATCTTGATGTGTGTATATAGGTCTGGTTTCAGAACCTTGCCTTTCGCAATGGTGTGTTCCAATGTCAACCAGCGCAAGACAAGCAGCACTCCTTCGAGGTGAGTTCCCTCCAGTCAACAAACTTAACGTCGTCCTGTGTCCCACTAACCTTCATCTATAGGATTCTCCTATCTTTCACCTCCAAGCAACATTTGCTGCTCTGCAGGAGGGTACCATGAAAGTATTCAATCCCATAAAGTTGGTCGAGAGCCTGAAGTTGAGGACAAACGAGCAGCAGGATGCGCAAGAGTTAGTACATCATGTTCATAGTGTAGGCTCTATATTCAACGTGCACCCCGTTAGATTCTCCAAGCTGTTCATGTCCCACCTGGACACCGAGTTCCAGAAACAGTCAGATCATGCATTGAAGCATCTGCTCTCAAATCAAGTGCGAACTTCCTAAGCCTTCTCTGTTGACTAGCTTGTGACGTCTTGTAGTTTCAAGGGAAACAAGCCTATGTGACGGTTTGTAAGACTTGCGGGAACCGATCAGAACGAGATTCTGACTTTCTAGAGATCGAAGTCAACCTTGAGGTTGGTGACAGTGTCTTCAGGCTCGCTAAATCGCTCACAACGTCCTTCAGAATAATGCATCTTTGGAGAGCCGGATCGCTGCCATGCTCGCGCCCGAGGAACTATCCGGAGATAACAAGTTCGTACATCCCGACGTCGACTGATTATCCAGCTCATCGTAGTTCATATTCCCAATGCATAGATACTCCTGCGGAAAATGCGATTCGTATCAGGATGCGAGCCGTCAAGTCATCCTCCGAGAACTACCCCCAGTCCTACACTTTTCCTTGCTCCGCTTTGTCTTCGATCTCACCACGTACGAACGCAAGAAGAGCAAGCACAATATCTCGTATCCCACCGTTCTGGATATGAACCGATTCTTGCATCCGCCTGGTCAATCTTCTCCAGATAATATCTATGATCTGCAAGGTGTACTGCTTCATAAGGGCCCGAGCGCATATTCTGGACATTATGAAGCTTTGGCTTTCGATACGGTGTGAGTCTGTTTTCTCACGGGGTGGGGTAGGCATGTTGACGAGCTCTTTCATTCTAGCAACAATTCCTGGTTTCAATTCAACGATGAGAGCGTCACGAAGATGAAAGCTCCCGGAAGTAAGGCGAATGGGACTCAAGACAAGCCTAAAGGGTACGTCCGTCGTGCTATTCTTTGATACTGTCCGTAGTTCTTACGGTCGTCGTGCAGGCCGCAAGCCAATGGTCGTGCAAACGCAGGAAGGAAAAAGAGACGAATTGACGACAGCGATGACGAGGTTGTCATTGTGTAAGATATTCAGGGTGCTTGTGCTACCGTTGTAACTCATTTGTATACAGGTCTGAGCCTCCGAGCGGTCAACCTAAACCTACCCCATATTCATCACCTGAAGCCAGGTACGGTCTCGTGAGAAGGGGCACATTTCCTCTGTGTGGATGCAATGCAATCGTGGCTGATCGATGTCATCTTTGTTTAGTTACGCGACATCCAAGGACGCATACATGCTGGTTTATACGCGCCGAACTACTGCTCGCACAGAGGCCAAACCACCAGTGCCAACACCACCATCGCGTGCCCTCGACGCTGTGCAGGCATTGATCGCAGAGCATGATAAAGCGTGCGCAGAATTCAAGGAGAAGTATGTATTCTCTGATATATATGTTCCAAGTAAAAGCTGACTGGGTGCATAGGCGCCGAGCTGCGAGAGAAAAGTTCGAGGAGCTCTACTCGAATATGACCAGCATTTATCGGACATGGCATGTCTCATCAGACGAGCAGGTACGTATCTTGATGCTTAGCGTCTTCAGGAATGCCACTTATTGTCTGTATTCGTAGAAGTCTATCGTAGCCAGCCAACAAGCCTTGGAACTGTTTCTATCTCGACATCTGAGGAAGGACCCGCCTAAGGAACAGAAGGCAGACAAGCCTCCTGAGCTAAAACCGGAAGCTAAAGCACCAGCCAACGGCGAGGTCTCTTTAGACAAGTCAACTGAACGCGTCAATGGTCACCTTCCGTCACCTGGTACTACGCCGACAGTATCTGAGACTAACGGATACATCGATCCCGAGGCGTCGACGCCCGATATCTCGATTTCTGATGTTGTATGTCCACACGGTCTCCTAAATCCTCATAAGGCGGACGACATGAAGCGAATCGATTATGTACGTATCGGTTGTCATCCTTGTTCCCGCCCAGAACCTGGCTGACACCAGTCTCAGGTGGCATACACCAAACTCATGTCCTTAGAAGAGTGTCGATTTGTTCCTGAACTCACACCGTACGATGTTTGCAGAGACTGCGTTACGGAGATGTTCATAGGTATGTATTATTTTCGTCAATGACTGATTGGACTGGTGCTGACACAGGTTGGATAATAGAGAAGCTGTACCAGTACGAGCATCCAAAGCTCGTTTCCGAGTTCGAGGCGGTTATGAAGCCGATGGAAGGTCAAGGGTGGTACTGGATCTCGACGAAGTGGCTTCGGGGTGCGTACACACCCACTGGGTTCCCTTCTCGCAATTACCACGCATCCACCTTCTGACTATATTTGAGTAGATTGGAAGGCTCCCAAACCAAAGATGCACGTCATATCACAGGGCGACCCTCCTCCAGACGCTGAACCATTCAAAGAGAACGTCAGCTGCCCTCATGGGAACCTGGAAATCACCCTCACCTACCGAACGCAGATCTCCCCAGAGGTGAGTCTACCCATCTCTTCATGCTATTCTTCTCAGACTAGTGGCTAATTGTGGCGTGTGTGGTCTACTTTCCTAATTTATAGGCCTATCGACTCTTGAAGAAACTGTATCCTCAATGGGAGACACTCTCGTATACTGCTCAGCGCTGTTCGACTTGCGAAGCTGGGAAGGACGTCCAGAAGGAAGAGCGGATAAGGTCTGAACAGGAAAAGGCGAGTTCCCTCACCATCGTCCCCCTGTTTACGGCAGCCGTACTCACTCCGAGAACGGCGACCTCCATTGTTCACCAGATGAAGCTAAAGCACATGTACGAGAATGCGCTCGGCCCAAACAATACGCGACTACTCCAAGACGTCCCTTGCGCACTCGTCCCCGCCGACTTCGCGCGTACGTGGAAGCAGTATATCTATCGTCCTATGAAGTACCCGAGGCCGGAAATGTTGGACACGACATGTTTCGTGTGCGAACATGGCAAGCTCAATATCGACCCGAACTCGAATGATCTGGACTCGACGATTTGCGTGGTCAGGAGGGACGACTGGGATGCGTTGGCTGAGATGTACGTGGTCACCATCTGATGCTAAGACTCGGTCTAACGTGAAGATCGCTCATTATCAGGTATGACGTGACCGGGCCCATCATCGCGGTGACAAGACACGAGACTCCAGACGAGCAGAGAGAAATCCGATCATCTTTCGTCCACGACATCCCTGTGTGCGAAGAATGCCGTCGGACAAGGTACCATTCTTCCGCTCCCACCACTCGCTCGTTTGGTTTTGCTCATTGACTCGTTCTCTGTCTGAACTTTAGGAAGTCCGATTTCGACCTCACCGAGATCACTATACGCATGCTGTCCGCCGACGATCCCAATCCTACTCCCGAGTCCTTCACTAATGGCCATCTTAAACCCTCCGCTTCTTCATCGACTCAGCCGGGCCACCAGACGAGCATCACGACGTACTCGAAGAAAGGTACCAACGGCCCTCAAAGACAGTCGAAGAGGATCCGCACAACGCAGCGAAAAGAGCAAAAGCTGGCGATCTCGAAGAACATGACGGTGAAGGAGATCAAGCTCTTGGTCAGTACTACACTATATCATAGCCCCTTGCCTCGTCATGCTTCATGAACCTGCAAAACTGACCAATCGTCACGAACAGTTGCAAGATGACATGGACATCCCGACCATCTGTCAACGACTCTTCTACCAAGGTCACGAACTCCTCGATAACCAGGCCACAGTCGCCACCCTCGGCGTCCTCTCGAATGACATCTTCGACCTCCGTGAGGTCAAAGAGGACGAGGATTTGTTGAACGACTCTGACACGGACAGGCCGCCGACGAAGAGACGGCGAGAGGAGGGCAGGGCGTTCGGCGGGACGTTGCTGGCTGGGGATTTCAGCTCGGACAGGGAGGTCCCGGAGGATACGGCGACGGATCTGGGGAGCGAGAGGGGGTCGAGCGTGGGGGCACAGGACCAACATGATTCGTCCACAGGAGGAGGGGGAATCGCGTGTTCGGCGTGTACGTATGTGAATCCGGCGGAGGTGGGGGCTTGTGAGATGTGTGAGACACCGTTGAGGAGATGACGAGCTTTGCGTCGCGCAGTGCATTACTTTTATTCTATACCTCTGCATCTAATCAGCATTATCGTCACTATTTCAAGTTGCTTCGGACCATGCGAAGAGAAATGTGCTTCGTCATTGATCAGCGGTTTAGAGACCTTGTTATGGTGCAGAAGACCAGAACATCCTGCGGAACGTCAGTATTCAAGATACAATACTTGCGAGCGAGCCGCAGGCGCTCAGAACAGCTTGTAGCACCATCCTTCACCAGACTTAGACCTCATACGCGCCACCATCATCTTCTGTAGATTCGGCTCGAACGTATTCCCTACGTAGGACCTCAACCGGCGCCGAACCTCTGCACAGACATCTGCGTTTTTGCGGAGATCAACGGGAGGAAGTCCTTCAAGCGGTCTCGACTGCCACGAAGGAAAACCAGTCAGCTCAAATGACCACTGAACAACGAGGAGCCAGACCAAAAATGAACGCACTTGTTCGTTCATGTCGACAAAGAGACTATCCTCTGCTGCGTCCTGCAACTCAAACTGGAGTCGGTAGCGGTACGAGTGACTCTTGCCGGGTTTACCCACGCAGGCCCAACATTCTTCTTGAATGTCACATGTTCTGCAGCGATTCGTCAGTAGTGAATTTATCAGGGATGTTTAGAGGCCGTAGAAGGAACAGAGACAGACTTTTTTCGGAGATGTTTACACCACATTGATACATAATTTTCAACGGGTGCCGGGGTATGCCCAACGACACTAGCCTCGATGTTGAACGAAGCACGACAGTCCCTGTCGTCGTCCAGGATTTCCCGGATGGTGACCAGACCTCTCGAGTCGCTGGGCTGAACCGTGTCCGAGTGAGAGGATACCAGGGAGCGTTGAGCAAAGCTCTGTCCCACGGAGCTATCCGTTCCCTCAACAACACGTCCAGCCTTCAGTCGCTCGCTCTTCCACCATTTGTGCAATTGCGCGCAGGTCTGAAGGTCTTCTGGGGATACCGGGCAAGGTGGCGGGGCTGGTGCGGGAACCTTAGTGAGGCAGTCGGGCTTGCCGGCCACATCGCGCTGAGTAGCTTGTCCTGTCATAGATAGCCCAACGTATCTTTTCTTTGTATCCTAGTGATGTTGCCGGTATGATCCGAGGTCTGCGAGGGGAATGATGAGATATATTTGAGATATACAGGACTTCGATACTATCACATGCAACAAGATGAACCGAGACTAACCTTCAAGTTTTGAAGGATCACGACGTCGTTCTCGCGCGCCGTATGGGGAAGCCACTGCTTACCGTTTTCCTTCGCAGCAAACAAGTTGACCTTGAAACCATACTCCGAAGAATTAAGGACGTCTCCGCAAGCATTAAGATTGGACTTGTCCACCAGGCGGAGACGCATCACCAAGTCGAGGTCTACGTGGGGCTGAGTGAGATCGTGGTCGTCTACGCAGGACGACACGGAAGCAGACAACTCACCACCTCTTCTGGAGGGGTTGGGCCCCCAAACTTCCGATACGATGGCGATGACCGAAAAGGTCTGCCCGTTAAGCTTCTCGTCGATATCATTGAGGGCAACCCAGTCTCCCTCAGGATACCTTATTAGTGGACGACAATCATCCTTGGAGAGAATAAAGCCGCTCACCTTCGGCAGGAGCGGAGCAGACGCGCCCAATGGTGTGTTGCCCTTAGATCCAGACTCCGACATGATACGAGCTTCAGGCCTATTAATGCTTGACGACAAGGGCTGCCTCTCTTGATCCTTAGAAGCGACGAGTGTATCTTCAGAGGTCGGGTCATAACTGTGATTGAGCATCGTAAACTCGTTCTCCAAACCGTCGCTGGAGGGGACCATCATGCCGCATGCGTCGTCGTTCGTTTCAGTGAGTGAGGGTCGGTCTTGGAGTTGTCGCTACGTTGTTAACGGCAATTATACGCAAGAAAGGATACAATGCACTAGTCTTAGACCAAACGCTGTAAAGCCGGGGAAGGTCAACCGACACGGATCCCGCCTTGTTCAGAAGCTTGAAAGTGATGCCTTCCGGGTAGACCAGTTCGACCAGAAGTTGGCTTTCCGGCGAATTCGATCTTCTATTCACAACCGCACCCTTGAGGGAGCTGGAGCTCGTCATGGAACTCGACGCTGATGGACCGCGCCCACTGGCAATGGTAAGTATCTTCCAAACATCTCGCCCATTCTAACGTCGATTTTGGCCTTGCCGGAGGGGACATATATATCGGGTACTTCCAGCGTGAAACACTGCATCCCGCCTGAGTGCGTCTTAGAGACCACACTGCCGACGAGGTACCCGGCCACATCGTTGCTACGAATCCGATCATAGACGCGCCTTTTGTAGACGAAAAGTCCATCGAGGTCGTTGTCGGCTTTGCGGCGCTTTGAAGACGGTTCGTGGTCAGTTCCAGAATGACGCTTCATATTGTATGGAATCCGGGATGGGAGTGAGAGCGGAGGAGGCGAAATCGAGTCAAAAAGCAGAAGGTAATTTATGTGGCGCGCGCTAAGGGGTAAGTAGCGCACGTGACCGCGTCAACGGACTCGTGGGAAACATCTCACCAGAAACCAAGTTTCTCGAAATCCTAATACTTATGTGTTGATCATGAGCACGAGCCCCGGGCCCCCCTTCTGAAGCGATTCGCGAAATAAGAATCAGGAAAACACAAACGTTCCATTCTACAGCCAAGGACAACGGATTCAGAGATGTAAACCAAAACCGGGAAAACAGGAAGACGAGTGCCAATATTAATGCTGAGCGGCGTGGACTTCACAAAGAGATGGATAGAAAGGCATACCAGCGGTCGAGAATGCACTACTACCGAAAGCCCCAGGCATCGAAACATCCCGAACTGACATCGATATTACTTACCAACCCAGGTTGGACACAAGTTGGACATCAACTCAAAGAAAAGATGAGAGTTTTTACCACGGTCGACGAAGGGCCTCGCTTGATCATAAGGATACAGCACCCGTCAAGGTAGCCTACTGCCAGTAAGCCCCGCTCGCACCCCTAGTAAGTATTAGTATTGGTATTGGTATTGGTATTGACAAGTACAAGTTGCAACGCACCTCCACCTCGAGACTCAGGCTCGTGGGATTCAAACCCAGACCCTCCAAGCAAGTTCAACCACGCAAACTAAAAGTGACATGCATGCACATTAGGAAGTCACTTACTAAATAAGTCAGAGTCCAAGTAGATGCCGTAGGTCCACTCCCAACGTGTCTGCAGCAAGGCGTGCGATGGTTGTCGAGGGTGATTCGCACAAGGCCGGTGTCCCGGTTAGGAAGCTTAAGGTTGAGGGAGGGAGGGGAGGACCCGTACTAGTCTCCCACAGGCAGACATTGGTGTTGAAGGTAGGGCATTCAACATCTCAAGAGGGCCCCGGGGAACTCAAACGTCGTTGGAGGTAGTAGACACATTGCATACTCCAGAAATGATTCAACAACGAGGGACCATAACCAGAGAACTCGTGATCGACTTCGACTTCGATACGCGCCACCCACCCACTCAACACATTGTAAATGCAAATTTCACATTACTTATCAAAAGATCGGGGGATCACGTACACCCACACTCGTACCCACACTCGCAACATCAAAAAAAAAGGATTTTCGAACAAGTAAGCAGTCGAGGGGAAAAAGTCAGAAATGAATTGGGGTCATTGCATGGGGCGACGGCGACAAGGGGGTAGGGAGCATGGGTGGGGATGGGAATGGGTGGAAAATGGTCGTGGAAGAGTCGATCGATCGGAGGAATTTTTGGACGGCGAATTGGTCAAAAGAAATGAGAAATGAAGGCAAGCACAAGAAACGGAAGAAGCGAGAAGAAGCAGGGCCGGTTGGAGGAGTCGAAGACGAAGGATATAAAACACTTGGGAACGAACATACGACGAGAAAATTCGAGGAAGACGTGACGTGAGGTAGGGGGGAACGAAGAACGCGTCGGCAGAGCACGGGCGACAGCAAGCATTGATTGATCAAAAGGACAGAGAGAGAGAAAGAAAAAGAGCACTTCGATTTGGGGGTGGGACCATTGGGTTAGTAGTGGAGGGAGATATTACGACGAAGCCGGAGCCTGCTGTGCCCGCAACTGTTTCTGCTTCTCCTGCTCCAGGCGCTGCATTCACTCGAATCAGCCCAAAGTGCATGAACGACAAGTAAGGGAAAGAGGGACACGTACGTGATACAACAACTGCACCGCCATCTGGATATTCGCCGGCGGACCCGTAATGACCACCAACCTCTCCCCCTCCCCCGGCGCCGGCGCAGGATTCACGCCACCCGCACCCGCCCCAGGCTCCATGATCTTAATCTGACTCGCACTCATATGCCTGATCTCGTTGATCTTGCTCCCGCCCTTGCCGATGATACACCCCACGAGATCATTCGGGATGTAGATCTGCTGCGTCTGAATCTGCGGGGGCGGGTTGCCTGGGGCGGGAGGGGCGGTCTGGACGTAGGGGTTGGAGTAGCCGGGGACGTAGGAGGAGCCGACGTAGGGCGTGCTGCGGGTGGTCGAGCGGTTGGAGGGACGATAGCTCGACATGGCGGTTCCGGCGGAGGGCATGCGTTCTTGGGCTTCGATGAGGATGTTGCCGATGTAGTAGGTTGCGATGTGGATTGCGTCGGCGACGCCTGCGACGCTGAGCACGCGCTGGATGGAATGGAAGAGTGAGACTAAGTGCGAGAGGGTGAGGATAGGGGCGGACGAACCTCTGTAGAGCCAGGGAGCATGCCTTCGCTGGCGTTGAGACGGGCACCGGAGGCGTCCTGTATTTCCTTGATCTTCGAGCCTTGCTTGCCGATGACGGAGCCCATGCGTGAGTTGGGGATCATGAACTTGATAGTGACCGCCCGGCTGCCAGGCACGGAGGGGACATCGAAGGGCTCGTCGTTGATCCTACGGACGATGAGACCGAAGGCCTGGTGAGAGGAGAAAACAGTATGGTGAGGTGAGGAACAAGAGAGAAAGAGTGAGATGGGAAAAAATGATAAAAACCTTGGAGACGGCGTCGAGAGGGCCGCTGACGTTGAGGATACGCTCTGGGTTGCCTGGGATGCTCTCGGAGACCATGACGCGAGCGCCTGATTTTTCTCTGATCTCGTTGACGTGTGAGCCGGCCTTGCCGATGATGATGGACGCGTCCTGTGTGACGATGAGGCAGCGCATGTGGATGTGGGCGGAGGGCGGAGGAGGGGGGGGAGGGCCGGACGAGGACGATGGCTGGCCGGAGGAAGCGGCGTTGGCCATCGCGTCGGCCGGGGAAGAGGAGGCAGCTTCGTCGTTGTCGTCCTCGCGCTTGGGGAGGTCGTTGTTGGGGACGTGGGGCGTCGAGGCGGCGGTGTCGTCGACGTGAAAGTCTTTGGAATCGGCCATGGTTACGTCATTGGGCAGGACGGCAGCGGACGAGGGCCCGGGAGGGAGGGAAGCTGGCGCTGGCTTCGTGTCTGCTGCTGCCGCCGTTGGTTGAGCTTTGGCCGGGATGTCATCGGAGTGGAGGCCGGCGCCCGTGTTGGCCCGCTTGTGCTGCTGCTTTTCGTGCTCGCTGTCCGAGGGCGAGCGGGAGCGTTTCCGGTTCGTGTCGTGTTCTGCCATCGGGTGGTGGATTTATATGATGATATCAATTGGCGTTTGTTTTAGTGTCACTTCTGCGCAAGCACGGGGGCAGGGCTTGTGGGAATGTGGGGGATGATGTGGAGGATTGGGGGGATCCGGATGAGATGGTGAGGACTTGTCTGGGAGGTGCGTCTGGTGAGGGGGGAAGGGGGAAGGAACGCGCAAGGGAACATACCTGGCGACGGCGAACGCGACTTGCAACTCGTCCTGCTCACTGTACGCGACGAACAACCGATATTCTGAATTTTCGCCCCTTGCGTCCGCCGTCAACAAGGCCAAACAATGGCTCTTTCCGGCCAGGTGCCACCACAGCGACCCTCTCCTCCTCGTACCCTCTCCTCCACCGTCTACCCAGCACAAACGGTCGCTCTCGTCTGCGTCCACCAATGTGCGCTTGCTCGCCTCTACGTCACCACAGATAATTCTCCCGACCGCGCGCGCATGCATGTTCGCCTTTTCCGACCGAATTATTCCCTTGTGGCCATCCGTCGTGCGCGCATCGACGTCTCCCAGACGGTCCGCTCCACTGGTCGAGACCTCTTACATACACCCACCCCACTTTTGATCATCTCGCATTCTAGAACGAGGCAACTTGGGTGGTTTCCGCACCCCTCATTGGTTCCACACCACCTCTTCGTGATATGAGCCAATGACGGCTCTCTATCCGGGCCAATCAAATCCCGCGAATGTTCGCAGGCAGGGTCCAATCGCCGACGGAGTCGACAAGCTCGTGACGGATGATGAACCAGGGTCGAAGGCTCGAAGCTCGATGTCAAAGTGGACCAGGCACCTCCAACGATGACGGCCTGCGTTGATTTGTGGCCCGGGTGGCGTACGGGTCGCTTGCAATTGTGTAGACACTTCGTCCTAATTTATGTTTTTTGAGGAGTTTTGTTTTGTTCGAATACATGCACTTCCAAGTGGCGACCAATCGCATTTGCGTGGGATCCGTTCCCACGTGGTCCGTTCCGCGGACACATCCGGCGCGTCGCGCAACCAAACTTGAGCTTGAGTCTGCTTGAACACCTCTAGCTTGGGCCACAACGCTATTGCCACTTCGTCTGAGCACAACGTCTCATCTGCAAAAATAGTCTAACGCGCCTTCTACTCGGATTATAGTGTGTCCCTTCTCAAACCGTCGTCGAACATCCGTGCAATTTGAACAATGGCACAAGACTCTTCCGACGACGAACTCGGTCTGCCACTCTTCCTTGTTTGCTCATCTACCTGCCGTACCAAGTGCTAATCCATCTCCATCATATCCCCATCTCCTCCCCTCTTCTCTCCATTCCATCCCACGCAAAACAGACGGCTTCGACCCCACAACACCCTACAAACCCAAAGCCAAATCCCAGCCCAAACCCACAACATCCAAACCCACCACCACCTCCAAACCCACCACAACCACAACCACAACCAAACCCAAACCCGGTCCCTCAAATTCCAACTCCAACTCCAAACCTACATCCAACGCCAAACTCACTTCCAACTCCAACAAACCCGCGTCCAAATCGACCGCTAAGACCCCCACAACGACTAACAAGCCCAACACAACAACGACGGTCCCATCCAAGCGCACCGCCCGTGTGGAGGATTCGGATGACGACGATGTGCAGTTGATTGAGGATCCGGGTATGGGGTTTAGGGAGAGCTTGAGTTTGGGTAAGAGTAGGAGTGGGAGTGGGAAGGGTGCTGCGGGTACGAATGGGGGAGGTGGTGGGACAGGAGGAGGGAGGAGTCGCGAGACATCTGGGACGACTGGGAATGGGAATGGGAAAAGTGCGCCGACGACGACGAAACACCCAACGGCTACTACGACCACGACCACGGCAGCTGCGAAAGGCAAGAGTAAACCCACGCCCGCGCCTCCTCCCGCGAAGAAAGCGAAAACCACGACCTCGACCACGACCGCGACTGCGAATGGGCTCAAGAACCGGACGAGCAGGTCAGACTCGGATGGAATGGACGTAGACGCGCCGAACGATAACGATGAACGCAGCGAACACGGAGAAGAGGACGAAGACGATGACGAAGTAGCGGCCTCAGAGCAGGATGAGGATGACGAAGAGCAAGAGGAAGCACCGCCGCCGCCGCCGCCGCAAACACTGGGGAAGAAAGTAGCCTATGCGGCGAAGAGGACGGCCGGGAAACCCCCGCCCCCGCCCCCAGTCCCAGCTCCTGCGCCGGCGCCGGCGTCGAAGTCGCAGGGGAATGGGCGGAGCGGGCATGGGGAGACGAAGGCGAATGGGGGTGGGAATGTGAAGGGTAAGGAGAAGGAGAACTTGAAGGAGAAGCAGCAGGCTCCGCAGGTCCAGGAGGCTCAGGCTCAGGCTCAGGGACAAGGACAGGGCGTAGCGTCCGCACGAGAGCTTGAGAGGTTGAATCGACAGTTATTGCAGGTGCGTCGGAAAGTCATACTATCCTCTTTGCCATGTTGCTCAATCTCATTCTTTGCCCTTGGTTTCTTTGTACAGATGAAAGAGCAGAGGGATACATTCCAGAAGCAGCTCGAATCTCTGCTTGCTGTGAGGAATACGGAGGCGGAACAAGCACTCGTGACACAGGCAGCACAACACAAGGCCGAAGTCAAAGGTCGGTTTCCATTCCATGCCATTCTACTCCACCCCTCATTCTCTCATTCTTACCAATACCCACTAACCCTCCCCCCTCCCCCCCACAGCCCTAAAAGACTACATCCACGAACTCACCACCACCTCCTCCAACGCAAAAGAAAACGTACCAAACCCGATGCTCAAAGCCGCGCTGCACGGCTCCGGCAATGCCATCGAGTTCATAACGCGCGAGACGGCGGAGAACGAGAAACGTGCGTTGAAGAGGGAGGTGGAGCATTTGAGGGAGGGCAAGCGCAAGGCGGAGGAGAGGACGGAGGCGAGGGTGAAGGAGGTGCAGGAGAGGTTGGATGAGTTGAAGACGGTCGGTGAGTGGCTGCATGGCATTGCGTTGTATCTCAATCTGAAGGATTCTTATTAACGCTGAACTTGTTTTTTGTGTTCGCTCCCGACAGAGAAAGAACTCCGAATCGAACTCAAAGCCGAGATCGAGCGCGCCAAATCGCTCCAGTCTCGCGTCGCTTCCACCTCTGATGGCAATGGACACAGCGGGCCTACTAAACGACAGGGTCCTGGTCGTAACCCGACGGTGGACCTGTACGAGGCGTTGACGAACTTGTTGGTCATCAATGTGGAGCATCCGATTGACCCGGCCACGGGATTGGAGACGACGATGTATCATTGCGTGTTCACGGAGCAAGACAAGGGTATGTGCTTTTGTCTCTTTGCCCCCACGGCGTTCCCGTCTAACCTCTCCCTTCGCCCTCCAATCGCAGGTATCAACTTCACCCTCCAATTCTACAAAACACCCTCAGAAGACGACCCGAAAACATATATCACGAAAGTCCGCTACGAGCCCAAAGACATGCAGATGCTGCCGGACGAGTTCTGGGCCTCCGTCGGGTTCTTGGCAAAGCAGGACGTGGTCGCGTTCGACGAAGGCGAGACCGACGTGTTTTATAAGAGCATGTATAATTTGATGACGGAGAGGGATCTGTTCGTTGGGATTGGCCGACCGGGGTTGCCAAATGATGATGAGGAGGAGATGCAGGAGGATGGGGAGGAGGTGGATGGACAGGAGGTGTTTGAGATTGAATGAGGGATTCAGATGCGGTGGGTTGGGATGGGTTGCGTTTGTGCTTCATGGTCGGTCGGTATCATATGTCTGTCTACTGAGCGGCACCCTCACTTATATATCCGTATTCTTTAGGCAATTGTCATATAGTTCTCTTTTCCTTGGCTGCACGGTCACATCGATTAATCTTTTATACTACTCTCAGGCCCCGATGCTGAACCTTCTTGTGTGCTACATGCTTCTTCTATGTACATGTCTGCTTGCTATATGATTATCGTCACATTCACATCACTATCCTTCCGCTATCTTACCCTCGCCATTTTTTGTGTGTCTCCTCACGCACATCACCAGCACTCAAACAGGCGTGCTATCCTGTCTCTCGATCGACCTCGTGGTCCCCATCCCCGTCCTGGCCCCAGCCTTCTCCCACACCCTCAACGCCTGCTCGTCCATCGCCAACCTCGCCCTCTTGACGCTCAGCGCCACATAACCGCCTTCTATATCCGCCCCACCGAGGTTCGCTCCCGCTCGTGAGAGAACGTCGACGATACTTTCGTGTCCTTGTCTCGCAGCCTATATAACATACCCCGTCATATCGTCAACACACAAAATGAGAGACAAGCGACGATCGAAAAAAGGACATACGTAATACAGCGCCGTATGGCCCAGCGAATCCCTCAGATGTACCAAAGCCCCAGCCTCCAACAGTTTCTCAACACACCTCCCGCTCCCATTCAACGCTGCAACATGCAACGGCGACCTCCCCGAAGCAGGGTTCACCCAATTCACGATCCCGCCCGCCATAGCCACAGTCAACCCGGCACTGGGGGAGGCTCCCACCGCAAGAGCACCACTGCCACTGCTAGTACTTTCATCTACGGTAGTCGTGGTGTTACCACCGATACTGGGATGTGGCAAGTCTCCGCCGGAGAGACAGAGCTCGAGGCCGTCGATGTCGTCCGAGGCGGCGGAGAGGTGGATCAGAGAACTGAACAGGGCGACTTCGGTCGTTGAGGCTTCGGCGGCGGTCCAGGACCATGGAGCGGCCGCTTCGTCGAGCTTATTGTTTATACTGCCACTACTTCCGATATTCCCCTGCCCCTCGACGACGATTTTTGGTGGCCCGCTGAATGAGACTGTAGGACTCGAGGATACAGTGGGTAGACCGTCTGCGTTCACAGTAGCGTGAGTGCTATGCGCTGCGGTGCGATTGGAGGAAGAGGCAGAGAGGCGAACGAGGTGCGAGAGCACGCTTTGGATGTTCTCGATGTTGTGGTCGAGAGTCGAGTGATGATCATCGCCATGTCCGTGATGGTGGTGGAGAGGTGCGCCGAGGGGCTTGGACGGTCGGGTAAGTTCACCACGGAGAGGTGTCCCGATGAGGTTTCGTACGTCGGTAGGAGTTAGGTCCGGCTTGGAGAGCAGGTAGCTGAGCTTCGTTAGTGCGCCCTATCATTGATGAAGTGACGGAGGGTATTAGAACATGTCAGTCGACGGTCGCGTGAAGGCAAAACAGTCACCTCGAGCGTCATGTCGACTCCGGGAACGACTCCGGTCTCGATGAGCGTTCGGCCGGTTTCGTACGCATCTGAGACGGTGCCTTTGGAGCATTGGCTGATGTTGACTATCACGACGCCGCGGTCGCAGGCTTCACGGAAAGCTTGCATAAGATCGGCACGCTGGGGCGCATTTCCTGCTCCGAAGGTCTCAAGGACGACACCTAGTGGTGGAGAGGATCACTTTAGCATCATTTACCTATTGTGATAAAACACACTGGGGATTCATCTGATGGTCACGAACCTTTGACTGGAGGTTTGAGAAAGGCACGAACGGTCGCGGCCGTTATGCCGGGGAAAAGGCGAAGCGTAGCTGTTGCAAGCATGATCAAACTGCTATCCAGGCCCACGCTAGGAAACCTGCAACTCACCGACATGCTCGCACATCTCTGCACAAGAGAATTGAACGGTCAGTCCAAGACGTGTTTTGTATCACAGAGAACAGCAAACCTTTATGTGCTCTGAACCTCTGCAAACTGGTTTGTCGGATGACATCGTTCCAGTTCACTACAATGTCTATCCCCACTGTATCATGCAAAGGTAATAAGCATCGGAAGTTTGACGATATTTGTGACCATACTAACCGTTGACGAGAGGAGCAAAATTGGGGCTCGTGAACGCGTTGAGGTCGTGTGACGAGGTCTTCGACACTCGATTACCACGGAACAGTGTATGATTGAAGAAAAGACAGCATTCTATGTTCGGTACACTTTTCAGTATCAGATCGTGCTCGCTCAAGAAAGTAAGACTAGTTTTACCAGGAATAATGTATTGTCCTGCGATGGAGAGTGCGCCCAAAAGATTATCGACTGCGTCGTTGCGCAATTGAGACAACGGGATTTGAGCCCCAGTCACAATCTATAGAGCGAAAATATATCAGGGGGTGAGATGATCAAGCCAATGAGGTTTAGGCACGTACGACCGTTTTGCCAAGGTCCTCAAGCAAAAAGCTCAGAGCACTCGAGGTATATGCCATGGTATCCGTACCATGCAAAATGACGAATGCGTCGAAAAGGTTATAGTTGAGCTCAATCTCCGTAGCTATCCGGATCCAATCTGAGCTACGAGAACGATGAGCCTGTCAGAGAGTCTGTATATATTTCGACATAGCAACACTCACCGTCATTGTCGATGTTACTGCTGTCGAGCAACGGATTCCACTAAGCAATAAATTCAGAATATTGCCACTTTCAGTGATCGGAAAAAAATCCCCACCTCCAGAACAGCATAGCGAATGCGATTCATTTTTCCTCCGGACACCATGGTCCTCGGTGTGATCAAGACAGGAAGCTGCGCCTCATACACCCCCTCTCCCACCTCTCTACACTCAGGCCGTTTCTTCGCATCTTCGTTCTTCGCCTCGGCCGTGAGCAACGTCTCTGCGGTGACTCCTATCGGTCTCGATGATCTCACAGGTAACGTCGCGGTGCGCAAAAATTCAGCCGCATCAGAATCAGGGGACTGCGTCCCCGACGAAGACCGCTGATGATGAGCGCTCTGTGTATTCCATTGCCTAAAGCCCTCGACTGAGCCAGAGTGAGAGAACAGAGAGTCCTGGAGAGGGTCGTGGAAGCGGGCTTGTGTGCGGAGGGTTTCGGTGAGGAAGTAGGGTTCTGGGACGTAGCCTTGGTGGCCGACCAGCATCCCAATGGTACCACCCGTGTAGATGACGAGCACTTTAGACTCATCAGATGCATGCGAGAGCTCCATTATAGCCTTTTGGGAGAATGTCTAGCGAAGATGCTATGACGAGGACCTGCGGAAAACAGAGGAGAGCGAAAAGAAGGATGAAGTTTGCCGCTAAACACAAGTTCAAACGAAATCGCGTAACACGAGCCGGTCACTCGGAAACCGGCTCGTTTTTGCACCAGTTCACACCCCGCTTGTATGACATACAACACTACATCCCCGCTGAGCTTTAAGCTCCGTTACAAGAATTCTATATAGTGCTGCACAGTGCTACTACTACATGGCCTCGTTCTCGTGTCATGATGGTACATACAACATATTATACTTCGTTGGTGTAACCGCATTTTCACGGGGCGATGTGCCAGTCCAACTTGTCCGCCCATTTTCCAGGAAGTAGTTCGGATATCTGCTCAACATCCTTGTCTCCGCGACCGGACAAGCACTACAAAGGGGGATATCAGGAATCGAGTACTACGCGAGATAAGATGTCGAAGCTCACAACTACGATGTCTTTATCGGCAGGCAGCGTTTTCGCGAGACGGACAGCCTCCCAAACGGCGTGCGACGACTCCAAGGCTACAGTATCAAAGAACAAGTCAGATTCAGACTAGCGATCAAAGCTACAGCAGTGAAATTTGAACTGACCAGGAATGATACCCTCGAGCTGCGTGCACATACGGAAGCCCTTCAAGGCCTCCTCATCAGTTGCGACGACATACTCTGCTCGGCCTGAGTCCTTCAACCAGGCGTGCTCGGGACCGACACCAGGATAGTCAAGACCAGCGCTAATCGAGTAAGTCTCGATGATCTGGCCGACTGGGGACTGAAGAATGTACGTCCGCACGCCGTGAAGTACACCAGGCTGACCCTTGGAAAGAGTAGCGCTGTGCCTTTCGCCATCAAGACCTATAGCATGGCGTAAGTATTGGCGTGAGGATGAGTAAGAGAAACAGTTGAATCCTTACCTTCACCACCGGCCTCGACACCGATCAGGCGAACGCTCTTGTCACCGATGAAGTCGAAGAAGGTACCGATAGCGTTACTTCCGCCACCAACGCATGCTACAACGGCGTCAGGCAACTTACCTCTCAACTCCTGGAGTTGAAGCTTGATCTCCTTGCCGATGACCCTTTGGAAGTCCCTGACTATCGTCGGGAAAGGGTGTGGGCCGATAGCAGAGCCGACCAAGTAATGCGTGTTGGAAAGATTGGTGACCCAGTCACGCATTGCTTCATTCACCGCATCTTTGAGGGTATTGGCGCCGGAGTGTACGGGAACGACCTGCGTAATGGAGAGCGTGTTAGGGTATATTGGAGGCGCTCGTGCAAATATAAGATGACCTTAGCTCCGAGCATTTGTATCCTGAAGACGTTGAGCGCCTGACGGCGGACGTCCTCGGCGCCCATATAAATGATGCATTCCATGTTAAAGCGCGCACAAACCGTCGCAGTTGCGACACCATGTTGCCCCGCACCAGTTTCTGCGATGATGCGTGTCTTGCCTATACGTCTTGCGAGCAAAATCTAAGAACGACATAAGTAGCGAATACGATAGGGCAACTGGGTTGCACGAACCTGCCCAATTGCGTTGTTGATTTTGTGTGAGCCAGTATGGTTCCTACGCTAGATATCAGGAGGATGAAACAAAGTACGCAAAGGAAAGGTACTGCATACAGGTCTTCGCGCTTCATCCAGATCTTAGCACCACCAGCATGCTCCGTCAGTCTCTCCGCGAGATAGAGGTTCGACGGCCTGTTCATGTACCCAAACAGACCCTCAAACTCTTTCCAGAACTCCGGATCGTCCATCGCAGCCTTGTGTGCCGCTTCCAACTCCACCAAACAATCGAACAACGCCTCCGGAACGTACTGGCCACCAAATTGACCAAACCGGTGAGGAAGAACCGTGGGCTCAGATTCGGTATTGTACGGTGGAGGTCCAGTAGCATTGATGTTGGTGCGTGGCGTGCTCGCCGAGCTGATGGTTCGCTTGGGACGGGGTGGTTGTCCCTTAAGGCTGATTTGACGACAGTAGGCTTCGACCTCTTGAGCGACCTTTCCCTTGGGAGCTTGCTTGATGACGGACACAAGACGACTGCCAATGACGACACCATCTGCGCCTGCATCTGCGACGGTATCGAAATGTCCACGGTTTGAAACCCCGAAACCGACAGCGATTGGGACCTGAGCGTACTCTCTGACGCGAGAGATGAGGTCTGGGAGAGCAGAGTTCATGGCGACCTTGTCTGAAGAGCCGGTGGTACCCATCTGACGAGAATTGTGAGCTGAATTGTGGCGTAAAGCATTTGTGGCAAGATCATACCTTCGAGACGACGTAAATGAAGGTGTCCGCAATTGACGACAAAAACTTGATACGCGAAAGAGTCGTCGATGGTGCGATGAGGGGGACATATGAGATGCTGGCAGGACATGAGTGATTGCATAGACATTATGTATTGCGGACTTACTCGGCCTTCGTACACTTCTCCCTGAACGAGATAGCCTCTTCCGGGGGAAGATCAACGAGAATGAATCCATTGGCACCATAGTCATGAGCATCCTGAATGGCCTTTTCCTCTCCGTAGGCGAGCAAAGGGTTGTAGTATCCTAGACATCGTACGTGGTCAGCCTCTTTCGTGTAGAGAAGGAATATATCGACGCACCCATTAGAAGAACGGGGGTAGTGAGACCCTTGGACCTAGCCTCTTTGACAATTTCTAGACAGTTTGCATAAGTAACTTCATGTTCGATTGCGACCTGAAGATAACTCAGTAAATATGTGGGAACGCATGCGGCTTCGAGGGTGCGGACCTGGTTGGTTTCCTGGATGGCCGGCCCATCGGCTATGGGATCTGAGAAAGGTACACCGATCTCAATGATATCGACGCCTCCCTCTTGCATAGCGAGCATAATAGGGACGGTCTCTGCAGGAGAGGGATACCCCGCCGTCACGAAAGTGACGAGAGCCGGCTCACCCTGTAAATATACTTCAGCTGCAGGAAAGCCAAAGAAAAGTATGCTACACACCTCCTCCTGCTTTTTGATAAAAACGTTCTTGAGAGCTTCCATGGTATAGTGATGAGGAAGAAGGTGAGGGGAAAGTGAGGAGTCAAAAGTCAAGATGCCTGCCGATTTATATTTCGACATCGGTCAGTCGTCGACAGTATGACTCTTAGATTAGATAACCACGTGTAAAAGCCCGAACGATCGGCGACCAAGCATACATGGTCATTTACGTGGCACCTTTTTGTGGCGCCACACTCGAACTTGCATCATATGGATCACGGAGAAAAACAGATTTAGATGGAGAAAGTGGTGGAATGAAGTGTACTTGTGTTATCTGTTTTAGGGAGCTGGATGGATGAGCGCCTGACCTTAGTGCAATCCAACACTGACAACTCAGTGCGTTTGTCTGGTTCGGGAATATTTATCTGCAGCCCCGAAAGCTCTTATCCTTGATCAAGAACATGTATGTGACGAATCATATCAACTACAGCGGTACCTTGTTCAATCATCGCTGTCGAGCCCGCAAGAAGATTTAGCAGGTCTGTGCACTCAGCAGCAGTGTCGAAACCCCACTTTATGTTGAGGCTACTTTTACTCTGGTCACTTTACCGCTTGCTTGTGTAGATGCTCAAAGGTCCCGAGTAGACGCAGCAGTAAGGACAGGAAAATATGACGGCAAGACAAGGCGCTTTGAAGGCGCTCGACCTCGGAGTCATTCCTAGGTCTGAGTTCAAACATTCGGCGTCAGCCGATCCAGTCATTTTGCCGCCCAGGTGTTTTGCCCTGGCCCATCGTCAATCTCATCCCCGTGTCCTTGTATTATCTGCCTTGCTTTGGCTTCGCTTTCTATCTTGTTGCCACTTAAACCATTTTGAATCTTGCGGGTAACAATTGTATGCCAGTCGAAATATACAACGCCGCGAGTCATCGCGCCGTCGAGAGCCTCGCTGCGAAGTTAAGAAGAAGGTCAGTCATCTGCAGCCCACAATAGATCCTTGGCCTTACAGGACGAACGACCGCTTTAGACAGGTCGTAGGATCACGACAAGCAGCTCTGGAAACTGCCCTCGTTCTACGCCAGGTTATTTCCAAGGAACGCTTCCACAATATTGGACAGTTGGTGGAGATCATCCGGCATGTAGGAAAGAAGCTCGTTGAGGCTCAACCCAAAGGTGTCACTCATCTCTGTATGTACGATATACTCCGTTGCTCAATAAGCATCGTTTTGCCTCTTCTATTTCGTCGTGCTCAGAGCACACTGTTGGCAACACCGTTCGCAAATTACTCCACCTCATCCGAGAAGAGTACAACAATGCCTCGAAAGAGTCGAGTGTTCCCGCTGCAAAGGTTTTCTCCATCTCCAAGTTCGTGCTACAAGGGCAACCGCGTAAACAGATCACAGCCGAGAAAGCGGAGTCTACACTGGTGTTGAAGGAAGATGATCCGAGCGACCCGGACTCGTTTGCGAGGATGTTGAAGCCGGTGGTTATGGAGGCAATACAAGATATCTTGGATGAGATTGAGACAGTGTACGACACCATCTCAAAAAGCGCGAAGGATCATATTCATTCCGAGTACGTTTCTTTCCAACTCGTTTCGGCCTCCATTCTTACCTGCGGTGTCTTATGAATTTCGCGATCTGTCGCAGCGAAATCATCTTGACCATCGGAAGATCAAGTACCGTCGAAACATTCCTCAAATCCGCTGCACATTATCACAACTTCACCGTCATTGTCGCGGAAAGCGGTCCGTCGTTCGTAGCCATCTCACCTCTGTTACTATAGACTTGACCCTCATGATTCTCCGTTTCCGTTTCAGATACGGCGGTCACGATATGGCTGGCTCGCTCTCCTCCGCCGGGATCTCCACCTTCCTCGTTCCCGACTCATCAATTTATGCTCTCATGTCCCGCGTCAACAAAGTGATCCTCGGCGCGCATGCCATTCTAGCCAACGGCGGCATGTTCGCTCTCACAGGTTCTCAACTCGTCACAACTGCCGCACGCGCACACAGCACCCCAATTGTTGTCTGTGCAGGTCAGTTCAAGCTTACACCGCTATGGAACCTGTACCACGAATACGGGGCCTTGGATTTCGCAGACCCGAGTAGTGTCCTAGGGTTTGAGGAAGGTGATCTGGTGGACAAAGTTGATGTGGTGAATCCCTATTACGACTATGTGAGACCTGAGCTTGTCGATGTGTACATCACCAATGAGTGAGTCCAAGTCCTCTTCCTCGTAACAAGGAGCTAAACATGTTCGATATGTAGCGGCGATCACCCACCACCGTCCATTTATCGGTACGTCCTTACCTGGCATGTTTGCGCCGCAGCAGTGTCTTATGCTCATTTTCGTTCAGACTGATCAAGGAATCGTACGACGACGAAGACAACGAATTGTAGATGTATCTAGTATTATCCCCTTGTCTACCATTATTGATATAAGCAAGGTAGCTGTAACTTAAATATGTATGCAGATAAGCATGTGCGAGTGTATCTAGGAAGATGCGAATGCAGCAATGGACAATCCGAATGTATCACGAATTAGTCTTCGTTCTGAGGATATCGAAGAAAGCTAGTTGTGGGGCGAATGTCCAATAAGTCGAAGCAAAACTGATCAGGGAAGCCAGAACATACCCTCTTGTGGCAGGTCGACGTTTCCGATTCGTTTCATCTTGCGTTTTGATTCCTTCTGGTTCTCCAGGTGCTTCATCTTCCGCTCGTAATGGCCTATCGACACAACACAGAAGTTCATGGAAACTCCGTGAGCACAACGCACGACGAACAGCCTAGTTCACACGACCCAAGATAGGTTCACATACCTCCATATAGCCCAGCAGTAACGTCCGCGCGGACAGCCGAAAGCGTCTCACGAGCCACGACCTTCTTCCCGACCGCGGCCTGGATAGGGACCTCGAACAGCTGTCGCGGAATCACTTTGTCTAGAGCGCTCACCCATACGGTGACCTTTAGCTCTAGGTGCTCTGGAATGCAACGGATGGGACGATGCACTCACGCAGCTTTTTAACCCACAACCTACCCACCTCCTGTTCTACAGAGCGGTGAACAACCAGTGCGAGTGCGTCTACCGGCTTGCCGTTGAGAAGAAAGACCATCTAGAGATTCTCAACCATATGCAATCAATACTCGGGTAATGCACGAGTGACGGCATGCAGAGGGTATACCTTGACAAGATTGCTGGCCTTGTATCCGGCATCTTCATAGCTGGGAGGACACCGGGTCAGCACCCATCTCACGGTACCAAAAGACGGATGCGCAAGGTTTGCTCAAGTCCACATGGCTTGGAAGGTCAGAGGCTGTAGCTTGGAGAAAAGGTACTCACTCAAAACTTGCGAACCCAGAGCTGCGGCTCTTAAGTTTATCGAAGAAGTCTGTCACTACCTCGGAAAGAGGAATAGTACACGTCACCATGGCCCGCGAAGAGGATGTACCCGAAGTCTCAAGGTAGCGATGATCCAGATCTTCTGCACGGTGGGAGAAGCATAGATCCATCATCTCCCCGAGGTAATCTGCCAAAATACATCCGCACGTTCGGAACCCATAGAGAAAAGATAAGATTGGGTGAGTGGACGGGTGAGAAGATACGTTGAGTAGACGAACCTTCTGGGACAATGATGGAAGCCTTGACCACGGGCTCCTGTATCTCTCGCAGGCCAGCGGAAGCGTCGGTGACATCCGGAAAATCGGTAGGATTGCTGACATCCACCGTTCTATCCTTGTAGACCACTATATTAGAATTTATGATCAGTGGGAGACTGGGAGCAGACTACGGTTACGCATACCTCTATACGGCACAGTGGGAGCAGTGATGATAATGTTGGCGTCGTATTCGTCTGTTAGTCGCAGTACTTGAATACAGCCGATTACGTGCAGCGCGAGCGAAAAAAATTCGTACCCTCAAGGCGTTGACGGAAAACCTGTCGGATGCAATGTTAGACCACACTCTGTTTCCACTATGATTGCAGATGTTGAAGTGACCGTACATCCATATGCAACGTGCCAAGAAATCCCAAACGACAACCTTGGCCCAGCGCAGTGGATGACTCCCGCTGTACTGTGACGCTGCGATCGGTGAGCGTGAGCTATAAATCACACGGGTTAATGACACAGCCCATGGAGAAACGATGTAAGGGTAGCCAAACCCGTCTAATGGATTCTTCAAGTTTGATAAAGTCGCTTGTGTCCACGGGGAAAATACCTGCAAAAACCTGTCAACAATAAGCAGGACGATGCGAAAATGCGCCGTGTGAAGAGTGGCGAGATGAATTACCATTGCTTTGGCAGGCTTGAAGCCAGGCATGGGATCCACTGGCTCGCCGACTCGGTGAAGAGTATCACCGATGTGCGCTAGTTGAGTATCCGAACTGTTTCATAATCTATCGAATGGAGAATACGCGGTGAAGGGAGGATGTTCATACCTTCCGATGATTGCTTCATGTTACAAGAAATGTAGCCCACTTGGCCCGGATAGAGCTGCCCTGTCGGTACTTCCTCGGGGTGCATGATGCCAACGTCGATGACCTCGTATTTTTTTCGAGTGTAGATAGAGGCGACCTTGTCCCCTGAAAAGTCGCACACGAACATCAGAACTAGTCATCTTCGAGAATATGATACTGAAAAAGCCCGTACCCTTTCGAAGAATGCCGTTTTGAACACTGACTAGAGAGATGACCCCTCGGTAGCGGTCGTAACTATCGAGGCCTTCGTCTGTTAGTTGAACACTAATTGCAGAAGACAGGCACCGACGATGAGTCAAACAAGAACGCCTTCAGCTTCTCTTTCGTACTGCCCTGGGGTGGAGGTATACGCTCGACAATGGCCCTTAGAATATTCGCACAATTTTGACCAGTCTTAGCTGATATTTCGAGTACGTCCGCTGGATCAATCCCAAATGTAGATTCCATCTGAGCTTTTATTCGATCAGGTTGAGCTGCAGGAAGGTCAATCTATTAGAAAAGGATCAGCAACATTTCACCCTGTTTGCTCCGAAAGGGAATATACCTTGTTTAGAACCGGTATTATTGTGAGGCCGCGCTCCTTTGCGGTGTGAAAGACGGAGAGCGATTGTGCTTGGACGCCCTGTGTAGCATCTACGAGTAGCAAAGCACCCTCGCATGCGGCCATGGAGCGGGAAACTTCCCAAGAGAAGTCAACGTGCCCCTAGCGGCGATGTCTCAGTCGTTGCATGCTTGCGAAAATAGGACGGGGCATACGGGAGTATCAATAAGGTTGAGGAGATGTTTCTGACCATTATAGTCATATAGCATGCTGAATGCCGTTATGAGCAGTCCATCCGATGAGGCGAATGGTTAAACCTTTGTGCCATTTACCTTGCTGTCTGCGCCTTGACTGAAGTGTTTCAGTTGACGACATCAAGAATGTACGTTTGCGCTGGTACACACCGGTGATGCCTCGTTCTCGCTCAACCTTCAGTTTGTCCATATATTGAGATTCAGAGGCCTTCAATGACTTCGTCAAAGTTCCTGTCATCTGTGTGCTCGTTAGCCAAACATGTATCGGCCTCTTATAATCGAAACGACATACCTCCAATAGCCGGTCCGCCAGAGTAGACTTTCCATGGTCTATATCCGCATACATATCACGAGTGAGTCAGGACACGTTCATTGAAGAAAAGGTGCCGACATACCGATGTGAGCAATTATGGAGAAATTGCTGAGGTGCAAGCACCTGTCAGACGGACATGAAGAAAGAACAGGTCCCTGATAAGACATACCGTATCACATCACAAGGATAGTCTTCCATACGAACAGACTTTTGAGCTGCCATTTTTGCAAAAGGCGAGGAGGAGAAGCAGCGGAACAGTTCGTGGCATTGGGCCAGTCTCGAAGGTCTATGAAAAGCTGGAAGACATGATGATCGCCACGACGCAAGCATATATGTCTATGGCTGATCAAACTATAGCAAAAGTAGTTCACAGAATTCTACACGGCTGCTGCGTGGAAGTAGCGTCTAGGTCGACAGCCAAGCCGTGGATGGAAGTTGGGTAGAAAGCTCGAAGGTTGTACTTGCAAAACGCGGGGCGCGTCTCTAGCGGTGCTGACTAAGCAATTGCCCGGCTTCGACTTTGTGGCGACGCGACGGTACGCGACTTGCCTTCGTCCTCCACGACCGCCACTATGTCTTTAGCTGAGGTATCTGATGCTCGTAAGGCACGTCTCGCGGCCTTGAGAAGAAAGCGAGCTGGTCAACCTGCCGAGGAGGAAGGGTATGTCTTCTTTCGTATGATTAGCCAGGCGCAAAACTCACCATGCTGCTATTGCAGTGCTCCCGAGGAACCCGTTCTAAACACAAGAAACTTTGATCCTGAAACGAGGACGCTTCGAAAACGTACTCAGCAGGATGTCGAGCTGGAGGATACCATCGAGAAGAACGTAGAAGGCCTGGCCGAACGCATTATAGCAGAGGACGAAGAGAGGAGAGCGCAAGATCTGGTATGTTATCGGTGGTCTTCCTCCACGTAATGCTAACAAACCCTTCCACTCTAGGATCTCTTCAACATAGCACCGAAGCGGCCCAACTGGGATCTAAAACGGGATATGGAGAAGAAACTAGCCAAGCTGGAGCGGCAAACTCAGCAGGCCATCCACACCTTAATTCGTGCGTTGGATCCTAAACTCAGACGAACCTGTGAAGTCTTCTCATACCACCTTCACTCCAATCATATTAGGACAACGCCTGGCTTCCCAAAATGGTCAATCAGACGACCTTCTCGGTGCCATGCAAGCAGGAGTCACTGAGGAGCCCTTGTCAGACGAAGATGACTGAGACCTTATCCCTCTGATACGGCCCCTTCGACTGTTTGTATTTGTAACTCTGTACGAATTATTTTCGCTGATTCTAGATTCTCGCGTTCTTGACTACACTCACACAGGGTGTGGCAATTTCCATATACCAGCAGTGTGGACGCATATTCCATGGTGTCTATGTTGTCTAATGGCGAATACAGCAGCACAAGAAGAATGACGGCTACATGATATGGCGAGAATTTAGCATCTGTATCATACGCTGATCCTCCGGCGCTCTTGAATCGTGATGCCTCCGAACTCCATGCCCGTCATGGTGCGATGGTGCAATTGCGGTATGTAAGGAAGGCAGCGACTCGCCTGGTCGAGGCGCTGGGGGATTCGGGTATGCCGAGCGTCCGTACGGGGACGGTGAAGCTGGAGGCGATGGTGCCGCACTCGATATTCCCGCGTCGGAATTCCTCGACCTCGTCTTTCCACTCCTATACATCCCTGGTGGCGCGACAACGCTACGAAGTGTTGTATCCTGATCTGGTGTAGGTAGGTGAGGGAGATCAGCGAACGTGAGGTATGCCGTCAGATGCCACCGCTGTGGTCTCTGAGGATCCGCAAGAACCCATGCGGAATAGGTCTGCTTGACGAGGCCTGTTGTTCTCTGTTCCGAACGATCATAATGTGAGAGTGCCGGAGAGGCTGCTCCACTGCGACCTATCCCGTCCACGAATCGGAAATTGCTCGGGGAGCTGGAGAAGAGGCAGTAGCTCGTCGTCAGAGTAGAGTCGGTGAAAACGAATGGTAAACGACATACCGTGATGCGGGATTAGCTCCCTGACTGTCGTCTGACGGCAATTTTTCGTCATAGAAGAGATATGGCTACGCGAAGGGGGATAAGTCGGTGTCAGTGGCCAGCAGCGCTCGACTGCTTTGCAAGGTGGCGTACCTCTCTCATACGTGACTGACTGGTCAAGATCTACGTTAGCGTCATCCGACATTGAGCGACTATGTCGTACCTCCACACGCGTCCATCGGTCCATCTCTTCAGGCCTAGATCGTCTTCGCTCTCGCGCCAGATGAAGATGCTACAGACAGTGCGCATAACGTGTCAGCGGTGGACCCAGAGAAAACCGCAGAGCAGTACCTTCCCGATCTAATAAACATGGAGCGTTCAACCTCGTTCAATCGCCTCTCCACCGGCCGTAGCAGACCCAAGCGGACTGCCTCAAAGACACGGTGTGCGTCATTACCGTCTCTGCAGGGTGCGCAATCAGTCAGAACGGACAAGGCTACGTAGAATGACGAATATGCACCTGACATGAAGACGAGGGTGGGTGGGTTGTTGCATGAAAACGCTGAAGGAGTGGAGGATGCAGCTTTCGCCGTGCGAATCCTAGAGCAGGAGGAGGTTGGTGCTTTTAAACCGCTGAAGCTTGGATTGCTGGGAATAAGCTCGTGAGATGAAACTCCAAGAATACAGCGCAGGGACAAGAAGTAAGGAGTGAGATAAGGTGCGGTATAGAAGGTTTTTTGATGCTGGCCACGAGAGAGAAGCCCGTAAGAAATTCGGCATATGCTGAGGTAGGAAACTCCGGACTAGAGCAATGGTGGGGTCAAAGGCGGCTTCTCATTGAGATCCAAATCCCCGAGCCCTGCTTGGTAGAGGGATAGAGTCGTCGGCGAGTGCATAACGAGAGCAGAGTTGCAAGAGGTGCATTTTCTCCCGCGTACGTTGTCCGCCATGTGAGGGTTATGTGAGCGGGAGCAAACAACTATGGCGGATGTAAACGTGCCACTGGTAAACCTCGATCCGAAACAGAACACTGCGGTCAACTTCACAGTTGCAGTGTGCCGTGGAGGCTGTTCCGAGAATATGGGAAGGCTCCAGCCTATATTTCACAAGTATGTCAGTCTTTCCCTCCCTCTGCGGTAATTCGCCGGTATTTCGGGCTCAATGAAGGTTCTGTGAAGAAAGCTTAAGAGCGTGTACGTCCGTGACCAATTATACGATGGCAATAAGCCTTGCACGGCTCTCCCTCGAGTCTTCTAGCGTCCACAAACCGGTCATCAAATGCTTATTATATTGGTGACGTTGAAGATGTGAAGAAGTTAGTATATATACGGCTGCAATTCCTGAGCGGGACTTTCCCGGTCGTCAGTGCCTAATCGGTTTTTGGACATCCTGTCCTCCACGGTGAGCGACACCTTCCTGGCATCGGGCACTCGTTCTGGAGACGCCCACAGTCTCCCATACAACGATGGTGGAGAGAACACGACTGCCTGCAGCGAGGCTGGACCATGCCACTGTCATGAGAAGAGCACGATAACGTAGGGGGCGGGGCCCACGGTCGCGTGCGAGTTGTGGGGAGCGGCTGTCAGAGAGAACTGCATCGGTATATCGTAGATCGCGGATTAACGAGACTTGCGATGAGCCCTGCCTGGGAGGACATGGGGGCCAAACAAAGTCTCGTTTTCACACGCATATGTGGTCGAGGTGCTCTATAAAAGTCAGGACGATGATGGACGTCAGCAGCTGAGAGAATACGACCATGGATGAACATACAGAGGTGTGCGGTTGTGATTGACTGTGTAGACTCGTTCTACTCACGCTCCATAATATCCTGGAGCCATAGACATGAACACTCATATTTAGACGCAAGATTACCACGTATAGCTGCGTGCTGGTATAAGTAAACAGTGAAATCGTACGATGGCGCTGTTCTTCAGCATGCTAGCCATTTGAAGTACTGGTAAAGCTGGTGGGCTTGAGTATACTGAGATCGTCCCCCGATCTTCCAGTAGCGTTTCTTTCCGATACAAGGGGTCCGAAGGCATACGTCGGTCAGGTATTGGGAAGGGTATGGTGCGTGAGAGAAGAAGGTGTTCCGTCGATTCCTCAGCAGTGACCGTGACGGTGAAGTTGCAAGCTGAGGACCTGGCCGAGGGCATGGGAATAAATTGCCGCAAATATGGACTGTGAGACAGCCCACGTGGCAGTGGCATTCCGTCTCGAAGTAGCGCTCGATGCAGACGACGACCTCATCCCATAGTTCTCTTTTACATTTAAGCTGCAATGACTCCAGATACAGAAACACCAAATAGACGACTCCCAAGCTTAGTACAGCTATGCCAACGAGGTACGCCAGAATATCAATTATTCAAGGTGCAGGCGATAATCTTGCTTTGCTGTCTCGCAGTGGCCGCGTTGCACGTCGAATGTAAGTAAAGCAGAATCCGCCTTCGGGACACGAACCCTGAATATAACATCTATGGCAGCTATCGATAGTTTTGATGACGATATGTCTTTTGACCTTGTCCGACCAATGCTAGAGTACTGTTCCGCGGATCACCTTCTCAGGCTGGAGGGTTCCACTGCCGTACGTGTTCACTAATCATTTTTCATGGTTTAGGGCTAACCTATATCCACAGAATTTGGATGCAATGACCAATGGTGCGTGCTTCATATTATTCTTGATGTCTATCAAACCGTACTCTGATGGGACTCTTGAACAGACTTATGGAAAACTCTTTGTTACCGCCACCACCCAATCGATGCTTCGAAACGTAATGAAGAGCAGCCGCAGGAGCCTCCTTCATGGAGAGATGAGTTTTTTGTAAGTTGGCACACGCTTGGTTCTTTCCTTTCTCTGATTCTCCAGTAGACTCTTCGTGCCATTGAAGCGAGACGGTTCGAAGAGATAGGGTCGCGGATCCGTAGCCAACGCCTGGAAGCCGAGGGACGCAAGCGCGAAAAGGAAATCAAGTTCACAAGCACCCCTCCTCCTGCGAAGAGAGCCCGCGGATGTACGTGTGGCGATCATAGGGTGTTTTCTCAATCGCTCATCCCATCTCCCCATCTAGGGAACGGTACCGCCCAACCAAAGTCCCTGTTTCAGAAGACTCGGACAGAAGCCACAAAAGTGCAGAAGTCCATGTTCGGGCCACAACTGCGACCTCCTATGCTTACCGCGAAGTCATATAGCAAGCCAGCCCTCACGCCACTCCTGTCACCACCACCTTCCATCAAGTCTGCTCCGTACCCATCTGGTAGCCGTGTCATCGTCAAAGCGTACCATCCCCGAAGTCACCATGAGACATCTTTAGAGACGTCTGATACCACCACCAGCGCTTCCCTTCATTCACTGTCCCCCACTTCATCTCACTCCTCATCATCTTCTATCGATCCCCGCGCTGCCCCTCGGCCAATCTCCGTGACCCATACTGCATCAACCGGGAACTTCACCGTTGACAATGCTTGGCTTCCTCCCACCCACTCATCTCCCACACCATCTCCTCCCAAACCTCCCTTGGGTGCAAATAACCTTCGTTTCACCCCGGAAGGTGAAGCATGTCTACAGGCTCTCCCATCTAGAACACCATACATGTATGTCACCCCTTCGGAGGCCCAGTCTCCGTCGTGCAAGCACACCAAGAAGCCTGCTAGGTCGGCCTTATTCATGCCTAAACATCGCGCGCACTCACAACTCCCTTCTGGGGCTCGAGGGACGGCATAACCTCATTCTCTCTGTGCAGATGCACTGCTCTTGTCTACCCAGTGACCCTGCTATACGGTCACCTCTGGCCCATCGACCGCCTTCTCTGGCCTCGCTTATGCCCATTCAAACTCGCCATTTTCACATTCTCCCACATCCGTCGCATTGCATCACATCTTTATCCACTGCTTTTTACCGTTGTACTCTACCCTCTTCCTCGGTATCCGTTTCATCCACGTTACTCGAGCTCTCTGTACACTTGTCGCCACGCCCTCCCATTTTATATTAGTTAGCATTTGCACCCACCCATTTCTGGATAATGTATCAGACCGTCTCTTCCTTTTCACATCGCCCACCTACTCGCTCGCATCGCTTCTAAATCTATACGGAGGTCGCAGATCGAATCACGCAGGTCAAGAAGATGTGCCCACCCGCCTTGTCTACGAGTTTCGCTATGGGTGCGCTCGCTCTCACCAGACTATGAAAACAACCCTCGTTCGCGCCTTTCATGGACATTCTCCGCGGACTATGGATCTCAACATGTCTCACTCTTCTGGTCTGGTTTGCTCGACTCTTAACTTAGACAGCCCCTCTGTCAGCAACAGCCCAAACGCCGCCTACCCACCCTTCAGCCGGTCTACCGACAACAGCACAAGTCAAGTTGTGCATTGCGACATACCTAGGCCTTTTCCACGTTACTGTTCAGTTATCTCTGCCATTAGACCATACGTCAGCGTCTAGGACCCGGACGCGCAAATATCCCGCGCGAAGCTTACTGATCTATTGATTCTTCCGTGGCCTTCTGTCCTTCTACGCCCTCTGTCGCCACTGTCATCAGCTCACCGTCGAGACTCAAGCACCAAAGGCGGATTTCACGGATCAACTCGACCTGTCACTCGACACCCGAGCTCACTCGGGAACATAACGAGTCTATTGGACGCAACCTTCGGACTGTGTACTGAGGAGTTACATATTGCGGCTCATGGCTTGTACCAATGTACGAACACAGGCCCGGTGGCCAGTGGGAGTTGAGAATGTGCATGAGCGTGTAGGGCCGGGTCCCGCTTCCTTTTTTTTTTTTACTTACGCTTCTGAACATACTTTGGTACTGCCAGAATACATATACGCTGCAGGTCGTTGTCTGTCCATTCATCTCTAGTACCTCCGAGCTCCCATTCAGCCCTTCGAAAGCTTACGGTGTGTATTTGTATGGGTGGGTGGGGCTTCCGGTCCACGAGACATTACATTATAACAGGTTATACATTCGGCAATACTAATAGGAATTGGATTCGACTTCCGATTTCTGATATTTGAGGAGTAATCGTGATAGAGATGAGAGATGAGATGGTGTATGTGTACCAACTTAAGTAAAGGATCAAAGAACCTAAGTGAAGATTAACAACCCGTCTACATGCAAAAATCAATGAGATGGAGATGGATGAGAGTACAGGAAAAGGGAAAGACACCGGGGAGGGAGGGGGGTAAGGAAGGAGGGTACGAAGGAAAGGAAGGATGCGTGCGACGCATGGGTGCAGATGGAAGAATGAGAGAGGGAAGAGGAAGAGAGGGACTATGTATGAATGCCAGTAAAGAAACATAGATATGTGCACTGCGAGTCGTGAAGATGGACTGAGTGAATGATTGAGTGGATGCGATGTTGCGGATGCAATGCGGTCACAATGAGTGAACTGGGTGCGAGTACTGGAAGCGATGTCGTGGATGGATGAATGGGTGGATGAATGGCAAGAAAGCAAGTAGGCCTGCACCGCAGAAGAAAAACAAAAAGTCTGGGATGATACAATGAATAAAGTGAAATGGGAAGAATGAGATAGAGGACGTAGGCGGAGATGGGCACGAGAATGATTGCTGATTTAGCCAATATAAAGTACCGTAGGAGCAAAGCGTATCGAAGAAGCAGAGGAAAGAAAGCAGATGAAGAGAAGCAATCGTCTAAACCAGACACCGCCAAGCACACCGACAACGAGGTGGAAACTCCCCCGACCGGTCAATCTAATCCTCGTCCCAAGGTTCTCGTCTCTTTCCCTTGCCCTTCCCACTATGATCCGCACTGCTGCTACCTCCACCAGTGCCCTCGTGCTCCAGTAATCTGGGATTCAGAACGTTCGACGACGAAGCGCCGGTATATGTATGGTCCTGAGGAAGGGCCTCCCATATTCGTATCGTGCAGTCGTCAGAACAAGAAGCAAACATTCGTTTGTTCCGTGGATTCCACGCGACAGAATTCACGCTGCCGGGGCCGTGACCTTGGAGGATATCGAGCAGAATACCCCGCTCACGGTGCCACACATACACATTCCCGTCTTCGCATCCACAGCCAAACCCAAATCCACATTTGCGGATACATACACGCATGCATGGTCGTCAAGCGAAGCGATTTTGAAAACGAAATTTTTGAGCAGGGGAAAGCAGCAAGTGACAAGACGTAAATCAGCATCCGTTCGACCGTTCATACTCGCGCGCTTCAAATTGCGGTGATGATGGGCGAAGGTTAAACATACCTTCACTTCCACTGACCACGAAGTTTCCATCGACTCCACCGAAACAGCTGCGGATGATGTGACGACCTTGACGTTGACCGGTGTACTTGCGGGCCATACGGCCAGTTGAGATGTCCCATAAATGGATCTCCTTAACGAGACAAGAAGGAACACGGGCGATGAGAGAATCGGCATCAGTACGCACGTTTCTTGGAGCGAAGCGACAAAAATGAATAGAGCCCGAGAAGACCTAAAGTGACTTACGTCCGGCGCATGGTTGATGAGCGCGTACTGCGAGTCGTCGGAGATCTTCACGCTCGTGAGCTGGCCAACGAGCGAAACCGAACTACTCAGATACGTACGGTCAAGATAAACCAAGTGGAAACGTCAGTGAACAAGAACGAACGAACTACTGCGCGTCACGCGGAGTGAATGGGGATCTCAAAACACTCACACTTCCGGCTGCTTCGTAGCTAAATCATACACGATCATCTGATGCTCCCCTACCTGCGCCCCGGACCCGTTCGTACTAGTCCTACCGCCTGCGCCCGGCGGTGTGGTCGAATCCCCTCTTCCAGATGGTGTCGCATTGCCAGCGAGTGAACTCGTCGCGGAGACGCCGACCGCCACCAAACGTGTGAAGTCGGGAGTAACGGCGAGGTCAGTCACCCGGATTGAAGTGATTCCCCATGAATCACGTTGCCGACCATCTGAGCCCTGGTGTAATGAAAAGAAAACATGAGTGATCCAGGGCACACAGAAATGACCGTGAGGTATTGAGCGTGGAGTAAACTAGGATGACGAGAGGGGTATTTATTGTCATGAGAAACTGAAGACGAACCCAAAGGATGATCTTGCGATCCTGTGAACCTGAAAGAAATCCTGAGCCATCTGGTACCCAGGCCAGTGCAGACACCGTCTCCGTATGTGCATCGAGAGTGCGAATACAAATGCCAGTCTGACAAAAAGGCAGAATGAGCATTACACAGATGAAACTGCGCGCGAACACAACTTGCCTTTGTATTCCACATCTTGATATATTGCTCCGCAGAAGACAGTAATATCGAGTCATCTAATGACCATGCGAGGCAGCCTACAGGAAATGGATGATCGCGTAGAGTTAACGCATGTTCATATGTTCGTGATGATGGGTCCGGTTCGGCCTGAATAAAATCAAATATCAGACACAGAGCTCTTCCCATATGTGATGAACACTCACGCCTATGGACCAGATGATGACAGTCTGGTCCTTGCTCGCAGAAGCTAGTAACTTGCCACTGTGGCTCCACTCCATTGTCCAAACTTCATCACTATGCACCTGCAGGATAGCAACAGTATCCCGAGGGAACATATCTTTATCACATCGATGATCGCTGTACAGCGAAAAGTTGCGCGAGCTGGGAGGGGCGTTGTGATAAAGACAGCGTGAGATCTGATGTGACCGCGATTGGTCGAGGAGGGTGGAGAAACGGCGAGGAGGAACCATGATGGATGAGGGGATATACTCTGCAAAGGCGTGTTAATCGAGACCCCTGCTAACATCAGTGAAGTTGGACTAACGTTGGAGATTTACTAAGAGTCGTCTCCGTGATGACCCTGTGGCGCCATCCCAGACAGCTCGTTGTCTTAAATCAGCAGCGTCTGTGCACATCAAAAGACTACAGTAGAAAGCATTAGAGTGAGAACGGGGATGACCACATTGCCAGGTATACTTACCTAGATAATGGAAGGAGGTGTTCGGGATTGCTTTGTATCGGGGCGATCTCATTTCTGAGAACGTGTAATGCTCCAGTCGTGTTTCCGGCTTCTAGGTACTCCAGATATTTCTGTTGGCTAATCAAAAATTTTGCATCCTAACACGACACCCGTCAGCGAATGAACGATGAGATGGAATGACTCGTTTCCCACCAATAGTCCTTCCTCCTCCGTTACGCCCAGAGCAGTGAGTGCCTTCTCCGCTATTGCCCACCGACCATCCACGATACATGTCCTAAATTGTGCAACCTCTGGCGTTTCCATGACGTACCCCGACTCCGCCTCCAGCACTGTTGCCGACTCGCTACTTCCTAGTCAAATTCTGCCGAGCACATTACTAAACTAGAGGTACGCACGTATAACCAACATCCCGCAAGCTCTGAATGACCAATCTGATAAACTCCTCGCGATCAATATTCGAGTCCTCGTATAATGTCGTCCCAGGAAGGCTGACTCTCGGCGGTGAAGACTTGGTCGCGTGCTTGAGGGTACCGTTAGTAGCAGATGGTCCTGAAACACCATTAGAGGTATGGCCGTTCGTGGGCTTCGAGGGACCGGGTTCTGGAGGCAGATCGGGAGAGACAGAGGAGCTGGAATCATGTTCTGTATAGCGCATGCTAGTTTCGAAGAGAGAGTCGTCGGCAGTCGAAAACGAATGCTCGCCGCCTGTCCTTTGGCGTTTGCGGGCACGTTCAGGAATTGCAGCTTCATGAGCACACGCGACATTTAACGGTCGTACCCCTGCAACATCTGATGACTGCGACGCACCTGATTGCGATTCGGGAGAATAATATGGGTTGTGATCGCTGCTAGCGTCTGCTTCGAGCTGAGAGCGAGTACGGGTGGTGGGGATAAGCGTACTAGCACCGGAAGCGGATTCGATGTGTAGGGGTCTCGCAGGCGAAGTGACGGGGGACGGTAGGGTTCTTGAGGGAGATTGTATGTTTATAGAGCGACGAGAGCCTGAAAGCTCTGTTTGCTGAGCACGAAAGGGGACGGCGTCCCGAGAGGGGGTCGTGGGTGACGGTAGAGGATCAATGGTGACAACGTGCGGGACGGCGTGTTCTGGGTATGGGCATTCACGACGGCGACGACGACGAGCTCAAGAGACTTATGTTTGGGCTGTGTAAGGCTGAGCGGGCTGCAAGGCGCGTCTGGGGGCGAACTGGCTGGGGATTTGGGCTCTGGTCAAGTGCTGGTCGCTGTTCAGGTTACTGCTCGTCCTCGCCGGCGTCGCGTGCTTCTTCAGTCGGCATATTCCCGTCGGCCTCAGCTGGGCTTTACTTATCAAGATCTGCTCTTTTCTATTCTGCCTATTCTCTCAAGGTAGCTACAGTTTTATTGGTATGTAATATATTACAGGAGCACCATAGAACTAGCAGTAGAGGTAGATGGCACTCGGTCAGTGTGCTGAATGAAACGCGGTCAGCGTCTCAGCTGGCGGCTGTATGGCCCGACTATCCGATTGTAGCTGCTCCCACAGCGCTCTCTAGCTGAAGAGGATGAGTAGTAAGTAGTCTTGCGGCGACAATCCACAGTATAAGAATCTGTACGCAAGCCGCGCACGGTGTTCGTTCGAGTCGAGGAAGGAGGCCGGAACCGGAAGTACATACATCATGGTGTGGGGCAGTGCCACATTGTCGGGCCACACATTACCTCCTTATACCGGACCCTATCCTCCTCTGAACATATCTGACGATGTGACTTCTGGCGTACCCATCGTATGAACTCGGTGGCTAGATTAAGTGGGTTGGGTAATTTGGGTGGGTCACAATCGGGGCACAAACATACCGTAGCAGACTGTAAGTAGTAGGCACAGGTACAATATTTATATATGTAGTCAAAAGCACTGCTAGACTCGTTCCGATTCTTTTTGATCAAAGCACCGCACCCATTTCCTACACATATGCGTTGTACCATACGAAGATATCGTAGAGTCTTGCGAGAAAACAAAAGGTCCTCCACTCTCGTCCCGGGTGATTGGCTCGTAGAATGTGGCGCACTTTTTTTTTTTTNTTTTTTTTT